ATGATTTAAGCTTAAACAGGTTTAGATTTTATCAAAACATGGTGAACTTAGTTTTTGATACAAAATGATTTTTTTTATTTATCTTTGAAAATTTCTTTCAACAGTTTTGATGATAACATTTTAATAATTTCATATTTAAAATTTTCATTTATATATGATTTAAATAATATCAATATATCATTCTGTTTGTTTGATTACATTTCATTTGAACATACTTACTTCAATTTTAATTTTTAAGCTGCAAATATATTAATCTATATATTTTTTTTGTTTAAATTTGAAACATACAGATTCCTAGAAATTTCAAATTTAAATTCATCAATAGGATAGGAAATTTCGTCAAGTCTTCTATTAAATCTTGTGATGAAAAATTTACAAATCCGAATTTAAAGCAATAATAAGTTTACGTTTTTTCATAATTTATCAATTACATTTCTACGAAAATAGAAAATATTATAAATTCAATAAATATAAGTTTTTTCTCAAATTTTACAATTTTTTTGAAATATACATAATTTGATGTAAAATTTCTATCCAAGAGGGATCAAATTTAATAAGCAACATTAACATCTTGAATATGAACCAAAATAACATATTGCGTTGCATTTATTGAATTATAGATACAACCATGTAGAAATATGCATGTCAACAAATTTACTTGAACCATATGATTGCTCGAGTTTTAGTGGAAAATACTTAATTTGTAAATATGCATTCCAACTCTATGCATCTGCATACTTGTTGTGATAAATATTTAATGTACAATACCCACTAACGTTGCTTTTCAACATTTGCGCTATGTATGTGATCCAAACAGACAGAAGAATCTTATGTTCACAAACTTGACAAAGCTTGTATACAGTCAAATATTATTGAAATAACTTAATATAGTATCAACTTTTTGAATAAGTCAAATTTGTATTTTTGATAATTTTTAAAAATATAAATTAAAATTTTTAATTGTGTTTTTTGCTAATATGAATTCAATTCATTTATATTAAGCAAGAGGTATACATGCATTTAAATTTATGACCTAAAATTCCTTCAACTTAAATTTATTATTTCTTTTTTCAATAAATCTGGAATTAAATTCAACTTTTAGAAAACTGTTAAAATCATATATCTTTATATCAACATCATATAATTCGAAATATATTCGAAAAAATATATTTTTAAATTATAACAAATTCTATCAACTAAAAAAATTTTAATTAAATTTTTTCACATGTGAAGTATACAAAATAATTCTTAGCTAATAAATAAATTTATTTTTTATTTTTATTTAAATATATTAAATCATTTTGAAGAATTAAAAATAATTACCTGTTTTCTTATATTTATATGTTTAAGAGTTTATTTTAATTATGATACACCTTTTAATTTATCTTTTATCGTGTTTTATGCTCACATTTTGATATTTGTAAACTATGAATATAAAAACAATTTATTACATAATATTTTGTTAATTAATAACAATTAAATGTGTGTGTAATTTGTGAATTACATTTTTGATTTTTAGATTGAGACATTTTGTCATTTTGGTCTATTCATCTTGATAGTTTTGGCATTAAATATACATACTCACTTATGTTTTTGTATTTATGAATCAATTTAATTAATATCAGTTTATTATTTTTTCACAAATAATAATTAGCATACAAACTAGCCAAAATAATAAATAAGAAGATCAAAATACGAAGAAAAGAATCTTTTTTTTTACCATGGACTGGACTCTGAAAGAATACTAATATAATTTATTGACACCAGTGAGCAATAAAATCCAATGTTTAAGTCATAGATCCCATTTCGGAGTTAATAAAAAACGTTAAAAAAATATATTGTCTTATTCTAGTGAAAATAAGCTTACTTGATAAAAATTGAAGTGTTTGCAACCAGAAAGGGATATAATCTTGCCATTTTTTCAACAGTATTTATATATAGTAGTTAAAATATTATTCTAAACATAGCACATATTTCTAACAGTACTGTCTTTTTTTATTTAATAGACTTTTTATTAACTATGATTTAAGTTTGAATGCAGAAACTATTCAGGTATGCAAATTGATTTTTATTGCATAAATTATTACTATTTTGAAATAAAATTAATATTTTATCTTTAAATATTCGTACCCGACTAAAGAAAGCTTAAAGTCATAGTTTGTTCTTTACAATCATGAATGGACTCGAAAAGTTGGTTCATTTATTAGAGTCTTATTGAATGTGTAATCAACTTATAATTGGAAAGCATGTATAAAATAGTTGTAATATTCATACAAAACACACAAAAAAATGTCTAAAATTAAAATTTGGAATAATACATGTGGGAACAAAATTTTGAAATGCAAAATTTTAGCTCATTTTTGGTTTTATATTACACTGTGGTTTTGTATTTAAAGGAACGTCTTTGATTATATAGTGATTCTCTAAATATGAAATATAGATTAATCAACTTTTATCCACATAAATTTTAATGAATTACTATAATTTATACTACACAATAAAGATTCTTGATGTTCTAATTTTAAACTAATTTTGAGTTTTTCCAAAAAACATCATGATTGTTGAAAAATATTGAAAACTTTCAGCCTATATGTATCCAAATATCAAATTAATCAGATAATTATTGAATAGAAAAAAAAGTTCTTTCTTGTTGAAAGATGCTTCTAGAGCAAAAAGTAAAAGTACACATTACATATATATAAGCTGAAAACTGAAATATAAATTTAGCAATGTGAATACTAAGAAAGGGTGGGACATAATGGGAAGTTCAAATTTCTTCTACATTATCCATGTCGATCATAAGGTAGTTTTTATATAATCAACAAAAATTTGAGGTTTTTAGCAACATGGCCGGTATGTTCTCTTTGGAATTAAAGCAACGTTCTTATTTCGATAAAAACCTTAAGAATTTATCTCAATTTCAAATCACACTAGGTATTTTATAAAGTGAAGCGGTTTAATGTCAAAATATAATAGTCCATAAACCCTGTATATAAATAACCTAGTATGTTATTTTCTTAAACTTCAGCTCAAAACGTACACACAAGATGGAGATTGGACTTTTTTCATGATTTACGTTATGTACTTACAATTGATGGTTTTCATTTGTCGATTTTAGTATATAATGTATTCCTTAATTGAAACATCAAGTTTTATTCAATAACTTGATATTGAAACATGTTCATTCAGAAACAAAATTGTTGGCATTCGGAATTAGAATTGGAACAAATTATTGGAGTTCAGAATTCCCATAATTTGTTCTGTCGATTTGTGATAGGCATGAAAATGCTCAATGGTAGACTGCCTACAAATCTATACTTTCATTTTCATAAAATGTAATTGCTTTAATATCGCAATAAAGCTTATTGGTTATTTCTTAGTATATGATTAAACTTGTTAATTCAGTTCCAACTTGCTTTGATTTCTGTTCACATGATACATACCTTTAAATTCAAATAACTTGTGAAGAGTATTTAAAGTTCATTGTTGGAAGACGATGACCTGTGAATGATGTTGATATTACGATATATATAGGAAAAAGAATAATGCAAAGTAAAGTTATTAATATATGGGTTATGTAATTGAGAAAGACTTACATTATTTCTTGAGATATAGAATTTCTTTGACGATATTGAAATACGAAACAACAGAGTATTGAAGATTATTTGAGCGATAAAAATGCTAAAGGATAAAGCCGTCTGCACTTGCAGTGCATCAGAGTCCGATAAAAATGGAACATCCTCGCATGCTTGTGAAAAGTGAAAAAACACGGGCATGTAGATCCGAAAAATTAATCCTTCGCCTCTCAGCTGCCATACTTTAGAATAGAAGATCCGCCTTAAAGCTGAGGATGCTTCTTTTGCGAAAAGAAAGTCCATTCAGGAGCGGTCTTCTCCGAACCAAAACGATGCCAATGATTCTTTCGTTGAATCGGAGCTGCGTCTCGGATTCCGTGTTCCACCAGGGGACAGTCTGTTCTCCACTGTCAACGGATTATTCACCTCCCCATGCTCACAGCTTACTCATCCCATAAAACCAAATACATCGGTGGCAAAGCAGAGCGAAAGGACTCTGTATGTATGGGACTCGGGGAGCCGAGGAACTGGATACACGGAGGTCTTTCAACCGGATAGATCAGACTGGAATGCGCCGCAGGAGACGACAAATGGGGAATTGTCCTCAAGATTTGAATAAGAAAGAAAGCTCTGTTTGTTTGGATGTTCGTGTCCCATCTGAGCAAAGTGGATCCAGCCACTTATGATCCGAAGGTGGGCGAAGGTGGGCGAGGGAGGTCCGCCGTTGCAGCTTTCTTTCGGGCGAAGGTTGTTGGTAAGAAGGCGTAACCAGGGTGAGCATAATGCGGCAATTATTACACCGCCAGCCAACCCCGGTCGTGAAGACAGACAGACCACAATATCAAGAGCCGAAAGGGAGAGAGCCCGAAAATATGAGAGAAAGGCCCGAAAATGGGAATACTGCGATAGATATAGCGTAGAGGCCTCTCCACCGGGAAAATGGCCCGAAAATATGACTATTGAGATAGACATCGCGTCGAGGGCTCCACTCGAAAAATGGCCCGAAAATGGTACTATTCAGATAGATATGGCGTCCAGGGCTCCACTGGGAAAATGGCCCGAAAATGGGACTATTGCGATAGATATGGCGTCGGGGGCTCCACCGGGAAAATGACAAAGGGGTTGCTCGAATTGGGCTAAAATAGGAAATTGAATAACGGGAGGGGATGGGCCGGGTCCACTCACGTAAATGCATGGGAGACCGGTACAGCGAAAACCGCAAGAAACGAATGAGGTCCGACCGACGGTCATCTCGGCACATGCAGCGGCAATTCAAATGTGGCAGGAAAAGTCGGAAAAGCAAACATACGTTGGGAAGGGCCCAACGGTCGCGGGGCGGGACCGGCGGACGGCTGGAGCGAAAACCATGGTTAGGTTTGCGACGTCTCCGGGTGAGTGGGCGTCATACATGATCAGTGTAATTGCTTCTTCCTGGTCCCCGGGCTGGCCTTGCCTTGCCTGCTCTTGTCCCTGCTCTGCGCTCTTCTCTTCCCTCTGTCTCTCCCTCTCCCTCTCACCGTCGCCCTTCTTCCTCTCTTTCCTCTCTGTGTGGTTCCAATCCTCTTCTTTGGCCCGATTGCTGTCGCAGAGCTCGTCATCTCATGGTCGGGAAACGCTTTTTATTGTTTCTGCGCGACGAGCATGCGACGTGCTCCAGTTTGATACCCATAGCCGAAGGTTTGGTTTAGGTTTTGCGTGGGATTTGTGTGAGGATCATCCACATCGCTCCGGAGAGAGGAAGAGAGAAGTTGTGGTGTCGGAATTCGAGAGCGCAGAGCGGGAGAGACAGGTAGACAGCCAGTTCTGAAATTTGATCCCGGATTAGACAGGGAAGAGTTCACGCGAGGTTGGTTTGGTCATCTGGCTCGTGTCGTCTTGGTTGACTGACAGATGCTCCGCCTTTTCGTCCTCCATTTGCCGATAGCCTTGGTCGGCATTTTCTGCTGCCGAGAGCCTCTCCTCTATTGTGAGAAACTTTCTACACGCCCCTTCACGAACAAACTGTTGGGTGACTTATGCACTCTGATTGTTTAGGCAATTGTGCGTTCGTTGATTTAGAGAGAGAGAGAGAGAGAGAGAGAGAGAGAGAGAGAGAGAGAGAGAGAGAGAGAGAGAGAGAGAGAGAGAGAGAGAGAGAGAGAGAGAGAGAGAGAGAGAGAGAGAGAGAGAGAGAGAGAGAGAGAGAGAGAGAGAATTGGCACCGACAACCTGGTGGCATACGTCTTTAGTAGGTCGCATTGATTTTTTCAGGAGCTTAGAGCTTGTTATTCCTTTGTACGATATGTGACCTCACTAGTATCTCAAAGTTTGTAAACCTGCCTGAAGGCCTGCAACGGATAGCGATAAGAAGTCTACCGGATCAGTTCATATTTTGCTGTGAACCTTTTTATCATATGCATCGGTTGTGCTGCCAGTGTTCGCTGTAAAGGCGAGGAAGGCTTGGTTATAACTTGGTGAATGGTGTCTGCGACTGAACAGGTGGAGACATGCCGTCCGAAGGAGAGTTTGGTGAACTCTGAAGAAATCATCAAACTCCTAGTGTTATTTTTCGTCACATCCTCTCGGTCATCGCAGAGGTGGAAGGTTACTGCCTCGTTCTGGACCGTAGGAACTGTCGGGGCGTCCGATCATAGCTACTCATTGGGAGGTCAGAGTAAGATTGAAACCAACGATTTGAAGGACTCACCTTTGATCACCTCGAAAACAAGGACCAGCTTAAGGACATGGTACGAGCCTACGAATGCCAGCCGTCTTATCGATTTCCTGCGGGGCTTAGTTTTCATATGCTGTTTTCGGCGTTTTTCTCGCAAGTTGAATGGGACTATAACTTTTTGAGTATCTGGTGTAGGCTCAACGTCCGAGAATGCTGTCATGAGTCTGGTGTTCTTCCCATCTCCATCCTACCGCACATTTAGATGACCGGCAGTTGGATATGCGTCTCCACTTTTTTGCACCCTTCAATTCTTTCAAACCTGCGAGAGATTAAACCTCCACGTCCATTCGAGAAGGCTTTTGTTTGTCCAGAACGACATGGTGGTGTAATTTCTCTTTTGTAGATATTCAGAAGGTGCGATCAGGAGAAACACAAGGAAATCGCAAGTCGATTTTCATTTCTTGGTTACTTAGTTCCACATGTTTTAAGGAAATTGAAAAATAAGAATCCTTTACCTAAGGCCGCTCTTGGGCGGTTAACCTTCAGTAGGGGAGGCCATGTCGAACTTCACAAGGATCCGCTTTTGATATCAATTTCGAAATTACCCTCTTTCACTAGCCCTCAGTATTATGCCTCTCTTCTTTCTTGGTCGCAGCCAACATTGACGTGGTGATTGATTCACCTTCATCGTTTGATCTACTCCTGTCTGGAAAGGGCATTGAGCACGCTTTAATAGCTTCATTCTTCTTTAGTCATTCTTTGAATTAGTCTTCCTTGATATGACATGTACGTATGTGCACCGATGCTCTCGATGTTTGCTCCGGTTACCCAGTGCGCGGGGTCTATGGTCCACAGTTGCTCACAGGCTTATATCAAGGATTAGAGCTCAGCTGTTTCCCTACACTTGAGTCAAAGTTTCCATCAGTCGCCGATGTCATACCCTTGCATTTTGTCTTCAATAAGACCTGGTTCTCTTTCGCAAGTTCATACTTCCTGCTATATGTTTATTTTAGTAACTTATCTCCAGGTGGATAAGATAGCTAAAATGGATTCCTGCTATTGTAGGTAGTGTAATATGTACAACGTCTATGCAGTATATCTGCTGCGTAAGAGTTCTCATCTAAGCTTCAAACCTCCTGATGTGACGCCCGTTGTGTCGACTGAGCTGATAGTGAGGCTTATGCCACATTTGGTTGGGGTTTAGTTTAGATGAATTTTATGTCAACATGTCCAGGTGGCAGTCCTGTAATTGATCACTCGGTTTGACGGCAGGCTACCAACGAGAACTTACCACCGAAGGTGATCAAAGAGCTCGCAAGAGAGTTGAAGAGTCTGGATGAAAGTCCTCCGGAGGATATTCGAGTCATAGTGAATGAGGACAACTTTTCAAACATATATGCGGATATAGAAGGGCCTCGTAAGTATTTTCATCGTTCAATTGAATGAGTGAAAGCTTTTTCAATTGAGAATCATCAAGGGGTGGTGTTGATCGTATTCGTCAGACTCTTGGAAAGACCAGAAGGTATTGTAGGGGGGAAGGTCAAGCACTTATGTCACCAAGGAGTGCACTCTAGATCGATTCTATTGTTGGTTTTCCGGTTTTCGGAGGACCAAACCTAGGCCTAATAATCTAGATTTGTTCGTCCTAAACACGCAGATTTAGTCATGATCGTCTTTTTAATTCCTTCTGGATGCTCATTCAAAAGTCGTTTTACCGTTTTCAGATGGTACACCTTATGAAGGTGGTGTGTTTCGCATGAAACTTATACTGAATCAGGACTTTCCTCAGACGCCTCCGAAAGGTCAGTTAGTTTACTAAGTTTTTTGATCTGTTGGATGTAATCAGTTTCGGTTTCTCTTAACTCAAGTCGATACAAAGTCATGAATACCGATAAAGGTTATGGTATATTCAAATTTCTGATGACTAGATTTTGGACGGAATAGTGCCTGGCTAAAAGAATCTGGAATTTGTGGAGAGCGGTGTACTTGTTGGTCGTTGCTTGTTTCCTTCGCCTACGTAGCACCTCTGAAGCTGTACGAAGAGAAGTTTTGTACCGACACTATTTTGGTGTACTCATGAAGCTTTCCACTTCATCATGTGCAGGTTACTTTGTGACAAGAATCTTTCATCCAAATATCGCTAAGAATGGAGAAATTTGTGTCAATACACTGAAGAAGGACTGGAAGCCAACTCTAGGTCTACGGCATGTCTTGCTTGTAAGGCTGGATAATTTTCGGATGGTTATTGAATGTACTATTTTTTCGTTTTTGTATCTAATGACCCCGTTTAGTAGCTTGACAGCCCGTCCGAACATATCAAAGCAAGGGTTTTGAGTTTTTTACTCTGTATGTGTGAGCAGGTGGTAAGGTGCTTGTTAATAGAACCTTTTCCAGAGTCTGCACTGAACGAAGAAGCAGGAAAAATGTTGATGGAGGACTACGATGGTTATGCCAAACACGCTAGGTAGGATAACAAGTTTATCCCCCCGAACTTTTTTCTCTTTGGTTTTTCGCATGAGTCCTTTATCGACGCCCAATTTGGACGTGGTGCCCCCGTTTTTTTTCCTGATCAAATGGACTTTCGATAGTCCGAGCTAACTGAAAGCGTAGATTGTTTCTATGCGAGGTTTGGTAGGAAGATGTCTTGGATTGTGTGTGGAGAGAGTTGCCAAAAGTGGATCAAAGAGTGAGTTGAAGCTTAGTCCATTTGACGTCAGTATGCGTTCTCATGGTTGTTGCCTCCATTCTTGTTACAACGTGCAGGCTTATGACAAGCATCCACGCCATGAAGCCAAAGCCTAAGGTCAAAGTTGCGATTGCTGAATCAACAAGCGTGAACGCAGCTTCTGTGGACCCTGATACGATGGGTCACACTCCTCTTATGCACAACACAGCAAACAAAGACCATTCACTAGAAGGTGGATTGAGTGTGGTAGGCCCCGACGCTATAGCCGCTTGCACCTCACCAAGTGCCAAGAAGCCAAAAGAAGATCTTGGAGCAGCCAAACCTGTTGTGGACAAAAAGAAGATGGATGTAAGAAAAAAGAGCCTGAAGAGGTTGTAGAACACTTTCTTTTTTCTTTATTAAAACTTAGGTCTAAAAGGTCAGTCTAGCTTGCCTGAGGTAGGTCCTACTTTATGTGTTTGTGATGTTTGTTCCCTTTTTTCGTGCTCTCCTGAGTTCACGCTAGAATGGTGGGAGCAGCACCTTGTAAATCGATTGTGTATTTGCTAGTTTCCAAGAGAATTCCATCTCTTGGCTCTTGAAAGCAGGTGGGTTCGTGTTCATCTGAGTATGTCAGAGTGGACTGTGGTGGTACTCACTTCCTTTCTCTTGTAAAGCTTTTATGCCGCAATTATTTTCAAAATTCAGGCCCTTCGCATGGCTCTGCTTGGTTTAGCCAGCGTTGAAACCTTACATCTCAGCATCTCTTATATTCTTTCATAAGGCAGGTTACTGTTCGAGGAATAGCAGACATTGAAAATGGGAGGAAACCCCCTCTATGTTGTCTCATGTCAATATGCGCGTCGGGACTCTGAACAATTACATGCAACTGGGGTCAAGATGAATAGGGGCATTGAACAGAATTTATCAAATCCGAGTTGTTGACCGCACGTATCGTGTAGAGCAAAGCACGCAGTGAGCGACTGCCCGCCCACCCAGTAAAGGCTCGCGCTGCAGTATGGTGAGGTCAACAATACCGTAAAGATGATGCCAAGTACCTCGCATGAGTGGTATTCTTCGTGTATACCGACGAACCAATCAAACATAAAATTGGAACCAGTGATGCGACGTAATCCTTGACCGACTCATCCAGAATTTTTTACTGCTCCAAATGTATATTAGTTCAGTGCTCTCTTATCCACGAATGGGCATCCGTTCCGTTAGAACGGGCGATGTCCTGATCCTCCTTCCCCATGAAGTGGACCGCGGAGGCAAGAGACGTGATGCCACACATCTTCCAATCAAAGTAATTGGCGTGGGTGATAAAGAAACAACGGAATATAGCACCGAAAGTGTGAACGCTGGGAGTTTGCAATCCGAAAGGGCGAAGGTATGACGCCAGGTTTCGGAAGCTGGAAGTGGGCATGGATCTAAACCTGCACTCCACCGTTCGGTGAGCTGTCAGCTGTTTGTGATTAAACGTCTACTTGCGCTAGAAGAAAGGACAGCTCATGAAAGGCGACCTCGCCATACCACAAAGTTCAGCATTCATCGAATTGCGTGACAGCGCACTCTGAACAGATCTGCTTAGGTGGCATTCCGGTCTGTCAAAGCTTTTCCAGTGATGAGATACTCTTGTCCATGTGTACGGGCCAGCTAAGATAATGACGTTGAGGGTGCAGAACAGTACATTGGATCCCAGAACACATGACTCTGCAATTCGTACCCAGGTACTGAAGTACCTGGGTACGACCTGAGTACGAGGTACAGTATTCATTGCAAAGTGACGAAACTGGTGTAAATAAAGAGTTCACCCAGCGTCTTGTGGTGTTTGGCGAAAATTATGGTGGTTACTGAAACAGTCCTATGTAGGAGTGAGGAGAATACAATTTCACCGTACAGTACTTGATGATGACAGTTATAGTCTTCTACTCAACGGCACGAACGAAGTGTCTTGTTCGTGCTGTAGTCCAATTTTTCACAATTTGCAGTATGTGCGAAAAACTGGAATTCATTGTACACAAAGTTTCCAAAAGTAGGTTATGGCTCACTTTTGCTACATGGGACATGGCTTATATTAGTTTGCGTCATAATACTCTCAGGTGGCATTAGGCACTATTGGGCATCAAACATGGACTGCACTATCTGTTTTCTCTTCCATGTATGAATTATTAAAAAGCTTTTCTTTTTAACGAAGTAGATGTGTAGATTTAGCATACCGTGAAAATAGAAAAATAAGCTATGGGTTTGACTTCTAAACATTAGAATCACTATTTTGGAAATAATGATTTTGTGGCTGATAGGATCACAGGGTTCTGGTAGGATCACAAGCCTTTGATTTACTTACAAACTCATAAAGGTATAATTAAGTGACAGAAATTCTCGGCTAAATGGCCAAAACGTTTCAATCTTGCATTGCATTGACGCATACGTAGCTACTTAATCACATAGAGAGAAATAATAGTTGTTGTGTATATGCATAGAGTTTTCATTTTGGAGTAGCAAGAAGTTTAGAAGGAGTTTTCACTCGCCCTTGGTTGAATTAGCCTGCAACAACACAACCACTGCAGTCAACAATAGTCAAATGCTTTTTCCCTTATGTTTGGAAACATCCTCATACATCGTTTAATCCAAATAGAATGAATTCAATGCATGAATAATGAATCCCCATTGAACATATAAACATGTTTGTTGCATAAGTTCAAGTAGCAGTGCAATTAAGACAGAAATTATTCTCGGAGAAAACAAATATGAAGATTTTTATGAAGAAACATAAAGTTTTAGTTCGAGAAAAGAGAAAATGTTTGATAATCTGTACATCAATTGCTCAAAAATACCTACATTAATTTGGATATGTTTCTAGTAGTTTAGATTTGTTTCAATATATATTCAGGCTAAAACTGAATCATTCAGAAGTAATTAGGAGATTATAAATTTTCTATTACCGTCGATTTTGTAGTGCTAAAACGGAGAGATATATGCTAAGTACGAGTTACATCTCCACAATACTCGGTGCATAAGATCATTCATTCCCACTAGTGAAAATAGAAAATATAATGTTGCTATGAATTTACTCGGAAATCAGTTAGATAATACCACGAAATTCAATTGTGAGTCAGAAAAATGTCTCCAATTTTTTCATAGAACAAGTACTTATTAGTTAGATTGAGACTTGATAAATAAGCTGGTTGTAGCTCTTTGTGTTAGAAAGTCGAGGATTTGTTTAGTGAAATATCGTTGTGTTGGTTGACGTAGCCTCTCAAAGATGAACTATTTAACTGTCGTGTCAAATAAATTCTACATCTAAATTATGTTCAAAAGTAGTAAATATACAATTAATTATAAAGAATATTAGAAAATTGTGTTACTATAATTGTTAAAGTGGTCATTTTTTTATGATAATAAAATTCATTTATGCATATTTTCAAGTTACAAAACAACATAAAAATCAGATTTTTTATAAAGTATAATGTGTATGCTTATTTAGATAAAATTTTAATTTTTTTCTATGAATTTCAATTTCAAATTTTCTTACTCAATGTTGTTTCGGCATTGCATTTGATCGAGTTTAGAAAATTGTTCAAAGCGCAAGGCTGCAACTATTATTCAAGTAGACATACCTTCCATTACGATTATATTGAAAATCATCTTTGCAATCAACATTCTCGTCAATGATCTCTTTACCATGCTTTAGAATATTCTTTTGAACATGTTTTATACTTTGATAACGTTTTGATTGCATTCAAGAAATCTGTCAAAATGCATTATCATTTCATTTCTAGGTGGAGAGTGACAAATTAGCCATAATATCAAGAAACACATTGTGAATATAATTGTGAACGACATGATGTTCAATCATGAAGAGCAAGAGTACAATGATGCAAATTATGATGCAGATGAGAAACATATGTTGGATAGTGCGATTGACATTGATGCTATACTTCTCCAAATTCGTCAAACAACAGCAAAGGATGAGGATGAGAAACATGTGTTGGTTAATGTGGTTGAGATTGATGCTCCACTTTGTTGGAGTTATCAAATAGTAGGAAAAGCAAAAGAGCTAACATTGTTGTTGTTTAAGCGTGTTGAGAATGATGTTGTTATTTTTTCTTATGCAAAGACAATTTTCAAGACAAAAATCATGTTGTTTCGCTTGGAGATCCGTTACGTATCTTGAGGAACATAATTATGTATGATTTTTTGAACTCACTGATTATTTGTACAATGTTCTTGACAACTTGATTTATGTGAATGTTTTTGTGACAATATCAACCATTGTTTGCGTTGTTAATCTATAGCAAATTGTTGATCTTTTGCATCATTCTTGGAGTTTTTCATTAGCATTCAACTCTTTGACTTATCAAAGTACTTCACTCATTGATTTACGTTTTTTAGTTTTCATTTCCAAATATAATTCAATTGTTAATTTATATGTATATGAGCTTTTGATGTTTGATCGTCATACAAGGAATATCATGTAAATAATGATAATCAAATTTTTGACAATGCTTTGGATTAGTTGTTCATTCTTGTTTTGACTTATAACAAGCTCCACCATATAACAAGATGGATTGTTGGCATTGTGAGCCGTCTCTAGATCGCGATGCAGAGGAAATGTTCTTTGATTATAATTTGATGTGAAGCGCATCAACTAGATATTTCATGAATGACATAATGAACAATGTTATTGAAGATTTTGAATCATGATTAATGTAGATATGTTCAATTCAGACCAAGTCTCAACCATTAATTTGATTGCGTGAATGCGAACTATATGTTCTTGTGTTGTCAATACTTTAGTTTTAAAATTCATCTAATGTAATTGCTTCTTCATATCGAATCAAGGCAATCAACTTTTGCTACTTATTTATTTATTTATTTATTTTATAGATTAGACTTACTTTCTATGCATCATTTCACCATTCCAGCCGTTGTCACTTTCATTTCTATTTATGCATCATTTTACCACTCAAACAACTATCATTTTTAGTTCTATCCAAGGATTACTACTCCTATGCTTCAACAACAAGATGGCTTCGATGACCTGTTTGATGACATTGGAGTGCTTGGACCGCTCAATGAAAAATTGATTGCAAATATCAATTTATGAGTTTAAGTCGATGCTAATTGTTATGGAGTTGTTGTCTTTAGTGATCAGAAATTTCTTGTTGATCTTGCTTCATAGACTTATAAATTACTTAACAAAGAAAATGAAAGCGATTCAAAAGATCTTCAATACACAACTATAATTGTTTACGTCATCGTTTGCTATTGAATTCATAAAATTTTTGACTTTGGAGAACAAAATAACTATGCAATGATCAATTTCATTTTTCCGATTTCTTAATGCTATGCTAATGCGTTCACAAGCTTAGATATATCTGCTCATAAACGAGCACATAGCCCTAATCCATTTTCATAGATTTTCATTGACGTGGTTATGAAATATTGTGATGAAGTTGCAGCGTATTTTATTATAATCACATGTATAGAGTACAATTTTTTGATTTTAGGTTGGAAAAAATAGATTTATGTTGCAAGAGTTTATCCAAGTTTTGGGTTAATATGAATCATGCAAGTAAAAATAGATATTGTTCACATAGTAGTTTCAACATTGATAAGTAATATCCAATAATTTTCTGTTAAATCTAACATTTATTTGTTCACCCTAAACTATTCATGACTAAGACGCCTAAATCAAGTTAATCTAGATAATCAAAAGTAATATCTAATGTAAACATGACCACATATATTTCTTTCACAATTTCATAATTATTGATGTAAGAAATAAGTTTTTAATCAAAAGAAGTGCAAAGTGGAAAGATTTTATTCATGAAATCAGATGCCGTTGAAAGTGTAGTCCATGCCATCAAATTAAAAAATCATCTTGTTGCACATTATGTATTGAAAGTACACAACATGGTTGTGTTTAACGTTGAGCTCCTTAAAAGTGACATTTTAGGAATAAATGCCACCTTTGCCACAATTAAAACTCCACTGATGCCACAATTAAGGGTGATTGAGATTTCGGCTTTATGACGTAAGAACTTAAAACTTCACACCCATTGCATTCAGTTTACGAACTTTCAGGAAATCTAATCCTACGTGTCAACGTTCCAACTATGCAACGTGTTATTGTTACGCGTCTCAACGTCCGATGTTAACATATATCAATTTTCAATGAAAACAAGAGTAACAAATTTGTCACTTTAGAATTGTAACGTCTAACTAGGAAAAATCGCAACGTGTATGCTGTTGCCAATTGCTGAATGTCAAATTGTTTTCCTCTTTCAATCATTTCGGATCATGTTTGGGATAATTCTTTTTTAGTTTCCTCTTACCGTGATTGCTTCTTTAGATTGTCTAATCTTTCGTCTTTCTGTTAAAAATCAACTACTGCAAGATTTGATAACGAATTAGACTGTCACTAACAATATATTTCTCTACTTGTCAAACCAACAACTGCACGTGACTATTGCTTGATTTGACGATAAATTTTAGTCATTAGATGTGATGTTTTACCTACATGTTGAATCAATTACTGCCAGTAACTATTACCAGATTCAGCGATAAATTACACTGTCATAGACGATAATTACATGTGTTTTACTTACTCGTTATCTCAAATATAGTGATATTACAGTGATGATACAAAAACGTTGTCAACCTAGACACTACTAAACACCAACTTAACAGCAGTTCATTACTGCCCGGTTTTACTTTATTTTAAGATTTTTTCTTCACTATTGTGTATTGTCAGGTTTGCATAATTTTCTTTTAGATTAGTTTTATATACAACTTTGTAGATGCTCCGAGTTTAATTTTGATGACGCAGTTTTTGAGTTTTTGTACATTTGAATTTCTGATATGTATGAATATGTTTGGTGAATCTTTAAGAACTGAATGATAGACTAGGAGAGCAATTGCGATGTGTGCAAAATTCTCACCAATTCGATGCCACGTGAAACGTCATTAGGTAAAGTTCATAAAACTCAATACAATTTGAAGATTGCAAAATAATTTGCCTGCGGCAAGAAGGTGGAGAAAGTTCAATGTCAATTTTGCGTATTCAATGGAAGTAAGAGTCGGGAAGGTGTTGGCGTGAAACAAAAACGCACTGAAAATATTGAACTATTTCACATCCTGTTTCGATACAAGCTATACCAAAACATCTTGAAAAGCAACATGGAATCGACTGGGTAGCGTATCAAGATTTGTCTTATGAGGAGGAGAAGAAATATCTCGATGAGATTCCAAACAGCAGAAATCATTCATATCTGGATTGCAAATCAGAGGTTGTCACTTTCAAAATCTTCAATTTGAAAATTGTTGATTATCTTGTTGGCAATTTGTTCTTCATGCCAAAGCTGGATGAGTACGATGATGAAGTGGAACCAATTTTGAAGGAGAATGCTTTGAAGCTACTCAAATTGAATGTCGACAAAGAATTAGACAATTATCTCGTTATTCTCAAAAATCCGTTACAATTTTGATTATCTATTGATCATAAAAAAACGCGTCTGTCGTTTAGGCAGACTACTATTGTAATTATCCAACATCAAAATCGTATCGATAATGCTAAACTGATCAGGATAACCTATCATATGGCTGGCAATTTTGTAAAAGTTATGCTTGTGGTTTCATTAATTTTGACAGTGTTGTGCAAATTGTATGTATGGACGTTTTTGTTGGCCATTGACTCTTCAACCCATCAAGTAGTACTGTTGCTAGGTCTGCAAATTTGAGTATGTGTTGACGATGTGTTGATGAACCTCCATGTATAATTAATGCAGTTTTGGGATTGTCATGTAACGGTGAATTACGTGGATTAGCATTAGCATGCTTTAGGACGTGCTTTGTCCAATTTGGATGGACAAAATCATTTCCATTAGCTCTGAAGGCGAAAACATAATGACGAGGAGAATCAGAGGAGTTATTACACGATTGATGAAGATGTGTTCAAACAAAATTCTCTGCATTTGGTGTCCTCATCACTAACTAGATATTGTCATGAAACAAACAACCAATAACGTCGACGATGACGATTTTTACAAAAGGGCTCATGCGTTTTCAGTTTACTTACGAGCGCAAGTCAACCTTATCAACAACATGGGAGTATCGAAAGATCCCAAAGACACGACCCAATGGATTACATTTGGTAGTTTACTCAAATGGATTCTACAAAATCGTTGACGAATTTGTTAACACATCGAGGAAAAGCGGCCAATGCAAGCGCCATCTAGTAAGTGGTGGATAATTTCTGCGTCCCTTGATCCGTTGTTTGCCATGATTCAAATCAAATTCAAAACATTGCAGGCGCACGACATGATCATCTCACAATAGTGTGTTGAATTGGACAAGTTGGTGACAAATATATGAGTAATATTTTTCGGTCCAAACAAGACGGACTATTCAATGATGTCGAGTATCAAGATTTAGATTCCATGTTATTCAACGATGATAAATGTATTTTTTTTGATTCGGTTCATGATCATATTGATGATCAAGGTACAAGTGCGCAAGATTCATTCTTGAAAATGTATCAGATGTCCAAGAACAACATTATCAAGGTAATTGATCATTTTGCATTATCAATAATAACCCAAACGTCCATGATTCATGAGGAGTGCGACTCAAACAATAATGTCTGTGAGCTTGAAGTGAGCATGCAGACATTAGCAAATTACCGACGCAAAAAATTCATCAGTGAAGTTCTGAATTGATTTCAAATGCATGTGCAAAAACTCTAGTCATCTGAGTATATCGATCAAATCGAAGAACACAAAGAGTTGCTCAACACATCAAAAAACGATCATGCGGTGAAGATGGCGTTTCAAATTCACGACAAGAAGACATTTTTCAACAATGCGTGGGATTCAATCAAATCATTCAAGAAACAAAGTTCCGGCGATTTGTAATGTTGAGAATTTTTAGTGGAGGTCTTGCAACATACTTTGCGAACACATGTTCAATCAAATTTGACTACTCTGTCGTGAAATGGAAAAAAGATGATTGACGAACAGATCTGCACAGTCTGTCTATTGCAATCATCTTGCACGCACAAGAGTATGACGTTTTAAAATCGTTATTATGATGATTTCAAATAAAGATAGTGATACACGGCTACTACCGAATTGGAAGCATTTCATATTGTGATTTTTATCTTTTTGGTCTTGTTGTCACATTATGCGAGTTGAATGTCAACCATGAAGTATTAGTATTGTCAGTATGTAGTAGGTGACTTGTATCTTTCCAGATTTTCTTGTTTTTGAACCGATTGTGAACAGAATCGAAAGTAACGTATGATCATCGGATAAAATCGTTTTTTATCATGATGATGTGATGTTAATGATGTGCTATAACTCGACTGTACATCCAAAGAGCGAGAGTGGGTTGAAAGAAGGTCATGCTTGTCGGTGTAAACTCAACTGCAAAAGTGCACAGCTTAGTTACATATATTGTGATAGCAAGTACCATTGCTTTTGAATTTCTAACATCGAGAAGCAACTTGTGGAATAGTACTGCTTGTTTGATTTTGGTCATGTAGAATATTCAAGGTAAAAGCATTGTGCACATTCGTTTGGCATGCTTGGCCTTGCCTTTGTATTTGAAGCCAAGCATGCCTTTGTATAATCTACTTTCTGATTAGTGTGTAGCGAGGAACTTGCGAAAAGGTAGACCTTGGATTCTAATATTCCAATGCTAGAATATTTTGGTAATGAAATTTTAATTTTGATGGGGTCACTTAGGTTTTAAGTAGACATACAACTCACGTATCGTGGATTTTGGAAGTTGGTTGTATTCAATTGAAGTCTAATACTTTCATCTTTAGAATAAAAAACCTCAAAGTTATTTTTTCTCACGGACACGCTCTAAGTGCTTTGAATATGTGTAGATAATCATTATGCTCTATCATGAAATGTTCTAAGTTCTCGTCAGATATTGATGGCTATGGGTGTCCAGTGAATGTAACATGACAGGTGACGGAACCTAAATTAGCCACAACGTAATAACAATCATGACTGAAGTTGTTGTTGTGAAATGAGCTCAATCTTCTATGGTTTGAAGACTGTCACACCAACTTTTCACTACAAATGCCACTTTAAAAATTGTTGACTGCCACAATGAACTAAAAAGTGTCAAAAGACACTTTTAAGGAGTTCTGGTTTAACGAAAAGAGCATACTTGCAATATGCATCACGCGAATGCGCAGATTAATTCTCGAGACCAATGCAATTCAGAGGCACGCACGGTGGACAAAAGAAGCGCATGAAATGATGCGATCTGGTGACGAAGCTGTCATATTTTCTAATTAGAGAGGGCTTGGTTCGCGACCGTGTAGTCGAGCCACATTTCAGCGGATGCGCAGAGCACCGCGTTCCGCATCTAGTCGCGCAGGGCTGCAGTTCTGATGGACATCTGATTTTAGTCTATTCTATACAGAGCTATATTCTGAGAACATTCTCAGTCGTTGGTCTACTGCCGAGAAGTTCCCAGATCTAATCAGTGAATCTCATTGCATCCGTTGGAAACTCCGACCTAGCTATAAGAAAGTACTCACGTTCTCGAGGTCTGATTTACATTATCTCTAAGAGCCTGTGAAAGTCCTACAAAATTAGAACTATTATACATGAAGGCACTGAACGAGGTATTTAATTATGTTTTCTATATATGATCGTCCAGGCACCGCAGATCCACTCCTACACGTATGTGCAACAAAACTAAGAACCTGATCTTTGCCCAGACCAGCGGAGCCAGTGTGAGCTGGGTGAGACTCTCCTATGGTACAAGTGCTCAAAACTGCAAGACAATATTTCTCCATGCCTCAGTTTGTACATGACTGCTGTCGTCTTTCAAGCTGGAAAGTGCTCCCGTCTTCTACTCTGCCTGCACTGCACTGCAAGTCCCTCGGGCTGCAGTCGTTCTACGAGCCGGTTTGATTTCATGTTCGTCTCACGCGAAGTCCTCGTCCTCACGCAACTCCTCCACTAGGTCCACGACGAACTGTGCGAACCTCCGAGCTGTTGTAGAGTCTGCTCCAGTCGGCTGACACACTTGGAAGTGATCCTCGCATGGCGCTGTGTAGTGGTTGTATCGCTCTGGGGTACCGAAGTTTCTGGGAATCACAAGCTCATTGACATACTTCCCCTGTAAAAATGAAAGCCATGACCAACTAATTAGTCCATTTGTAAGAGATTTTCATCAGCCCTCAGCTCCACCAGAGCTTCATACGTTGGTTCAAGCAAGAAATTCGAGTATGAGAAGCAGCATGACAGATATTGACATCGAACTGATCAAAATCCAGTTCTTGTCTTTCCTCGGAAAGTGGAGTTACATTCGCACTGGAGCACACAATTCAAGCTGTTTTGACGAACAGAGTTATCTGCCCATTAAACTCCCAAACCTCAGAAAGATAGCCACACTCGACTAAGAAGTCGAGTGTGGTTTTAAAGGTGGGGAATGGAGATTAACATATTGCGGAACTTGATTGAAAGAGAGAAGTGGGCGGACCCGAAGAAACGACGAGTATGAGCATTCTTCATCGATGATCCGATTTCACTCTGGCTTCCATACGTTGCATTCCATTTCATCTCATGAGGCTCTGTGAACTGTGAAAGCCGACCAGTGACTGCAGCAGTGAGGAAGGAGATATGACGAACCTGATTAGTCTCGGCAGACTCGTAAATTCGTAGCGTGGGAATTTGGAACTTCGCCATATTGAACTCTGCGTTCACTCTGGCGGCCTCCCGATTCAAGACCCGGAGGAACCGCATGGACGGATTGTTAAATCTCGCAGGTATCTTGTCGTCGAGTTTCGAGTACCCGGATTCAGGAGTGGCAAAGAAGACCAAAGCACTCAAATTCCTATGGAACCTGTCCAGATTTCTCAACACCTTGGGCGAAGCCTTTCGATCAGCCTGAGTCTTCTTGATTTTCATCAGCAACGACTTGATCAAGATCCCTCCCAGATCATGCCCCACCAGCACCACCGGGACGAGGAACCTCTGCCCCACAGCCGTGTCCTCGTTGCCGAACAGATCCAGCATCAGACTCTTGGGCGTGCTGAACTGATCGATTGGAGATGTCGTGAACCCCCAGTGCGGCAGCTGCGAAGAGTTCTCGTACGAGACCGATAAAACCCGGGGCTTGATTTCCCTCCTCGTCCCATTCAAAAGCTTCGGGAGCAAATCTACGAGCCAACACTCTTCGCTGTGTCTCGATTTCCACGTTCTCCAAAATGCGTGCGCGATGTTCGCATTGTCCGGCTGGAGGCCATGGAAGAACACGAACTCCACATCAGGCCGATTCTCCCTCACCAGCTCGTATACGGAATCCTTGACAAGCTCCGTGCTCTCCTGCACACACAGCAAGGTCAAATTTAACAATCATCCAGAAGTTCAATCGCTAGAGATTCGCCCAAATTATGAATTGCAGCAAGCACAGTGAACTTCCTGCAAGAAAAATTCGAAGCGACTGCAATCCTGAACCGGATTTCTGTTATAGCAAGGTCAAATTTAACAATCATCCAGAAGTTCAATTGCTAGAGATTCGCCCAAATTATGAATTGCAGCAAGCACAGTGAACTTCCTGCAAGAAAAATTCGAAGCGACTGCAATCCTGAACCGGATTTCTGTCATAGCAAGGTCAAATTTAACAATCATCCAGAAGTTCAATTGCTAGAGATTCGCCCAAATTATGAATTGCAGCAATCACACTGAACTTCCTTCGACAGAAATTCGAATCGACTGCAATCCTGAACCGGATTTCTGTCACAGCCAGCGATGGTGACGGCGACTGCAGGTGGGAGCAACAAACCTTCAAATTTCTCGTATAAGCGTGGAAAGCCGGACCCTCGGAATCGGATGTAGCAGCAGCAAGAGGAGATTTGTCGAAGTCCTGCTCGCTGCGTGCATCGTTGAGATCGCGGGGCACGACGGCTGCGGGGGAGGGCGGGCATCCGCCGCCAGGCGGGATGGTATGGGACACTTTGTCGTGACCAGATTTGCCGAGCACTTGGTTCACGTGGGCAGCGTCGAGCGCATGATGTCGCACCCTGGCGTCGCCTTCGCCGGCTCGTGACACCGCTGAGACTAAAACCTTCGCCACTGCCGAGACCGAGGCAGACACAGATGCCGAATTTCCCATCGCGATCCTCCTCCAACAACAACGACGACGAAGAAAAGAAGAAGAAGATGAAGAAGCCTTTCGGAGCATGTACATGACAGACCTTTGCCAGATTTTTTGTCCTGGAATTTCACTCGGCCTCTTGTGCGGAAAGAAGACGTCCCGAGGACGCAGGCCTCATGTAGACCGAGAATTGCAGTGGTCTCCGATTGATGATGGACATGGTACGCACTCGCCGGATCTCATCCCACTGATGGAGGAGGAGGGGATGGAATGGTCAGCAAACCCGTCTTCGGACTCCAGCCCAAGAATCATGACGAGCGATCGGCCGCAAAAATCATAAACAAACATAATAATTATTGCAGCACCTTCGAGAAGAGGCCGATGTTCTTCGTGGGATCTTGAGCCCCGCTAGGATACACCTCCTGGAAAGATGGTCCAGATCTGCGGGAGCCATAGGACGAGCAATTTTGGGCCATTTTTTTTCTCCATCGGCTCCATGAGAGACGCGAGGGGTGGAGAGGAGGAGGGTCCGCGGGTGAATTTAAGTAGAGCTCGTTGCCATCAGGAGGAGGGCTGAGGATCGCGCGGACGAATGTCATATCGAGCATGGCATGGCATGGCAGGCAGGCGGAGCTATACAGAATCACAGCGATAATTGTCACGTAGTGGCCTGCTCTGGCCTGCCCTGCCCTTTCCTCTGGCCGCGTTGAGTTTTTCTTCGCCCACTGTCGCGGAGAATGTTGACAAGGTTCCAATTTCGTTCGTCCGGATCCGGATCTCATTCCTCGCTACAGCGGCAAGTGCGCTCTATCTATCCACAACGACCGACGTTCGCAGTAACTCTCACATCTCCATATCCACCGCTGGGCAATAATCCAAACAATTCGTCGAATTGCAAAACCATGTGCAGTGAAATGACGGGAACAGAATTCGGAGTCCGAGCTCGAGGATCGGATCAGTAAAGTTCGGCAGCCTCTCGGATGGCGGCGCATTTTGAGGTATCGAGGTCTCTTATGGAATCCAAAGTCAATGCCTTGCCTCTTGGATGCAGGGAGACACATTCTGCACATCCTGCTCTGTGGGCAACGCAGGCGAATATGCTGCCTTCCTCACCTGACCGTGATGTGCTCGAGGTTCTGATTCTGAGCACTGTTCGAAGCCCATTTAAAGCCTCACTCCCTCGAGAAGAGGATCCATTTGCCTCTGGTCAGTGGCAGCCGCCAGCCTTTGACTCATAAAAATCTCCACATCTTATAGCTTCAATGAGATTCCCATATCGCATAGGCTTGCTTATCTGTGATCATATCTGTCCGAAGTGCAGACGAAAGAGGTGGAGGAGACGACATACAGACGGATTATTATTCCATAAAATAATATTATGAAATTTGAAGTGGGGAATCCATAATTAATTCAGCATCTGATTTGTACTAAGGCTAAGAAAAAGAAGGCGAGCGCAATAAGGTGGCAATTGTGATGTCAGGATCCAAGTATATAAAATGTCACCACCACGAACGACACATTTCGGTCTTCTCTGCTCGCTGCCGAAGAATTTCACACATTAGGAAAGTCCAGATAGCACCATGGAAACAGAGTTGGAAGCCTCGAGTTAGATTGATCTGATCCCTGCATATAAACCCGAGGTTTAGACGGAGATACTCGAATGTAAACCCGCCCTCGGTCAAGAAATTTGCAGGTCTGGTAAAGCCTGGTCCCAGCAGGATCATCGTCTCCTGGACCAACTCTATGTGGCTGGTCTCTTGTTTTCGCCGTCAGTGTTAATTAGTCAACGTGGAATCATTGCGATTATTTTTAGGCAGGTGAAGTCTCTGTTGTAATCAAACATGATTTATGAATTTGAACATGATTTATTTACTGAATGGTCCTAGCTTTTGCGGCTGCAGCGGATGCTCAAACATATATCTACACGCATGTGCACATTCGTCTTCTCCTCCTAGTCAGATTATTTTACGGAGGGACCGGAATGAAGGACAAGAAGTGAGGATTAACGAGTAACAGCTCCTACTCCTATTCCATTTAGCTCACGTGTCCTTGGGAGCAGCTAGAACATATTCTCGAGGCTATGTATGATTCATATTTGGGTCTCTCGAGTGTACACTAGTCCTCATTCTCATCCTGGGGTTCATCAGAGACCAAGCAACCGCTAGCGAAGAGCCAACGCAGAAATTCTGCGTAGCTAGCTCCCGCTCCACAAGATATTTCAGCGTGATGGTCGAGAATAAATACACTATGTAAACAAGTCAATCTGAAAACAACTTGCATCAATTATCGGAGTACTGACCATATGTGGCAACCTGTTTTGTAAATTTAGATGATTGGTGAGTCAAATAGTTGATCATATTTCCTGAGTGTCCGGGTTGTAACACTTGTCCATTTGCACGTATATTCTCACACTTGTACAGTTGTAGCGGAGAGTGATTACGTAAAAATCACCCTCATATTGATTGAAAATTTACTACAAGTCTTAAATAGAAATAGACATAAAATTCATTTTCAACACAGAGATTGAGATGGAGCATGCACATCCAACACTTTGATATGATTCTGAAGTTTTTTACTGTAGGAATAGTCGTGCATAAATTAGCAAATTTTATAAAGTTTTGCCTTCACATGATTTATGACCATTCACCTAGAAATTCCTTCCAAACCACTAACGATTATCATGGATTATTCAAGTGATTTAAGATGAATTCAATCTTCAAAACAAGGTCGGCACGTCTCCATTCTTTTTGTTCATATTCCTTGTTAACAGTGATCACTTTCACCGTTATTCCGATCAGGCTCTAGAAAGTTCTTTCTGAAGTTTTTACAAAGTGTGATATTATTGATCTTTTCAAGATTTGCGTGACGTTTCCCTTCGATCTCGACAGTTTGTTTCATAAAAGACAACAAAAATTACTAGTGCAAGGGGACGTGCACGGGATGGGTGCTAGCCATGACTGTGAGTTCACGTACCTTCCCATAACGACTTCGAGGTCCCCAAAGGTGGCAGGCAGGCAGGCAGGCAAGCCACAATTTCCACCGCATCTGTCACCCATCAGGAGCCAGGAGACCACACGCCTCGTTGCAAGGCGTTGGTTGGACATGCAGAAAGTAGTCCTTCGATCCTGGACAGCCTCCGGGGGAGCAGATTTAGTTGTCTCAAGAGACGGAATCCAAAGAAGGAGGTCAGTTCCATACTTTTCGCGCAGTGCACGAACTGAAACGAGGCTGATAACAAGTAAGGTCGTTTCGGGTATTAAGGCAAGAGAACGAGGGAAGGGCATTTGCTGCCAGTCGGTCGGATGTGGAAAAGATCGAAACTCGCAAGCAAGAGTGCAGTCCTCGATCAGCGATTCGACCTCGATGCTACTCAAAACGTCAGTCTCTCCGTCCCTGGCGCAAGAAGAAGAGAAAGTTGTTTGAGGAGATCGAGTCTACCGAGAAACGCACTAGGGACTGACAGATTGTGGGAAGAGAGAGATTCCAAAATTCATTGAAGTGAAGTTGGGCAGCCGCCTCGCACCTTCTTCGAGAGCCTGATGAGATGGATCCAGGAAGAAAATAATTAACCCCTCCCCTCGAGCTGGCGAAAGACACTTCTTCAAGCACAGGCAAGCCCCATCGAGGAGACGACTGTCGTGCGGATCAGACGCCCATCTACCATGACAATGTCCAGGTTGACTAGTCGAACATCGAATCGTCCGATGCGACCGGATTTGACGATGCACCACTGGAGATGAACGAGCAATGACTATGCCCTTTGAGTTTCTGGGGTCAAACGTCAATTTCTCGGCTCAGACATAGCCAGCCTCGAGGTTTGCTAAGGAGGATGATGGAGAGAGCAAGTTTGGTATGGAGTCACTGACATTGGAAATTGACTCGCACATATTATCGAGCATGTCATGTCCGTGTTTGACATGCTGAAAGCTTCTTCTTCTTCGTCCCGACGATGCTCTTTCGAAACTCAACTTTTCGCTCACATGGCTGCGCACTGAGCTTCTGACCAGACGAGGTTTGACTTCATTATGGAGGGTACAAGGATCATGAGATTACATTTAGCCTATCCTTGTATTTGTAGCTGAGTTGGATATCATATCATGTTCTGATGAACTTAGGAGGTACTTGAGTACTTGCTGAGATATCTTTTGCAATTTTCTTTTTTTGGAAGTAATAATTTTGAGACACAGAATTAAAAACAGAAATATGTGAAACTGATAGATAAATATTTTATAAGATCCCATCAACCTTAGGGTGAAAACATTAATTAAACCAATACTTTGCCTAAACAATATCAAGTTGTGAATTTTTTTAATAGTGTTGATTTTTTTTTTATTTAAATGGAATTAGTTATAAGTTCGACTATAATGAATCGATAACTATCAGATACCCATCATTATTTCCAGACATTTGTAATTGGCTCATTCAGCTCTAACGTCGTGGGGTTTAGGGTTTAGTTTAGTTTAAACCCATAGACAAGCAAATCCTTCACTTCACAGTTAGGACAGAAACTCTTTATAATGCGGCCACCAGAGCTGAAGGTTTTGATTGACAATGCCCTTGTCAACCGAAGTTTTCACAGGTTCAACTGCAAAATCCAATTCCTCAGTGGGACTTGGAAACGTGCCTTCTGCCATTATGCCACTAGCCAGCTCTTTTCACTACGTAGAATATTTCTGATCCATTTGGAAATAGGCCAAGTTACGAGACTAAAAAGAGCGGCCTTCATAGACTCATGCATCGCCTCGTTCGATAAAAATCACTTTATTCAATCGAAGATGCTGGTCAGAAAGTTCAAAAACACGTCGGAAATCTTGAAGAACATGATGGAACACCGTACCATGCTAAATTCCAATCAATCCTGAACTCCTTAAGCTGAAAGTTGACTTCCAGAATCAACTTTGGCTAACTTAGTTTCATATCTAGAAGTAGATTGTGGTTAATTCTCATAATCATCTTAGTCTTTCACTAACGACACATAATTAACCTCCAGGAGCACTCATGTACATTCAATGAAGCCTCCGTTATAGACCACACCCGTTCTTTCCATATATTGGCAGAAATCCTAGAAATGAGTCAATCTGAATGAAGTGGAGCTATTCAATGTTTACTAAACCTTAATCCTCTTGGGAGCTTACGGACACGCAAATGAAGCATTAGAAGCTCATACAGGTAAACATGGCAAATCATAAGCAAAGGTAAGTCCCTGCTTCTGGATTCGAGTGTCGTGCCTTCCTCTTGAAAATCAACGAATGGAACATACCGTCAAGACATAGTAGGTCATAATACTTGTTTTCAGATTTAAGTTTTACAATTATTAATAGTCGACGAAGCGTAAGTTCCATAATATAAGGACGTACAAATAATAAGATTTCGAGTTTTGAAGGTATTAAGTACGTGCCAGTGGTGTAAATATGTAGAATGACTTCTAGTGTGTAAGTCAATCCATGCAGTATTATACACTTCAATAGTAAATTCGAACATACACATTTCATTAAGTAAATGCTAACACATTGGTACCACATGACAAAATACATCGTTAAAGACGACAATAATTGCTACTTTAAACTATGGCACATAAATAAAAAAGGTAATTTTTTTCAACATTCTTCTGTAACTCCATCCCAAGGAATTTCGAATGTGACTAATGCGAATTGCGGGTCTCGGTTACTTCTCTTCAGTTTGAGGTTTGTAAGGCTGATGGTCACGGCCCACTGGGAACTTTCAGCACCCTGTGTAAAGAGGAGACACATATGAAGCCAAATGTCTTTCTCATGCAAAATAAATTATCCTTAAGTTAAAGTTGAGATTTTCGACTGGTGGTGCGCAAGGCAATCTCCTGTAAATTCACCGCACTATGTGAGGACTAGAGGACATAATTCTTAGAACTCCACATAGCACAGAGTTGTACAGAGGAAATCAACAATCAAATCCAGAAGGATGAAAGCAGACGGTAAACCGAATCGACCGAAATTTGAATCGTGTAAAATAACTTGTTGCCACCACGCTGTTTACCACCATCCAAGAGTACACATGACATATCTGGTTACAAACCCATCTGTACTGAATCCAGCTTTACCCATCGTTTTCCGGCCTCCAGTAATGATGTGACAAACCAACGACAGCCTTGGAGAGAGGACTAGCAGTTTTAAAGCGGACAAAAGTTGAGTTCCAATCGCAACAAACAGTTTGAGACAATGGCTCAATCCTTTCCTCAAGGAAATTTTCTTCTCTCTGAAGTGGTTAACAGTGATAGTCCATATACATATGCTAGTTTCCATTGCAGTCTTTGACCAAAACATGTGAAAATATTGACAATTTTAGTCCTAACCAACGGGTCAAAACTGGTGTCTTTCAACATGTAGAAAGCTGTACAGAGCCATGACGCTGCTGAATAGTATTAAAGTTCAGTACCAGATCACATGAATAAGATTGAGAAACATCTATCCTCAAGATTATCGTTTGTTTGACCATGGTAAGTGCCCATGTAAGCTTCTGCAAGTTGGAACTTTGTAAATATGGGCACAAAGCACCCCAAGTATGTTAATATCAATCGACCCCAAAGTATCCGATGTTTCGAAGATTTACAAGAAGAATGTTTCGAAGGAGGTTCTTCATTCACTCTTTCCAAAAAAGTCAGAAGGATCAAACATATCTGCACCATCTGTTGGACAAAAGCATGGGATAAATCAGCACTTTGGTGACAACTTTCTGTAGTAAGACATTAGCTGCTAGCTTTGCCGAATTTGTAACCACGACAAGTGACGGAAGATACAAAACATGTAAACCATGACCTTGAGATTGGTTGTCGTCCGTCCATGAATCTGTACGGGAGTCACCAAAAATGGCCTCCTCCACATCCTCGTCGTTCCATGAATCATGAAAAGGTTCTCCACCACTGTCATCGGAAGCTATTACTCGCTCAAGGGGTTCAGCTGGTTCAGCTGGTTCACTCGAGAGATCATCTGCTGTAGAGTTATACGCCGCACTTGAATAGCCCGAAGAATCATCTTCCATGGGCAAATTTCTGTCTGCATCTGCAACTTCGGAGCCACCTCCGAAGAATGGAAGAGGAAAAAACCCAACCCTGACGATGAAAAAGAGAGCAGAGTTAAGTCTTGCATCACATCGTAGCCAACAACGACAGCTAACTGCTTACGTTGTTAAAGACTGAACATTGTCTCAGGTATGTCAACTGCAGCCTACGGCATAAAGATACCCGCGATGCAAGGGGGTTTTACCCCACAGACATAGTAGATTAGAAGCGTGCTGACCATTGACCAACGACCATGGACCATTGACCATTTACCACAGATGTTTCGACAGACTATAACTGTACGAGTGATACAATTATCTAGGAGTTTCATCTTTCAGTATGCAGCGACTGGGATGTTGCCTCAAAAGACTGATTGAATGAGACAGTGGGCGTAGCCAATTCATCCTGTCATGGGCCTCTACACAAGCAAATTGTTGAAAAACATGAGACATAAGCATAGAGATATAATTGCTAAATTTCAACAGTTGTTGAATAGTAACCAGAAGCGTACCCTTGACTATGGTTAGAAAAGTAGTCATTGTCTAGTGATACTGCCAACGCTAATGTCACGGCTCTCTCCGTCAATGTCAAAGGTCGATCAACAACAAGCGGCTCAGCCTGCAAGAAGAAAGACATGGTGAGGACGTAAGGGCTTCCAGATGCACCTCTTCATATACGGAAATTCACTCCGAAAACAGAAGGGAAATAACCATAAGTTTCCTTACTTTCATACATGGAGAAACAAAGATAATGACGAATCATGTAACCAGCCGATGTCAAGTCTCAGACGTAAGGATAGAGAAGGTATCATTTGCGTATCAAGGGAATATTTTAGCATGTGAAGATCAGCGTAAGTGGGCGTCAAACCTCCTGAGCCGCGGTTTGTAAGTTTTGAATCTCACTGATGGCGGACGGTGAGCCTGCGAGGACAGGCTTGTCATTTGCTCGAACTGTCTCCATTACCGTAGCTGGTCGATATGCAGCGGGAATGTAATCAGGGATCGTATCTCCGAACCGGACAACATACTGACCGGCATCTGTGAGGAACTACCACAAGGAAGAATACATAAGAAACAACGGTACTTCATTGTAACAAAAATGTCTGCCTTCAGCCAAAAGATACTCGTAAGCAGAATCCGCAGACGAATTTACTTGCTATACGCGGAGAAAAATGAAATTGCAAGAGACGTTGTCACATCTACCCTGGCTGACCTACTACTCGTAGACTGGTTTCAGGTTCAAGTTGTACACAGGCCGTTTACAATGCAGTGGGACCCCGAATGGCGCATAAAGCTATAACAGCTGTGTTTGAAGGTAAGATAGAACCTACAAATGGTCCTCACGTTAGGTCTGGGTTCTAATCAAGACTCAAGAAGGTGTATATCTCATACCTCGTATCCGAAGCCTCTCCAGTTGCGATCTATCACCGCGAGGAGTCCCTGGTTCGCATCCTGGAGGGTGAATGTCCAGTACCAGAAGCCTGGGTTCTCGACAGATGCAAACTGCTGCTTCCTGTTCAGGCAAAACAGCAATAAGTGAATACTTTTCCAGAATTTCAAGCAGCCACGCATCTCAAACTACACAACCTCTTTTCATTTTGAAATAATGTGGATTCAGCTCACTAATAAGCACTAAATATTCTTTAAGACCTTTCGGACACCGACGTCCTCAAGAAGGATAACGAGGACGATGTGCCAGCATATCTCTTTGGAAGCGTTGCAGAGTCGAGATTGTTACCCCAGGTAGACATCATAGATTCGTCTCCAGAGATGCCATCTCCTGTGGGCCTCCCCTATAATCTGCACTTTTCATTTTCGTACATTCCCGCATCAGATGTGAAGATTAATCACATGAGGAGGATCAGATATCATATACTTGCAACTATCAGCACAAGGTGTAAAATCTCTGATTCCGTAAATTAAAGATCCACACCAGTAGCTTGCCTGGCCATCAACTTCGACGTAAATGGTACTGTTGATTAGCCACGCGGGTCTCCGAACCTGAAAGACCGGAGACGAATAGGCACTGAGAGGATGGTCATAAAGCATTTATGAAGTCTGAACTAAATTCACATACATTCAGTCTTCCTTCCTCTATCGCCAGAATAGATGGGACAGTGAAGATGCATGGTCCTCAGTGACGATATTACAACTTACTCTACAAACTTCGTTACCATAGGCGTCCAAAACAAGGGCTACAAACGGTCGCCTCCTCCGTAAAAACTGCATGAATCAAACGGTTTTCAAAAGCATGAGCCAAGATGTAGGCTTGATAGTGAGTAAAACTTTCAAGTATACGACAACTACACGGCGGTTTTTCATCTGAAAAAGAAGCTCTATGAAAGCTGATTGGCCGTACCTGACGCATAAATATGTTGCTATCTTCAAGAATGTACCCGACAGGCTGTGATCACAAGAAAGACGTCTCTATGTCAGATATATCGAGAACGAGCAGCTCATTCGGAGCCTTCCTACAAGGCAAGAGTATCTGAAGCCACTGGATACAAGTCGAACATGCTCACAACTAGATCTCACAGTAAAAATCGCATTGTCGTGCTAAACTCACAGCTTGAGGCTCGCGTGGATCCATTATGACATATTTGTTTTGCTGCAATCACAAAAAAGTACATACTTGTCAAGAACAGAGAGATCGAGCTAAAGCGTTGACGCGGTAGGAAGATTAGTACATCTGAACACCACCTACAACATCCTCTCACGCCAATTTTTCACCATACAAGTACAAAACAAATCACAACCTTTTGTTACTTCCAGACAACTGCAGATTCTAGTATCAAACTCGATTGATAAGGAGTCAGAATCCTTCAAAAGCTCCAAAAGTCGGTCAGACCTGTTCGAATCCAAAAGCAAGATTCGCCCACTCCACATTACGAGTGATGATCAAGTCCGGCCTCCCTAATACTGCGGCAAGCCTTTCCTGGCGATCCAACCATTAAGAATCAGCTTAGGCTAAGCAATGTCATGCACTATATGTCCAAGTCCACTTCTGATCACTGGCATGGAGTAGCTAGATAGCGTATAAGTACGATTCTGCTTCGTGCATGTAAGACAGGAGCCGAACGGGTGTTGAAAACATCAGGAAAACATGGCAACCCTAGTTCGTATGTGAGGTACCTGAGTACTGTTTGAGTCCATGTAAAATTCTCCAGAGTCCGGATATGAAACATCATCGTCATCCTGTGTCCGGACCCGAGACTGCAATTTTCTAGCACGCTCTTCTCGCCGCCTTTTGTCAGCTCTAGCCCGCTGTACCAACCAATCATCAGATGTCGCATGTAGGAACCGCACGCTGTGTATATCTCTTGCTGTCTCGACTGCGAATAATTGCCCAGAAGAGTATGGCATGAGAGCGCCGAGCAGAAAAGAACCTTGATGAGATTTTCGACCATGAGAGAAAGATCGCCGCGGCTCGAAAACCATGACTTCATGGCTCGAGGAAGGTTGTGAGGCTGGTACATGTCCATCTCCGATTCCAATGGCCTCCTCACCTTCCCATGAGTTTGTCTCATTACCCCTGAAAGCTCGTCCTCGCACACATGCTTCAGCGCGCCCTGCCTGAAAATATGCAAAATTGACAGGTCTCATGGTTATCGTAATACTGGAGTACTTGAGTAAAGGATAAGTGACAGCTTATAATAATCCTCAATCCTTCCCAGCATGACAAATGGACGCGATCTACATACATCCAGCCCCAGCATTTTACAGTTGAGTACTTGGAGAGACAACCCATTCTCTAATCGAGTACATATGTGGCCACCTTATCTGAGAGTCCACACAGTTCTTTTGTACAGTATTTGTTGAATAGGGTTTTGTGGCAATTCAAGCAACAGTCAAAACACGAGCAAGTAAAGCAGGACAATATCCCTGACACAGATGTAAAACCTAAACCAGGTCAAATGCCAACAATATCATTGAAGAGTGAATGCACTAAGAGGAACATTCTTGAACCGAGATAGTGAAGGTTGAGACAGACTCGGGCAGATCAAAGAGAGTTCCTTTTACCACGACAGGATTTCGATAACCATCCAACTTTAAGTCTTAGAATCTCGTTTGCGAACTAGCACGTTGAACGTACTCAATCAGAACGTAACGAAGCACAAAAACATAAAAACTAATGTCTGTGAAAAGGCATATGAACGAAGAATAGAAGAAGGAACAGCTACAAGGATAGAAACACTTGACACCGAGTTCGGTCAGCAATGCGGATCATGATTTTGGAAGCTGATCGGAGGTAAAAACAAACATATCAGCTCAGAAAACGTGCAATTTGAAGAAAATGTTATCACAGACGACATTAAGATAGTGAGCTCAGGAATGACGCCAACCACGTTAAGTCCGAAATTCAATATTCCAGACTAAGATCAATCAAGATGAGAATGGGCTTGGACACACACATTTATATTAAAGTAAAGCACGGCAGTAAAATAAGCAAGAACACCATAAACGCATAGCAGAGACTGGAATCGAGGAGTGGGCAATATGCACGGAACTAGAGCGCACATTAAACGCGAAGAGAACAAGACAATCAAAGATCATAAGCTTTTCCACAATCTGACGAACAAAATCTAAATCCTCCGCATGCAGAATCCACCTGACGTAAAAAATCACGAGGCGAGGCATGTGCCAGGTCGAAGAAGAACACAAATTTCATACCAAAAGCTTCAGACGTGAAATTGTTGTGCGCCCTCGGAGCACAGACAACGCTCCCCCAGCCATGGGCACGACCAGAAGGCCAGAATGCGTCGAATTTTGCTTGCCAGCGCTGTGTGATGGCCCTACTCGAAGGTCTCTCTCTGTTCCTGTCCTCTGCTCTGCTCGCTCTGCTTTCCGGCGATCTTCTGGCTTGTTCTCGGCGGGCCTGCGACCCGACGAAGCTCCGTCGCTCTGTCCAAGTGTTTTGACTGAAGACGTCGCGACGCGTGTCTACGACGACACCGGGTCTCGAGCGTGAAGATTCCATGGCCCAAAAAAAGCCTCTAATGCATTTCAGTTCCTTCCTCGTTCGATCGTTGAGCTTCATCTGCTCTTCGCAGGAGTCATGGAATCATCTCATACTTCTGCCACAGGTCCTCTAACATTCCAGGAACTATTCTCATATTTTGTGAATTTTGTTGCATTAGTAGATATTGAATTAAAGCGGAAGATTAATTTTTATGTAATCATTTGTTTATTCATTTCTACTTTTAGTTCGAGTTTGTACCACATTACGTAAATATAAAGAAACTTCTTGCGATTCCTAGGATTGCAAAGGGCCCTTGTTATCAATTGGACATCGTTAGAGGTGGAGACTTCTATTCCGAACGATTTATGTTATGGAAGAAATGCATATTCTATCTGAATGGAATTTTTCAAGAGGAAAAATATTTTTCAAAACTCACTGCTCTTTGAGCGTAGATCTAGAGTAGTATGATACATAGGTTAAGTATGAATCCGTGGATCTGTTCGTTGTCTTTCTAAATAAAAAAAGTACGGTTCTAATATCGCATACAATATCGAAGAATACCAGCATAAATTAAAGTTGTGTTTGAAACTTATTCAAACAACGTGTTTTATGATCACTCGGATTTACTTGGACATAGGCACATATAACTCTCTTGTGGATGGAAGAGCAAATGGCTTAACCGCAACAATGCAGTCATCTCTGCTTTCAATTTTGGGCTTCAATAGTTTGTGTCATATAGCATGGCCAAAAAATTATACTTCAGTAGCTTTGTGTCTACTCCCAACACTTTCATGCAAAGTATTTTAGTTCTTTTATCATGACGTTTTATATTAAGCAATCATCATCCTAACATCCATAGTTGGTACTTGATAGAAAGATCTTTTGATAGTAATTTTTTTTTTCTTGGTATAATATGAAGACTTTACTCTATTAGTTTGACCGGTCTAGGTTGTGTTGTTATCTTGTAAAGGTGATAAACACATATTTGGGCCTTATATGCATATTTTTACAACCGAGCTTCAGATTATAGCTTCGAGAGTTAATATATCAAAGCGTAAATCATTATCTCCTTTAACCTTCTGTCCTCATTTTGAACTCTCATAGCGATGTAGGATGTCAACTAATGGCTTAGCGATTCTATAAACTAAAACAATGTACATTAATTTACTTTCACGCTACCTACTCACGCTACTAGTTTCCAGATAAATTCTTGCTTATTCCTCTTCACATGATACTATGTCAAAATAAATAGCCTTTGATAGATTGATTACTGGTTGTTTTCATGACGCATCTGATTTGAATGTGTGGCAAAAGTTTCTGACATGAAGACAAATATCTTTGCTAATATTTTCCAGATGGGTAGGCTAAATACCTTTAAAGGGATGCTACGAGAAAATACCTTTAAAATTTTGGGCTTGTCAAACACTCTTCACACCTTTCTTATCTTATAGATGTAATAGTTACATACATCATTAAGCTCTATGCAAAGGGTTTATATGCATGATCATTTTTTAACAGAATCCAGAATAAAATTTTATAGATGATTTAGTCTCCAAAATACAACATCATATACTTTTTTTCTAAGTCCAATCATAGCAGCAATAGACAACAGATGTACATATTCGGATAAACGAAAATTCCATCCAAAACTATGGTCTTTCCAATGAGTTGATCAAATTTTGCTTTACTAAGAAGTATTGCTATTGAAGTATCTTAAAATCTCTTGCCCTAGTAAGTATACAAGTTCACGAACTTTGGTTTGACCATGCACAAGGGTTTTGACTCGGAACATCGCTTGTTGACTTGCAATGAAAAATAGCGATTTATATGGCTTATTCCATTTACAGAAGAAAAATAAAAATTTATCTATGTTCACCACATGGTGTTTGTTATTGCATGAAGAGACTTTATAGCTAGATGGATGACAATTAAGTTGTAACATCCAATGTATCTAAGTACATGGATATGCACGGAATTGTTTTCATTGTTGCTCTAGCTTTAGAGGTGCATTCACATGTTAGTGAAAGAATTTACAATACTACCCAGAGTTTATCCATTGTGTTAGATAAATTAGGAATGCAGCGGCCAAAAAAACGTCTTTCTCTATAAAGGTATGAGATAAATTATGTCTGTGTTACTCTAGAGTTGGAAGTATGTAAAATTGCTCGAGATGTACACTTTCTTTTAGGTTATTTTATTGTCTAACAAATTTTGGTTGTATCATTTCTAATAAATAATGGTGTGTGTAAATCACAAGAGAAAATTTGACTTCATGTTTTTTGTAAATGACTGTGGTACATATTACACAATGCGGTGCTTTTGGTTTCTATCCCAATACTCAAGTGACGTCATGGGCTTCCCATCCTGCATATATTCAGGCTTGCTACTGACTAATGACAACGAACATCGAGATAACTAGCAACTGTGCGATGAGAAGTCAACAAAGATACTGAAGCTGAATGCATGGAAATTTCAGAACCGGAAAGCGATGTCGATTTTATTTCAGTAGACACGATTTGTCATTTTTGGACTATTGCGAGAGACGTGATCTGCTGTCGCAAAAGGCAGTCACGATGAGTTCGAATCACTCCGTCCTGCAAGCGGGTGCACCAGCTGCTACCGCTACCGAGAATCATTCCATTTACAACATGCTGATCAGAGCGCTAATTACAAGGCTACGGTAGAACGCATTGTGAACTGCCACGCTAAATGTTGGCCATCTCACCACGCGTAGAGGAGAGGGCTGCGGACGATTCTGCCGTAAATCCTGATTACTCATGGACTTTTTCTTTCGTTCTGTGCGTCTGTCTTTGAGGTGCAAGGTCACCATCAGAGCTGAACAGGGATGATACTTTGCAGCGCTATTGCAAGTCCATTTCATTTACCCACTTGCTTGGCATGATTACTTGATCGCTTCGAGGTGGACAGAAGCGGAATTTTCATTCTTGAATCCATGCCTTATAGATTGACTAAGACGATCCTCTAATCAGATGCCTCTCGTCAAAAGAAGTAAGTAGTAAAAAAAAGAAAAGAACATATGGACTATACTTCGTAGAGGCTAATCCGTTATATAGAAAAGACGTCTCTTCCATCACTGCAAATGTAGTTCTAGATTTTGGATATGTCCCAAGGCATTTGGTTGTATCAGATCCAGGATTTATATTATCGGGAGCTCGTTTCACGACCCCGCACCGATCTCTTAGCAAGAAGATCGGTTGTTGCATTCCTGCCTCTTCTGGGCCACTGTGAATCTGTAGTCATTGCGCAGTCAGAATTGCAATCTCTTCACGGAAATGCTTCCGACGACAACCTTCACTCTCATCACTGCATGTTCTTATGGTGGGTTCAAATCACACGGTCGGTCCAAATAATTGATTGGATCCGGTATTTGCATCTTTCCGAGCGCTCGACTTGACCAACGTGGATCCATATCACAGCATCGGTGAGCATCAAGAACACGAACGACGGTTTTATAAATTTCAAGTTTGATCTAGATCACAGATGTTTGCAGAGGGCAAGATACTGACTGCATGCTGAAGTATGTTCTCCTCAGAGATAGTCGGATGATAGTCGAGCTCAAAGGAAGCTCAGCAACAGTACACGACCATTCTCAGATCCTCGGATCGGCCTCATCTCGGAACTCTATGAGATCAAGAAAACAAGCTTCTGACTGAGAACATGGGAAAGCCAGACTGCTAGGGAATTTCCTTTCATCAACTTCGGGGTTTTCACCAATGTCACATTCTGAACTGCTAGAAGAGTATAGAAGACGGCACGCCAATCGAAATCTTACGGCCACGAGAGATGATCCCAATATGTGCAGAGCTGCAAACCATGTCAAATGTCATCTGAACCCGAGATTCTCCCCGTGTCCTCCATGACCTGCATGGCCTCACTGACCACAGGAGTAGCAAATGTCTACAAGTGACCCTTACGGCCACGAGAGATGATCCCAATATGTGCAGAGCTGCAAACCATGTCAAATGTCATCTGAACCCGAGATTCTCCCCGTGTCCTCCATGACCTGCATGGCCTCACTGACCACAGGAGTAGCAAATGTCTACAAGTGACCCTTACGGCCACGAGAGATGATCCCAATATGTGCAGAGCTGCAAACCATGTCAAATGTCATCTGAACCCGAGATTCTCCCCGTGTCCTCCATAACCTGCATGGCCTCACTGACCACAGGAGTAGCAAATGTCTACAAGTGACCCTCACGTTGCAAGAAAACGCCTGCGGCGTTCTACGACTAGAAGACTCTTCTTGAATCAGCTATCTGTGAACGAAGATATAGCCCCTCACCAACGAAAGCGACATAGTATACGACGACATCAGTATGCTGAGAAGCATACCCTAGAGCCTTTACGCCCGATGGATGTGGTCATCTTCCTCTCCAATCTGCAGAGTCTGAGAATTCACAGAAGAAACCGAATGCGACCAGTTTTGCCCCTTTTCACTTTTCAGCATTCACAGCGCAGCTGACGGCGATAGTGAATACATGCACTGCAACTGGTGAGATTAAGAAAGTGACGATCTTGCAAGGCAGTGGAGAGCAAGGAAGTTCCTCCCGCTTGCGCAGGCACAGAAGAGGGGAGGGGAGATGGAAGGCGATATATAGGACTGGAACATGTTAGACACGCGATCACAGCCGAAAGGCATGTTGCTTCATGTTCTCGACGCGCTGAAGCAATCCATCGACTTGAAGTTCTTCAGTTCTTCGAGAACTTTGTGTATGAAGCAATGGCATGTCAACACGTAACATGGCCCCAGGTCCCTGTCCTACAGATGTCGGCCTTGGCGACTTGCGCGGCCGAGCATCTCAATATTCCTCAGAATTGACAACGGGATTACATGAAACACTCACCATCTTGTCTTCTGTAAATGTTGGTCGGAACGAATCAAGGCTGACTGTTCTTCTCCTACCAAAATACTTTCACTGTGGACATTGGTTCGCTACAGGTGAACTGGAAGCCTTCCTACTCCTACTCCTACTCCTTCACGTTTCACATTCTCATCTTCTCAAATTACATCCAAAGGCACAGCATCCAACTGACGCTGTAATTCCATCCAAATGAATTCGTGCGTTCAGGGTATCAAAACTGGACGAAGGTTCGACTCGTGCAGAATCGAGAGAAAATCGAAGTGGATCAGACTTGAATTTAGTAGAGAACAATAGTGATAGTAAGACTGTCAGAGTGGAAAAACGTTTGCTGAAACGTATCGAAAGGATTGTTGACCTCCTTGGGAGACTTGCATGATCATGAAGAAGCCACAATATCACGGGGTCCGCTTAAAATAATCCAATCCGCTTCACACCGTAATCTATCAGAACATCTATGGACGACGGTCAGAGACACTCCTGTTGCTCTCAGTGTGAGGTCATGCTGGATAAGTCAGCAGCAGCATGTTACAGGGCATTATCTCCGTCGGGGCGATTTATCGTCGTGAAACGGTGAACGCGGTGGAGAAGCCAAAGTGGAAAACAGCACCCGCCTGCATAGTTGGGCACCTAAATTTGATATGATTCCCCCGCTCCTGTTGCTCAGGAGGTTCTTCTCGAACCGGGTCCAACCAAATGAGCTTTATAAAGAGTTCGAGACCTCGTTGGCGACAAGCTGCTTCTCGATGTACAGGTCCAGAGAAGCCGAGTGCAGAACCTTCCTCCTAAGATTGAGGTGTTTTCATGTCGGATCGGGGATAACACAATCATATGATTTGACCCAACTCGAACTGACACTTCCCAATGGCCATTGGGTGCATGTACTCCACATAATGTGGAGACCTTATAGTGAAGACTTGATGCCGACATGACAGCAACAGACATACATGGAGAAATCCAGCTCACTGGAGCTACAACACATGCAAGCAGTATTGATGCCAAGTCAGTGCGTGTGCTGCTTCTGCATGGAGATGAGGAGTTTTGTCTTGTTGGCGAAAATTTGTATCTTCGTAGGTCGAAAGGACCCTTCCGGGAGCTCTCCGTGCTCAAAGTCCGGGCTCTGCAGACTACGAAGCAGAGTGATGGCGAGCATACGACACAGATTGGGAGATGGTGCTGAAAGGCTTCCAGCTCAGAGCCCAAGAGGTTGGCAACCGAGGATGTCCTGTAGAAAAACAGAACGGGCTGCGAGCCACGGCTCCAGCTGTGATCTTCCAAGCGACCGTCATGCTAGACGGACATGAGATTCTAAACTCCATTTTGGCCAGTCCAGCGGACTGACCTGCGCAGTGTCTCAGATGTCAGGCAAGGATCTTGCCATCGCGAATAAGCAGATGCTGGTGACTGCGAATCCCTTTGAGTGCTCCAGTTGGGAAGTTTGGGTCTCCTGGTGCTGGGGGGCGTGCGTGCGCACTCAGTGGCTTGTGTGTGGGCCCGACCTGGAAAGCTCCATCGTTGGAAGCTTAAGTATCAGTTGGAACGAGAAACTCATCCCCCCTTGGAAATGCTGTTAGCTGGGGCGAGGGATCGGTTCCAGGATCGATTTGGTGCCTAGTCTAAAATAACTCTCGACTTCCATGAAGTCAGTGATGAGGTATTCATCCACTCGTAAATTTGCAAGCTCTATTCTTTCCATTGTTACAGATTTTTGAGCGAAGGGTCGTAATCTGAAGATCTTGCGTGCAAATTTGCTGGTTCTAGAACCGGTGGCGTTCCCTCGTCCACTAGCAAACCTCTTGCAAGCCTGCTCGAGGCTCTGGAGATTCCGAGCTCTCAAGAGAAGACTGCAAATTTTTGCTTCATCATTCTTCCTAGAATTCTATTCTAGATGTGAAAACATTTTAGATTTCGTACATATACAGAGGTTTTGAAATAAGATTCATCGTAGGGACCGATTGAGGTGTATAACGAGGATCAGAATATCCCACTGCTTGGCTTCACATTCTGGCTATCCAGGCATCGGACTCACTTCGTGTAATTCTCATTGCCTCCTGGGAAGACCAGAAAATTGCTATTTCCACTTTGCTCAAAATATTCTGCAGGTTACTCAAAGAGTTAGTACTGCGAAGCTTCCATCACCAATCAGTCGACAGTGTATTAGCTCAAATCATAGCCCCGATTCAGACTCGGTGACTGGACTATGACGAGCAGGGAGTAGACGCCAGGTTCTTATAGGAATCTCCCGCAGCTCGACAGACTCATAGAACCGTCCTCTTCCACTTGTGGCCAACGAGGTGGAAAATTTCTGCGGGGCCCAAGGTCTTCTCCGGACCTTGCGTGCTCCTGCAGACGAATTTGAGTCACAGAGTATCGAGCATTGGACTGAATTGCGTAGTTTCAAGGGTAGCAAATCAGCACAAGTTTTACAGGGCTCGGTGGATCACTGGCCGGACAATTGAAAGCGAGACGCATCCAGGCTTGCTTTCTTCGACAAAATGGGATTCACCGAGGGAGTCAGCGAAGGCGGGAGCTGCAGATGGAGCGAGCGCTTGCGGATCATAATGGTTCTGATCGCCTTCGTGCAGGTTCAAAGTCAGGGGGGGAGCTGGAAGCTGCTGTCGGAGAATGTAGGAATAGCTTCCATGCACACCGCAGTGACGCACTACGGCTCGGTGATCATGCTGGACAGGACGAACATCGGCCCGTCGAACATCACACTCCCGCACGGCAGATGCCGCAACAATCCCAAGGACCTCGTGCTCCCACGAGACTGCTACGCTCACTCGGTGGAATTTTTCCCGAAATCCGGACGAGTGCGCCCTCTGTACATTTGGAGCGACACTTGGTGCTCGTCCGGCCAATTCGGGGCCGATGGAACGCTGGTGCACACGGGAGGCGATTACGATGGAATCAGGCGGATACGAAGGTTCGTTCCGTGCCCGGAGAGCAACGGCACCTGCGACTGGAAGGAGGACAAGAAGCCGCAGCTCTACGCCGAGAGATGGTACGCTAGCAACCAGCTGCTGCCGGACGGCACTTTCATCGTCGTCGGCGGGCGCAGCGAGTTCACGGTGGAGTTCGTGCCGCCGCGACCGGGAAACGCGACGTACCTGCCCCTGCTGGAGCAGGTCGACGACTACCAGGGCGACAACATGTACCCGTTCGTTCACCTGCTACCGGACGGCAACCTGTTCATCTTCGCCAACCGCGACTCGATTGTCTACGACTACCGGAAGAACGTGACGCGCCGGCGGTTCCCGAGAATTCCCGGCACGCCTCGCTGCTACCCGTCGGCCGGGAGCTCCGTCCTGCTGCCGCTCCGGGCTAGCGACGGGTTCCGGCAGGTGGAGATCCTCGTCTGCGGCGGCGCTCAGCTCGGCGCCTGGGCCTACCCCGAGGAGCTGCTGGACGCGGCGCAGGACTGCGGGCGACTGCTGGTCAGCGACCCGGACGCGGACTGGGTAATGGAGACGATGCCGATCCGGCGGGCAATGGGCGACATGGTGCTCCTGCCGAACCAGCACGTGACGATCATCAACGGCGCCAGCAGGGGCTCGCAGGGCTGGGGCTTTGCCGAGGACCCTGTTCTTTACCCGGTGGACTACGACCCCAGGTCGCCTCCCGGGTCGCGGTTCGCCGTCATGAGCCCCACCGTCGTCCCGCGCATGTACCACTCGACGGCCAACCTTCTGCCCGACGGCGGCGTGCTCGTGGCTGGAAGCAACACGCATCACTTCTACACCTTCAACGAGACGTACAACACGGAGCTGCGAGTGGAGCAATTTCGGCCCGAGTACATGAGCTCCGAGCTCGACTTTCTGAGGCCGGCCATCGTCGATTTCCCTAAAGCTGTCGGCTACGGCGAGAGTTTCAGTGTGGCCGTCGTGCTTCCCTCGGCCCCGCATCACGACATCGAGCTGGTGCTGCTGAGTTCTCCTTTCACGACCCACTCCTTCTCGCAAGGCCAGCGCATGATCAGTCTTGCTGTCGAGCCCCCGCTCTTGGTGGATGCGAGTTCTGGTCTCTACCATGTCACATGCACGTCTCCCCCTACCGGCGAAATCGCACCAGCCGCTTACTACATGCTCTTCGCTCTGAATTATGAAGTTCCCGGGGAAGCAGTTTGGGTGCAGATAGTTCCGTGATTAGTGTAGTATCGTGCTTTTCGAGCTCCAGCCGGTGAGTGAAATGTAGGAACTACTTTCTCCTCGCGATGGTTCGAACAACTTGATGTTGACAATGCAAGCTAGTTGGCCCGGTCTCGAGGCTCTGCATGATTGTTTTTTTTATCAGGTTGTGCTCCTGCAATACGGTACGGACGCTTTAGCTTCAGGAATTTCCTGGATATTGTAGTGCTCGGCTTGTTGTCGACCAACATGAAGCAGTCAGTCATACGTTAGCATGTAAACCCGCCCAAAGATGGAATCGAGTCTTTGGTTTCTGAACTCCCCTTTGAAGGTGAAGCGTGGCCAGCCTCGATCTGGCTCCAGATGAACCTGCTGTAAAACGTTACGATATTATACTCGTGTAAATCTGAGATTGAAGGTCGTCTGCTCGGACCAATTCTGTTTCTCTGAGCTCTAAATTCTCCGACCATGCACACGTGTTTTATTACTCCGAGGTCCATGTCTGATGTGTAGGATGAAATTTTAGGAATTTAGAAATTTCCTCCTCATCTTCACACTGTCACCCTTGCTAGCTTTAATAATTCATCCCTGTATTTTATTGCACCAAAAAAAATGATATCTAGCACAGTAACTGCCATGACTTACCTAAATATACGATAATCATGGTTTCTAATTCTCTAAATCAAGTAAATTATGTAAATTTGAAAATAAAATAAATTTGGATGTGATTAAGTATATATCATAAGTAATATGATCAAGTAGCTTAAATTCACTATTATACTTTTGTTGTTAACAAATATTTTCAAAGAAAGTGTAAAATATTCAAATCTAGCTCCCTTGTCACTTAACATGCAGTAAAACATGAGTTCCTTTCTTGAACAAAAAGTAACAGTCAATAAATAAAGAAATAAACTTGATTCAAAATATGAATAAAATATGATAGTAAATGTCAATGTAAAATTATGCAAATCTTCAAAAAGTGAGTCAAAGTGCAAGAATATATGAAAGGTATTCTGTTTACATACTCTGATACAAAACACATCTTTTCCCAAGGGCTTGGACAATATCTAGATGTTGATCATGAAGAGACATACCCCAAGTGACGCACTTAATCACATCTAAATATCTCTTAAGTCTTGATGTTGACAAGCACTTGAAAATACAATTGTTCGATGTTGTACATACAGACGTATATGTCAAGTTGCACTTTGACATATAGTTGTAAAGATTCTTGTATATTTATATTATGATCGTAATCTTCAAGTACAATCTAACTGCGTTAATTACAAGAGAATCGTTTACAACATCAAGAAGAAATGACAAGTTTAATATCATGATAATAGGATTTCTTAGTTATTAAAATTTTTTAAATGAATATGCTACGGTTCATGTACCTTCTTTAAGCATACGGAAAAGAATTTCGTTATCGTTATGATTGATGCAGAAAATTTTAACCTCATTGGCACGTTTTTAAATGTCTTGTTGAAATTACCTTTGTTTCATCTTACTTTGCTTCTGATTGTAGCATGAGCAATTTGTTGGGAATTTTTTTCTTCATTAGATCTATTACATTTTTTTTATAATCAAATAACGATTTTTCGTAAACAAGAAATATGTTTTGGACTCTTTTACATGACTGCATAATTTTGACCTTTGATTTGAAGAAATATTTAGGACTTAAGAACTGCACTTTTGGAGCAATCTGAACCTGAATATACCTTGCAATTACACCCTATCAAACATCATTATTGTTATGAGTACGCTTGGTTATTTTATTGGTAACACGATTACCACATGCAAGAGTTAATATAAATGTTATATTTTATATCAAAATTTCATTCTTACTTGATGATGAAATAGGTGAGGTTATTGAGTATGAATATGCATACTCGTATATCCATGATGGATATGCGAGCTTATTGTACAAGAATAGAAGAAAGTTACTAGATTGGTGATTTATTCGTTAAACTGAAAGCAGACATATCCTGAAAGTCATGAAGGTAGGACCTACATCGGTGATAAAAACATATTCATGTGGAAGTCATTGAAGGAGAGTGTGTAAACTATATATTTCAATCATTACAAGATTTCTCCGCTACATGGAAGTCACATAAGCATGTGTGAATAAGATCAATTGTTTAAGTCTAGATTCATTTGATTTTTCAAAAAATCTTGCTGCTCCAAGCTCAGTGTACAAGCACAATGTGGCATGCATCATGCAAGTGAAAATTTACTAACCAATGTAAGCTCAAATTTTTAAAACATGGCTACAAAGCTAAATTTCACTTACAAGCCATTGGCCTTTCCTGTATATCTAATCTAAGCAGTTTAGTCAGAGTATAAATTGCAGATATAGCTACAAAGTCTTCATCTACTAAAAACCATGTATAATGCAGCAAATTTATCGATTATTCCGGATGTTATTTATTCCATGTGGAAGCAACAAGCAGTGCTTTGGAGCGAAAACCATCTATATGGAAAAATTCCAACTGGAAGTTACATTTATTGCTCGTTACCTAAATTAATCGTGGAAAGCACATTAGTAAAGAATTGGAGGGTTAAAATATTCTTCGACAGGTTCTTCTCAGAAAGGGAATATCAACCAATGTGTATAGTGCTTTGTACTCTGGCTTCTACAAAATTTATGAGATCTATTCAATATCTTCTTTTATGCTATATTACTCGCTCCTGCCGTAGTCCAGCGCCAATCCCTATCGATGGAACAAAGCCGGATGGGATTTGCATTCCTATACACTTAGACTTCGAATTTAACGCTACATTTCGATTCGCTGCTCTGTTTCGCCAGCTCGAGGATGCGGATGGTATTGAAACCAACCCAGGGATCCACCATCGGGGCCTTCCGCGCACGAATGGCGTCGGCGAGTTGCGAGTAGAAATTCTGGTAGCAGCCGGGGAGAGTTTCCACGCGCGCATCGATTTCCAAATCGCCCAATTTCGTCACGAGGTGTCCTCGATGCTCTGCGGTCGTCTCGCCCCAGCCGCTATCGCTCGGCGATCCGCCCTTTTTCAGCGCATCCTCCTGAGGATCGATGCCGGACTTGAGAAACGATCCTTTCGTCCCGTGCAGAATGAACCGAGGACCTGGCACCTTCACCAGCATGCTGGCCTTCAGAATGGCCCTGAGTTCGGGATAGTGCAGCACAATTTCGAAGCTATCGTCGACGTCGGAGCTATCACGCTGCTTACGGATGTCGGCTGTAACCATTTCCGGAGTACCGAACAGCACCTGGGCGTGATCGATCATGTGCGATCCGAGATCGTAGAGGATTCCACTCGCTGGTTCTAGAGCTTCCTCCCGCCAAGAATTGGGCTTTGGGACACTGCGGAACCGGTCGAAATGAGCCTCATACTCCACCAATCTGCCCACCAATTTGTTATCGACCACATTCTGGACGGTCAGAAAATCTCCGTCCCATCTGCGATTTTGGAACACGGTGAGTATGACGTCCATTTTTTCAGCGAGTTCGATGAGTTCCCTCGCCTCACCTGACGTTACGGTGAAAGGTTTGTCGACCACCACGTGCTTTCCTGCGCGCAGAGATTCATAAGCGTAGTGGAAGTGCGACGAGTTAGGCGTGGCGATCACCACGAGCTGGATCTCCTTGTCTAGAAGAATATCATTCAAGTCGCGCACGACTTCCACCCACGGGTATCTCTTGGGCGATTCCTGGGTTCGGCGCTCCAGCACTTTTGCCAACTTAAACTGAGATACGGCTGCTATGACAGGAGCATGGAATACCTGTCCCGCCATTCCATAGCCTATCAACGCCACTTTGATAGCGTCGCCCATGGTGACTTCGCTGTTCGTTCGAGCCTGCAGCTAGAATCAGCCGTCACGAGAATTCTGAAATTCGGAAGAGGCCTCTTTCCGCTCAGGAATCACGCTTCTTCATCGGGCATCGGTGACACCATCTGGATAATCACAACCCTAAAACATATAACACACGAGACTGTCATCATAGTTTGGTAGACGCAACCTACACCGTCAATCCACACCTCACCCGAACAAAAACGAATCGGTTGTTGCTCTTCCTAAATTTCGCTGGACGAAGAGCCCACGACATCCATTCCTTCAACACAACATTCGCTTGACCGTGACAGTGCCGAGGAGCTGGCTGGACTGAGCTAGTTTCCAGGCCAAATTAAGACATTCTACGAGTGCATCAAAACTGGATTCTTGAGAAGGGAATCAGGTCTTGCTAACGCCGCTGGAAGTTCTTATCACCTACCCACCTTTGGTAATCGGCGAATCGTAAGGGACTCGGTGGCACTCAGCTGCTGCACCCTTCGAGGACGAAGGCTGTGATGTACGTGGGAGTGCTCAAGCTTGTGCATGAACTTGCATTTGCTCCTTTCTCTACATTACTTCTTTCTGTCGTTCATCTTGCCATCTTCAAAGTCGAAGTAGTGGGCCTCCGAGAATGAATACGGTACAGAAATCGAAAGTCAGCTGCTTCCGTTGTGGCGATATCCGTCCTCGAATTTCTCGGCCAGTGCAATATATTCATTTTAGTGGGTACGGTGTGCAGTCAATGGATTCGATCATGAAGCCGACGTTACTGTCGTAGAAGTGTTGAGTAAGCCTATAGGACCTAAGGGTGGGAAGAAGATCAGGTTCGAGTGATGATCGTTCTGATGGGGTTCAGAAGGAAAGACTCTTATCGCAGAAGCGACCATCTCTCTTCACTTGGCGTTGAGAGAATTACTCGATCTTACTCTCATTTGTTCCAGTGTGACATGCGTTGGCTAAGAGAGCAGCGAGTATAAGCCAGTATATGGTACCAATCTACTCGTGAAATATTCGATGGGAGAAATAGAGACATTATTTTATTAGAAAATCATGTCGATAGCTTGCATTTATCCGATGTTATAGTATGTATATATATATATATATATATTATTTGTAGAATCCTTCATTAGTCAAGTAAAAACATTTGAGTATTTTACACATGATTGATGAATAAAATATTATTAATTAAAACATGTTTTATCTTGGAATTAAGCAATATATAATACTTTCAAACATAAATTAAAGTAAAAAAAATCAATTCAATATTGCAAGTTATGTTAAACTTTATTTCAAAATCTACTTTTGATTTTTTTACTGTTATTAAATTATTACTACTATATATTTATTATTAAGATATAATATCAATATTCCTCATGTACATTGATAGTATTGATAAGTATATTTTGAATCTTTTGAATAAGAATTTCAAAACATGTAATGATTTTTATGAGTTAATTCAAATCTTTTAGAATATAAAATTAATTACAACATTTTTCTATGGCTTGTTTGAAGAATGTAATCTACGTGATACAACCATGTGGCTCTAAAATATATTTTGTAAAAGAGACAATAATTTATACATACTTGGATTGAGGCAAACTTTTAACAATTTAAATGCAAGATTTTATGAATTTATGAAATCAAAAAAATTTTATGGAGTGTGTGTAAGCCATATATATATATATATATATATATATTTGAAAAAGTTAAGTAATGAAATCAAAATCTCATTATTCCAATACTCTACTTGAATAATTTGTTAGATTTGACAAAGAATCAATTTAATTTTGACAGACGCAAAAACTAATTTAATTTTGCATTCACTGTGAAATATTTGCATAAGTTCAAAAGAATATTGGACATGCATATTCATTGAAAATTTGGAAAAAAAACTACGATTATTAAAAGATAGCAGATACGTACAATGGTGTGCTTGACAAGTTTAACTATACAAACTCTACATGAGTATGAATAATTTTGGCTACACACTTCAAACTTTCTTCACTTTCATGTGTAATTGATGTATGTTATTGAAAGTAAAAGATGTCATCAATTACTTATAACAACATTGTAAGTAGATTCATGCATTTGATGTTATTTACAATATTGTTTTACTTATAGATGAACATGTATATGTCAAATTCACAAAAGTTGCATTGAAAAATTATGAAATGAATTTTCAAATACTTCTATAACATTCTAATTATGATATTTTGTGTAATTATTCAATAGACAATGTCAAATCCTTGCTATGTTATGTTGATTATGTACAAGAGTCAAAAAAAACTATGTAATAAATTATTTATTTACATTTGATGAGAGTAGCATCACTTACAAATTTATTATGCATGAGTGTGTACTTTAATTACAATGAAAGCTAAATATATGACGGCAGCATAAGCAATAAAGAAAACTATTTTGTTGAATCTAATTAGCATTTAAATGAATTTGAAACATGAAGTTGTTAACTTCATTTTGATAATCAAAGTGAAACACATCAAACATCAATTTATTGTATGTGCAGTTTTTGATTAAAAAAAATTTGAACTAATCAAAATTCATGAGAAATTCATACGTTGATCAAAGTAATTTATTTGGATTATAAGTAGATGACATACAATGTTGACATACTTTGCAAGTTTTACATTAGGTGCATTAGTAAAATTTACCAGCACTTTGTTATATATATATATGATCACGTTTTAGCCACAATGTAATTTTTATTTTACATGTTTTAGCTTTAGTTTACATAGTCTATGTGATAGATTGTTCTAGATTATCTTGCAGACCAACTATATAAATTATAGAGGCTAAGATCCTCATGATATAAAGTAAGGAGAGTATTGTTTGGATTTAACTCCGAGTTCTGAATATATAAGAGATAGTTAGCTTCATGTTTAAGGTTTAGATAAGTTCTAAACCTCAACAATGTCACTAGCAAAAGCTCGTGCTGATATCTCTATAAAAATTTTCAATACAACTTGAGGTGTTTGCTTGGAAGTAGAACTCAGGAATCAATCAGGTATGTTCGTTGTGTTTGTGTTTATTCCTGCATATGATCTTGAGTTATCAAACATTAGCAATGAGGTTTCAGCAAGTTAACATAATCAATGATATCAATATCAAATTCTTTATGTTAAAATTCGTTTTTAATCAAAATGAATACTTTCATGATAACATATATCATTTATTTGAAAAAAAACAAATAAAAAAGCTATTTTAAAAAAATTTATCATATACAAATTTTGAACTTGTTTTAAATTATAATCTATATGCATGATGATAGAATATTTTGGATCTATTAAAATAACATTTTTTAGACTAGTATTTTCAGTATTTATTTTTGAATCATTTATCATATATTGATAAAGATTTTATTGTTAAAATTTATCATTATGTAATTATATTTAAATAAAATACATATGTTTGAAACTAATATAAAATTAAAAAAATTTCACTACTTAAATGTGGTGGGGGGCAATGTATTCACTTGGACGCTTCAAGCAAAATGTTTTAACAAAAGATGTTCAAAACATGTCTGATCTATGTGATGTTTGAAGTTTGATTTTCAAGAGTAAATTACTCGATATAATGTAAACATCTTTAGTTAGTTAGAACTAAAGTACATATAACTCAAGATGAAATTATAATTATTTTAGCGTGCATTAGTCAGAGCTACCACGTAAGCAATCTGCCTGTTTGATAGTTAAAGAGTAAATGTGTTAGTTGGCAGCGTCATGTTAACGATCCGTGTGTTTATTAGGCAAGGATTTGATGTGTTAGTTGAGAGAGTCACTTCAACAAGCTATGTGCTTAGTAGGTAGAGAGTAAATGTGTCAGTTGACAGCATCATGTTAGCGAACTTTGTGTTTGTTAGTTAAAGAATTGGATTTGTTAGTTGACAGTGTCACGTCAGCGGTCCGTGTGCTTGGTAGGTATAGAGTAAATGTGTTAATTGACAGCGTCATGTCAGCAATCCGTATGTTTTGTACGTTGAGAGTAAATGTGTTAGTCGACAACATCACGTCAGCAATCTCTACGTTTGTTAGGTTAAGAATTGGATGTGTTAATTAACAGCGTCACGTCAACAGTCTGTGTGCTTGGTAGGTAAAGAGTAATTGTGTTAGTTGACAGCGTCATGTCAGCAATCCGTATGCTTGGTAGGTAAAGAGTACGTGTGTTAGTTGACAGCATCATGTCAGCAATCCGTGTGCTTGGTAGGTAGAGAATAAATATGTTAGTTGACAGCATGACGTTAGCGATCTCTTTGTTTGATACCTAACTGTAACCATCTTTAGTTACTAAAAACTAAAGTAGATGTTACTCTAAATGTTGATATATATACTTTGGAGTACATTAGTCGTAGTTGCCACATCAGCGATCCGTGCGCTTGGTAGGTAAAGAGTATGTGTGCTAGTTGACATCGCCACGTCAACAATCCGTGTGCTTGTTAAGCAAAGATTGAGTGTGTTAATTAGTGTGTTAGTTGGGAGCATCACGTTATCGATCCGTGTACTTGGTAGGGTTATCTGTCACGTCATCCATCACTAGGAGTGGGATAGATGGTGGAAATAAGATCTTATCTCCTTGTACTTGTTGGTGAGAGCTATATAAGGGAGAGTATAACCATTGTTGGGATCTCTCATGTTCAGAGTTTACGTTTCTATCTTTGAGTAAAAATTTTCTCTAAAACCTAGTGTTACACTCACACACAATCTTAGTAAACAAGGTCACTTCAGCAATCCGTGTGTTTCCTAGTATTATCCGTCACATCATTATAATCATCTTTAGTTAGTTAGAACTGAAAAAAGCTACTTAAGATTGAGTAGAATAAATGATAGTGGAATATCTATAATGTCACGTCACCAATCCGTGTGCTAGTTAGTATATTAGTTGGGAACGACACGTCATGAATCTTTGTATTTGCTAGGTAAGGATTGAGTGTGGTAGTTAGTGTGTTAGTAGTAAACGACATGTCATCAATCAATGTGTTTTTTAAATATATATGTCATGTCACCAATCCACTAGGAGAGTATTGGATGGTGGGGTGAATACATTATCTTCGTGTATGTGTTTGAAGTATCTATATAAGAGAGAAAACAACCATTCAAGATATCTCATCTTCAAAGTTTATGTTTTCATTTTTGAGTAAGTTTTTCTCTAAAGCCTAATGTTACATGGGATCCCGAGAAAATTCAAAATATTTGATGTAGTCCAACAAGTTTCATTTTACCAACCAAGATCCCATCGACAATCCAGGCAACCCACAATCAGTAATGCTTCGATACAACCGGGGATTATTTTGGATAAGAAGATGAAGTTCTAGCAAAATCAAGAGTACTTTGTATTCTCAAACATGGCTACGAACTATGAACTCATGGTGACTCTTGCTTTTGAGCTAATTGATCGAAGCCCAAAAATACCCTTGCTGATTCAATTGGATTTTGGAAACGAAATGCATGGTTAGAACGCCAGACATATGACCGACTGTTCATTGGTGATTGAAAATTTTAAATAAGAACGCCGAACCTGATGGCTCATTGATCGATTGATAATAACAAAGCACGAACGAAAGACTCTTTGTAAAATTCTTCTTTTGCATCTCGTCTTGTCTCGTGTCTAAGCTTACTTGCTTGAATTAGGGTATGAATGTTTGATGACTACACTTGTGCTGTATGTGACAGGCGAATTAACAAAGCAACGGGGGTCGAAAGATTGCTACTACTCATGATCTTGTCGCTGGTCATAAGAAGTTTTATCGGAACAAGACTGACGGTGGAATGTATGGCCGTCGATTGGATTTCTATCGGATAAAATGAAACTTCTTGGGTTCCATTACCAGGTTTGAGTTTTCAAGGGTCTAATTAAGTAATTCCCTCGATTTTGAAACATATTATAAAAATCGCCCATAATGGCATTTTAACATGTATAGTTGAATCTTCAAGCTTAAGACGATCATAAGCATATGTTCCGAATCTAGTAACCCCGGCTCCGCCACTACTTAAATGAAATATAATTGTATTGATAATAATATTCAATGCAAACGTTTAAAACATGTGATACTTTTTAAAAATTAAACAACAAGAAACAAATTCTATGAAAGCGTTACATATTGTAAGATTTTTGTCATTTTGAAATATTATATTCATCTTCATAAAAAAATCATCACTCAATTTACTAATATAAGATACATAAATTTCTTCAATCATTTTGAAACACATTCAATAATTTAAAGTTTATTTATTATTCTTATAAATAAATGCGTGAAATTTATATTTCATAATGCTTTTACGATAGTCAACCTTCATTAAAATTCTTATTCTTTTTATAGCAAATAAAATGCATTAGATCACTCATTTACTTTTACATGTCATGTTGATAACATTATATATTGACTTTGAAAAGTAAAAGAAATATCAATTTTGTATTGAAGTATTGTTGATAGCAATTATATTATAATAAGTGCTAATTTACTTGGGAGATTTTTGAAAAATGAAGATTCTAAAAATAAAGTTATGACACTTATTTTTCAAATGAGATTCCTAAACATGATAACCAGACAAATGAAATTATGAAAAGAATTCAATAATTTCATACTTAATAAACAAATCCATGATACTCAAAGGGATCAATCTCATATCTTGTCATGATATTACTAGGAACAACAAATTTTTAATTCTGATTAATGATATATAGGCCTAAACTTATGCTAGATTTCATGTAACATTCATGAACATGTAATATTTTGTCATCACATATAGTATGCATATGAAAAATTCTAACAGAAATATGAACCTTACATAGTTGTGGAAAGTCAATGTCCTACATACTATAGAAAGAATGAGTACATCGATTTATTCAGAAAATTATAGAAATCTTAAGCCAACCTCGGCCACAAAGCTCATTCCTACAATGTAAGGAAAATGTAAGTAAGACTGAACTCAGTCAAAGGTAGTTTGCACAAAGTAGAGTGAGTGACACAAAGTGAGTATGCGAGAGTGAAAATAAAATTATTATTATTATTATTTATTCTCACTGAGCTTGGTCCCCGGAACATGTACTATTACGTTCTTGTCCCGTGGTGGAAGTTATCGTGAAATGATAGAAGGTGATCCCGGGGCTCGATATTCTTCGCATCCATGCATTATGGATGCCAAATGTGATGAATCTCCCGAATGAAAGCGGTCCTTTGTATTCACAATTCTTCGCTCTAGTTCAACACCAATGCGACAACACGCGCCAAGTATGAGGATGAGGCGGTTCTCTCTTGACAAGTTCGTTAAAGCTTCTCTTCACGCGCACGGAAATAAAGAGGCTGAAGTGAAAATATCGTAACTTGGACTGTACTCTATGTGTCCGTTGTCCCATTACTCCAAAAGGAATAACCGTCAGAAGCGAAAATTTCTGGATAAAAGCGCAGTATGCCCAATCTGTTCAAGCTCCCGGTTGGGCCCGCGGTTGGCGCATGCCTGGAGCTTGCAAGTCGCGACGCACCACATGGACCACTGAGCCTTCGATCTGCAGCGAGCGAGGTCCTAATTTGCGCCTTTGCCAGGGCTCTAACTCTGCACTCTTACCACACAACCAAAACGGAAAGCTTTTTAAAGCGCGAGCGGAAGTCGCGCGGGTTGGTATATTTGTTCTCTCTTTCTTCGGCCTTAGAAACTCATCGGTCTTGGACCGCGTCAACTGACGGATTTGGTCGCGTGCGTCTACCGATGGATCGACTATGTTTCCGATGGTCACTCATGCACGCCCGAACCCGTAGATTGTAAGATGCGGATAATACGACACGCTCCTACGCAGGCGCGTCATAATTCCCCGGAGTCCCCCGGCGAGATCAGAGCAGGCCAGGAGGTCAGTCGCCGGTCAAACAGTCCCAGGGGTGATGCCTTACGGTCCTCTCTGTTGATCGAGGAGCAAGATGGACTCGGACTGTGTCTTGAGAGAGAAGCTAGTGCCTTCGCAATCCTTTGACTCGAGCGTCGATTTGTCGTCGTGAAGTCCCGACTGGAGTATATAAGGCCCACCACTCTGCCCACTCTCTCCAGAGCCCGAAGCTGCTCGTAGATCTGAATCTGCAATTCAGCGCTTGACATCAACTTCCTCTCACTATCTCAAGTACCTTGGCGTCGATACAGAAGTCGATTCCAGTCAAGTCGCTGGATTGCAGATTTCGGCATTTTTCTCTTCAGTCGCCGTTTTTCTCTTCTGGTACGTTATCGGCCCTGCGCGATTTGTCAGGAAGTACTTCCAAGACTAACATCTTGATGTAAATTTCAGCCTAAGCTGTCATCGCTGATAGTACTCTGCTTGACCCCTGTAAGCCGTTTACACTGAATTCAGCGTGACAGAGCTGTCAGCTGTGAGTCATGATCTCTGCTTAGCCTTGATCCATTAGCATTCCGTACAGCATCAATTTGTCCCTGCATTTTTATTTTTATTTTTATTCTGTATCTCATCCTCCTGTAGCAGTGTCAAGGTTTGGGCGTCGTTTCACTTTACAAAATCTTTAGATATAGTTCAGATCTAGAAAGTATAGAGATCAATGCTTCATGTTATCATCGGTTGATTGATCAGATGACCTCCGTGAGACTATGATTAATTTTCATATTTATGAATTTGTGGATCCATTTACTTACTCATTTGGAATGTGTCTATAAATCGCTTGCAGCTTCAGTCCTGAATTGTCGAATTCAAGGAATAAAGATTTCTTCTGAACTCTTCGGTTTTGCACCTTGGACTATTCTGTTCGTTCGATTCACCGACAAACCATCTGGTATGGCACGTTTCACTTCCCAACAAGATTTGACGCTTGACTCCTGAACTGCGTTCGGAGTGATGTTGGAACGTTTGGACATGATCTTACAATACCTCATAGAACTTGGCTCATGCATAAAACTGCGTCTCACATATGTTCGAGTTTCCAGATGATCGGAATCCGAGACTAGCAGCTCGAATATCCTGAGCATAATGTCAGCTCCAGTTCTCTCGTGTGATATCGACCTTCATCAAAATTCCCGAATCCAGCTATTTTAAATGCGTGCTGGCAGTTTGAGGATTCCAAGACAGTGAACTGTCAGCACTCATACTAAGATCAGCAAGTTGTTCTCGATACACGATCACGTTATAATGTGACTTCCTTGTTGACCTTCTCGTTTCAGGGCTCAGGACGCCCGGTTGACTCGGCAATGGCCAGGAAAGGAAGGGGCCGTTTTCTCGGCAAACAACTTGGTGGTAAGAAACTTGGTGACCCTCAAGAAGAGGAAGAGGATGTGGCAATGTCCGACGGCGACCAACAAGGTAAGAGCTCAATCTCGGCGCAGAGGCATTTGCAGCAGTTCCTATTTTTTGACGGGATTACTCTTTTAAGAGCAATTCTAGTTGTACTAAGAGTCTCCACTTCATTGTACTTGTCGCAATGCTCAGCTCGCTGTTGAACCGTGAAAGCTGAGTTTCAGCTGTCGATCAATTTAGTGAGAGAGGACTAGAATTCTAGAAAGATTTTACTCCACGAAGTGCTTACGACTGAACTTGAGCAGCAGTCCTGGTCTGAAGCACAATAAGACACTACTGATCTGGTTGAAATTTGACGAGAAATTTCAATTTCATATGCTAAACCATGACCCATGGTTAGCATATGATCACGTCCTGGATATTTTCGTCCATGATAGTTTCATCATTCAGCAACTGGAAGAGAAGTTCAACACTGCATTGAAAATCGGCTTCTCGTAATCCAAATTTCTCATTCTGCATTCTGAATCACTTGACTGTTTTCGTCACTCAGAGTCGCTTGGAGATGAATCGATTAAGTGGCAGAGCAAAGATTGGGAATGGCCAGCCTACAACGAGTCCTACAACTCGGACGGTGAGGTAATAGAGCGAACCAGACGGAAATCGATCGGCGAGGAGGGGGAGAAGGAACCCTTCGAGGTGATCTACTGCATCATGAAGCGAATACCGTGGCCGGAACTCGTGCTCGTAGAAGTGCACTCGCCTCATCTCCGGAAGGTTCTGTTCAAATGCTGGCCCTCGAAGCAGAGATTGCTCGCAGACCAGACCTTCAGCTTCAAGGGAAAAGACCTCTATCTCAAACTGGACCAACTCAAGGCACTGCTAGATCCAAAGCTGGCGGAATCGAAGTCCGACGAACCTCTATCGGCCGAGAGAAGCGAGCAAGTGCAGCTCCGCCATCTGATCCGGTTTCTCGAGCTCGAGTACTCCACGGCCGGCAAGGAGCACGAGCGCATGAAAGCACAAGGTCGGGTATCGTTCGACATGTTGTGGACTTTCCTCGTTCCCGGAGTGAACGTCGTCTTCCGAAGCCCATACACGGAAGACGACATGTGCGGCAAGGTGAAGAAAGCCGTCTACAGACTGAACTATGACTGTCCCCGCAGAATGTGCCTCGCCGTCAAGCTCGAGGTGTACAAGTACGATTGCAAATCCTTCGACAGCGAGACCGATTGGTCCGAAGTCGTCATGTATGGCGGCGAGAAGCCCTTCGGCAGCCTGCCAATTTATCCCTTCGGCTCGACTGCAGAGTCTCCCGAGAGCTTGGAGAAGCGATTTCTGGCCCAGGGTGATGCTTATGGGCACCTGGCCACTTCCGTCAAGCATCGGTACATGCAGTACAAGGGGGCCATGTTCAGGCAGGTGGTGAATCAAAATGGCCAGACACGGGTTGCGAAAGACTACCTCGATGCGGGGAAGGTGATGGTGGACCTGTACAGCTATTGCCTGCTCGAGGGCACTAACTCTCTGGACAGCCCCCAGCTGCCGGCCGAGGTCTCTGATGGCACTATCTCGACCGTGGACATCTCGCAGGACCCGAATCGCATGTACTCGCCGGGCTTCGTGCACGGGTTCTCGTTCCGTGTCAAAAGGTGGGGCACCTTCTCCATCAGCGGATTCAGCGAAATCGTCTTCGATGAGGGCAGGTCGTGGAATCAGCTCGTCATGAACCCGGTTCTCAAGGAGGTGACCGAGCATCTGGTGTCCGAGCATCTGAAGAAGTCGAGGGAGGAGGCTAACAATAGTTCTCATCACCAGGGCATCGACCCCATCGCCAATAAGGGCGAGGGGTGTGTGATCATCTGCTATGGTCCTCCCGGCACGGGGAAGACTCTCACCGCCGAGTCTTTAGCCGAGAAGCTGCGAGCTCCTCTGTGGTCTCTCAGCGTTTCCGAGCTGGGCCTGACGCCGGAAATTCTCGAGGATAAGCTCGTGTCGATTTTGGAGGTGGCCAACTCTTGGCACACCATCCTCCTCCTGGACGAGGCTGATGTGTACCTGGAGAAACGGACTGTCTCCTCGGATCTCACTCGCAATGCTATGACCGGCTTGTTTCTGCGATACCTCGAGTACTACAAGGGAGTTCTGCTGCTCACCACGAACCGCATTCTCACATTCGACGATGCGTTCCGATCCCGAATCTCCGTGTTCTTGCGCTACCCCAAATTGACCACGGATCAACGGCAGATCATCTGGACCAACCTGCTGAAACGAGCGCAATTGGAAGGGGACGAGAGTGGCGTCCAGAAGCTGGTGCATGACATGGCTGGTTTAGAATTGAATGGGCGAGAGATTCGGAACGCCATCCAAAATGCACAAACCTTGGCCCGACACGTCAAGGAACCTCTAACTTCCAAGCATGTGATGAATGCAACTGGGGTCATGGTATCATCTCTCGCTTCTCTCCAAGACGACTGACACTCACGTGCATGAAGACTGAATTGTGTACTGTACCCGCATTCCCCACTCTTGAAATTGGCTCTCTTTCATCGTCCATTCCTCAAAGAGAATCCATCTAAGTTCGCTTCTCCGACACCCAGCGTCCAGTATATTCATGCGCTCATGGCACTGGATGGCTCGAACCCCAATTTTTCGTCATAGTTCAGAAAGGATAGTTGGACTGCTGGGATCGAGCTAGACAGAAGCTAGCGCAGTCCTGAGAGCCCAGAATTTCAGGTCCAATATTCGTGGGGGCGAAGGCCTGGTTTTCCTGGGGCTAGTACACAGGAAATTTTGGTAGTGATTCGGACCACCAGCAAAAGCTAGTGTCCTTCAGACCGGGTTCTTTTGTCTTTAGGTCTAAGGAGTTGAGAGAGCTCCGGAGCATCTCGCATCCTTCACTGGGTTTCCTGTAGAAAGTCCTTAATGCAGGTTTAAGGTTTGAAGATTCGGAGAGTTTTTGGATTAACATGTACCGAAAGAGAATATTTTTGAAGTGTTCGCTTGATTCCACAGATTTTTTCAGCCCCCAGAACTCGAATTATCTTTTTGACAGTGGATTTATCGTGAGAGCTGATGTGCGCGAACCTTAGCTAAATAATTTCCACAAAATAATCTACCAAGCTTGCAAACATAACAAACTAGTCTCGATCCCTACGATGATATTTAAGAACTTATCAACTTTTAAAAGAGTGAAGTTTCAATTGCTAGAATTAAAATTTCGAAACAAATTTTTAACTAATACTTAAATTTTAACTTGAATACTTAAAGCTCATTTAAGTGCAGATTAATTATTGTAAACCTCGAGATGTGTGACCGACTCTACACGAAGCTTGTGATCAAAGATCAACTGCAGGGAATAAGAAATAACGATAACTGATGAATGAAGACAAATCTGAACGTGTCTTGTTTGAATGACAAATCAGGATAATTTTACTCGAGCGCACCCTTTTACCGAGGCCCAATGTGCCGACCAATCGCGGACAGCATTCACTGCTTGCTTGAAGCGTGGCTGGTAAGCGCATATTTCTTTCCTAGTTTTGAAGGTCTCGACTCCGGCCAAATTTCAACTGAAACTTTCAACCTTAGTTTTGATTCAACTTACTATGTCATAGCCACCTCGTGAAACCCACTGGTCGACATCATCAAATGGCAATGTAAATAAAAACTTGAAGCATGTATTTAACTCAGCTCTTACAGTGAACACTGAAGTTTGAACGTGGTAATGAGAAACAAAAACCGAAGATCGGATAGGAGGTGCAGTCTAGAATCACTTCCATCAGAACTGCAAGTCGTGAACACTGTTGTCATGATGTGAAGAGACAGGGATTTCTCGTAAACATACTCATAACCAGATTCAGGGATCAAGAACTGAAGAAGCTAATGAAGCATGGAATTACTGCTCATTTGGCACTGCAGCAAAATCATCGAATGTTCTATTCTGCGTCTACCATGAACCTTGGTTTTAGTAAACTTAGGACCACTACAAGAGCTGCTCAAGCATACAGAAACCTTTGCAACAGTACGGGGCATTAATCTTGGGGTGTTTTGCTAATAGACAGGCCTTGCTTATCTGCAGTTCAGCTCAATGGGATTCCAAACGAAAGCAAGATTCCTGCACAATCTCTATCATATAAGCTTTCTAAGTACAGTACTGTACTTGGATGCATTTGGGGGAGCGAAATCCAAAGAGCTTGTGGACCTGATCCCCAATAGCGTGTGTGAACTTTTTGCTTGATTCTTTTCTGAGAAATTAAGTTTTCTCTGCTCTCTTTGACTTTCCAGCCAATGTCATACAATACAATAGATGCTAAGATTCATCTCATTCGGCTTGATAGATTATCAGTACTCAGAGTGTTTACTCACATCAAATAAACGTGTAACAATTACACCGTTTACATAAGAAAATCGTTGTAATTGATGGAATGAAACATTGCATCTGAAAACCGAATCGAACTTCCATTCAGTATGGGCGCCGCTGAAAAGACAGCAGGCAAGTGAGATTTCCCTGCATCAAGTGGACCTCAGTGTTGCAATGTGCCGAGCGACTAAGGTTCAGACTCATCGACTGCTTTGTCTTTTCGCTAAAAAAAGTGAAATCCTTCTCAGGACTCAAAACTTTTTGTTACCTCGGTGGTCGTCCCATCAATTTTGATATTCATTGGGCCCTCTCCCTATAAACTCGAAAGAAGATATAGAGGACTACATCTCCAGAAGCGAGGTGGAAGACATCTCTCGAACTTACTAGGCACTGAATGCAAAACAAGCTTTAGACTCATCTACGCATATTAGCTCAGTGATCAGCTCAAACATGAGTCCAGGTGCGGAGCAGTGCCATCTGGTTCAAGAGTTTGTGAGCTCGATCTCGGTGAATAATTGAGAGCGTAGGATTCTGCAACTTTATGTTTTAAAATTGTGATCAGTTATGGTCGCAGAAGGAATAGGTGGCAACACAGGCCCACACTTCACCTCAAGGAAACAATTGATGGCTTCAACCTCCACCATCGACTGCATCCCCGCAAGCCCTTTGATCAATTTTCTTCACAATGATCGAGTGGACTCAATGAAGGGGAAGTTCCGGGAAACAGAGGGATATCGATCAAACATCGATAGACAAAGAAAGCAGGTCACGTCGCACAACATTTATTCATTTTTCGGAATTCTCTCTGACTGTCGAGGAAAAGAGAGTGCAATTCACATTGCCGCGTCAATCTTGGGCTCCAGAGAGAGCCGCGACCCCTGCCTTCCTCGTCGAACGTAGAGCCTCAGAGTTTTCACCTTCTCCTATTGTACATCAACATTGGCTTGCCAAGCCAACGTTGATGTACAATGTATGTTTTAGGTGTTAGGTGTCATCATCCCATGTACACTATTACTAATCACATATTGAAAAACTGCATGAGTTTTGGGATTGACATGTGGAACTTGTGGACTTGTTGTGCTCAAATTATGTTATGAGAGAGGCTAGCGCACAAGTGTTTTCCAGAATCATATGTGAGTGAAGTGGGAAATCTCTTTGGGCCCGCAAAGACATCTCTTATCTGCACGTGTAAGGAGTTAGTATTATTGCCAAAGCCTTGAGAAAATAAGATGGGTGAAGTGTGTTGGGTTTGTAAGCAATGCTTGCCCAACACTTTGTACAGGAAGACTTCGTAATAACTTATGCAAGTCATTCCATTACTACAAAGGAATCAAAGTACAGTTAAATGGTCGGCAAATGTTTGAGAAATTTCACATGTTATATGTTAAAAAAGTTACTAAATTTGTATAAAGGGTAATAATCATTACTCATATACATGATGGAATCATATATACCATGATATGAATGACTTAAGTTGAAATTAGTATGACTGTAATATGAAGAGAGGGCTAGTTATCACTCGGTTAGGTCTAATTAGACCTCACTCTACTATACGTAATTTTCTTATTTGTCGATACAAGGTAATGGTAAATGTAATAGGGTGTTTAACCAATCAGATAATAACGTGAGAGTGAGAGTTAATCAACCCTAGCCCTTCACTATATATCTATCATTGTAAAAACACGTGTTTATACAAAAGATTGGCTTATCAAGAGGTTTATTGTTTAGCAGAATGGCTTTGGTGGGTTGAAACCTGCAATGTCTTTCACGCTACAGCTGTATGTTGAGCGTCATTCTTTAAGACTTAGAAGGATTCAAAGATGTCTTAATGTACAGTTTATCATTATATGAGGACCTAGTATGTGTTATAACTATGTATGTTTTTATACAATTTGTGCATAATATTAGTCCAAAGCTAATGACACTTAATTAACCATCCTCATAAGTTTGTTATATCTAACATCGTTTCAGCACTTGAGATTTGGATGATAATGGCAACCCATGATTGGCCACCGTAATTTAAAGTCAAAAATTTTGCTTTGTAGGTCACCTGTAAATAATTTTGAGTATGTGTCGGGGTTACAGTCCCTCGGAACGAGGGCAACAGTTAGTGAGCCGTGTAATGGGCAACTATTTCGCGAATCCAACCCGTGTTACAATCTCAAATTATCTGCCCCGTGTTAATTTACGGACTTCTTAGATTAAATAGCTATCTTATTTTTGCAAGTGGGCCAATCCAATTATTCAACATCTACGAATTGTGAAATCTCCACAAGATAGATATTATCTGCCACAGTAGTTAATGTGGGAAGGCATAGACAAATATGTAAAAAAATGACCAATTTGTCCTTCAGGACAAACCCAACCTTTAACCATTGTTTGATAAATCACTATTAAACAAACAATGGTCTCGGTACAGCTTTTCTCCTGGGTTTTACAGTGAAAGAATGACATAGAGTACAAGGGGAGAGGACAAAGTTCTGAAACACCTGCCTTGCACCACACCAGGCTTGGAATGAGGGGGCATCGATGAATGGATTGTGAGAAGCACAGGGCTCAGCTGATGATGCTGTTACCCCGAAGCAAGTCCGTGTGCTACTTACTATTGTAAAATATAATGGTTTTATATGCCGATAAAATATGCAAAATCTTCAGTCTTCACTGCACAGTTTTGACATCTTATTTAGATCGATTTGGTGCATCCACCGTTGGTGCCTAAGTATCAGAGTATTAAACCCTCCATAATGGCGGAATCATAATGATCTTAGACTGATACGCTGAACTTTCTTCCTTTAAAGAACAAAACATGCAACATCACTTGACAACATGTTTTATTGCATAAGGCAGATGTCATTTCACAATACCTTTAGATCCTATTTTGGACGTGTTATTACATATTCGTACTTATTTTCGTATGAAGGTTAGTTATACGTATTGTTTCAGTGGTGGTCAATAACTGTTTCTGTATTCAGTGTTCAATGTTGCTGACTTTGTCATCAACATGCAGACTGTGATTTCTCAGATCTTCAACTACTCCTCCTTAAGAGTTGAATTAATGTGGTGCAACACCTCCATTGCTATGGCCCATATGCAAATTGAGTGAGTCATATGTGGTTGGCAATGCGATACTAGGCTGGTCAGTACACTGAATTGGGACAGTTGGTACATTGACGGAACAGCACCAATGGTATAAGCGGATTAACTTTAGTTTCATAAAGTTTAGGATTTCTCCAAGTTCAGGGCGTTCTAAGAGACGATGTGTATTGATGGCTACACGGGATAGATGTCTCTTGTGCCTCTCCTTAAAAAACGTCTTCACATAAAATCTGAAATTCGAGGTTAAATTTTCTGAACTTGAGTATGATAACAGTTTTAGATAGAGCCATAATTCTCAACACAAATGACTAAACAAATAACATTTTGGATAGTTGCAACACTTGAAGGCATAGGAGTCAACATCAAGAAAATTTTCTCAATATGACTATGATCTAGCTGTTTTTTTTTCTAAGAGAAGCTCAAGACTAGCTCCAAAAGTTTTTCTTACTAATTCAGAGGCAGGCAATTCCAGCTATCATACTTTGAGTATCATAAAGATTTTGGTTAGTTAAATCTTAAGGTGGAAACAATTAATTATACCTTCATATCGCGATATAATCAATGTTTCTTAATTTGTTTACGATGCGACTTGTAAATGGTGAGTATATGCATTTTATCAGTTTGATCATTATGGAATTAAACTTGTCAAAAGCTACGTTAGCTTTCAACATTCGGATTTGAATCTCCAAAAGAAATTAAATGAATTTTTCTTTCATGAAGTTTCACAACAAGTAGCAATTTCAGATTATAAATTATCATCTTTTCTTTTTTAAAAATTTTAATTGCAATTTTAAAATGTATATATGAGAATTAACTAATTCGAGAGATGTGATGTAAACTTTTGAGTCGAAGTAGGTTTGTTATAGATAAAATGCATTAGAAAAAAAATTTCTTGTTAGTTGTGAAATCTGAATAATAAAAAATTTTGTTAATGTTAGCATTAATATTTAAATTTGAAATATTTTTTAAAAACTAATAATTCATTTTAAAATTTTTAAAATCTAGAAAATTTTAATATTTTGTTGTGATTTTTAAAAATATATGAATTTTTTACTTAGATGCATGTTTGAAATAATATGAATATTATTACAAAGGTTTGAGTAATAAATTGTCATCAATGAACACTTATAATACAAATCTATGTCTTGATTGAAAATTCAATCAAATGAGTATTGAATGTAATATTATAGCTTAATGAGTATGATTACAATCAAAATTCATAAATCGAAGAATGTAATAGGTAAAAGATTTTTTAATACCTATTTATTTTGTTAAAAAAAATTTGATAAAGGCAAAGTTTTCTATAATGAAAGTATTAATGAGACAATATGAATCTGTTGTATTTAAAAAAATAAAATGAAATGAAGATTTGAAATATATCATGAGTTTTACATATACAAAAATCAGACTATTGTAATGTGATGAATTTTTTAAAATTTGTGACAAGATTCAAAGTTGAAACTCATGATGAAAAATATAATAATGCAATGACATTTGAACAAATCTATTTGAACGAGAGTAAAATTTTTAATTATTGGATACTCTTATGCTTTCTTCTTGTAGTTAAGCAATTATAAAAATTTGGATGAAGGTTATGGAGAAATGAATTATAAAAAAAATCACAATGAGACAATAAGCTTATTTCACACTTATTCGGAAGATATTTGGAGCATAGCAATGAAAATTTGTGTGAAGAATGAGATTCATATGACTTGATGCTCCTTTTCAGAGAATAGTTACAATTCGACCTTTGTTTTGTACAGTAATCTGATAGATAGTATGACATCCGGTGTTTACATTACATGCCTAAACTTCTTTCTCGCTGTTTACTTCAAACTGGGATGAAGCAAATAGACATATACTAACCAACACTACTAGATTTCCATATCCAAAAGCTGAGTGGATGTCACTCTTACAGAGCAGTACAGTACCCGCTACGTCGGCCAAATCCCACATTAGTCTACTGAAGGGATGTGAAACACGAGACTCATGACGTTGCAATTACTAATTCTACCGACAATTCTCATATTCATACGGACGTCAAAGAGACAAGTTGTCCATATTTTATATAATGAAATTATCTCCTTGGCGTGAGTCCGTCATCGGGACGATGCCGGACTCACGTTTTCTTTCTGATTTTCTGCCATATAGACATACAGGTCTACCTACCCGCAGCACGCCAAAATTTTCGGGTTAGATTAAGCACATTCTCACAAGAGGGAATAATCTTCTCCGGTAGAGAAAATCATTTTGAGACAGAAGACGATGATACAGAGACTAGACAGTTCGTTGCCTAGTGGCAGGAAGACTTATCGAAGAGAAGACCGACATCTCTTCTTCCCACTACCTTTTAACGGATGCCAGAAAACACACTCTGCAGTGGTAGACGCCACTGATCTCAGGTTTAGCTCATATACACTTAAGGCTGGATGCGGTCATCATCACATGAGCATCGTATATATGGTATTAAGATAGTACTAAGACTACAATCCCCAGTTAAGTGCCCAGCTCCATCGTCAAAGTCAGACCTCCATGTTTGGTTGGGATTTCTTGAGGTATAACATGTAAAAATTTGAGTCTTTTGACTTTTGATACAGAAGAAATCCAATTTATTTATAGGGACTCTCCAGAGCAAATGCACTGTTTAGAACAAATTCGTCAGTTCTGCCCATCCTTAGGACAAAGAACTGTGTGGAAAGCGAAAATCGTAATCCAGCCTGAGAGATAGCAACGATGCCATAGACTTTCATTACGCATTGAACCCCTAGTGCGTACCAAAATGACGCACTCATGACTGTAGAGGATTGGAGTGCGACGAAACTTCAGCAGTGACGCAGCCTTGGACGAGACAGAATCGGCGGTGGCCATGAGTACAGCCAACAGCTCTGTACGACATCCTGTAGGGCGAGATTGTCTGGAGAGAGAGTTCCACCCTACTCGAAGTGGAGCTGCTGGGGGATTCTTCTGGTACAGAGCAAGGAAAGAATCGATAGTAAGCATCGTCACTCTGCACGTTTCCCATCTCTTGACCTCCTGAGTTTCCCGTCTTCCAAGTCTTCGAGGATGGATGGACCAGGAGGATTTATAAATGGAGGCATTGAATTCGATGACCTAATTAGCTGTAACACGAGCTGAAGATCTCACAGCCTCCATGAAGGCCAGAATTCGTCTGGGATCTTTGCGAATGTTGTCAGGACCCGTGATCCCACTGGAGACATCGACGGCGTCGGGCCTCAAAGTGGACACAGCTAGCGCAACATTTTCTGGTGTCAAGCCCCCAGCTAGAAGCCAACCCTTCTTCGCGCATATGGCCGGCACTCTGAAATTAGCCCAGTCAAACTTCAAACCACTGCAGACAGAAACAGACTGAATCAGCACGATGATGAAAGCTGAAGCATTGGAGAGAGAGAGAGAGAGAGAGAGAGAGAGAGAGAGAGAGAGAGAGAGAGAGAGAGAGAGAGAGAGAGAGAGAGAGAGAGAGAGAGAGAGAGAGAGAGCGCAAGCGGTGGGGGAGGCTCACCTTCCACCTTCTAACCCATCAACGAGCACCCAATCAATAATGCTCTCTAGTTGGGGAGAGATCGTGGTTTGAAGGCTTCCATTGTGATCAGCATGCATGACGCAAATGGTTTTCAGGGATCTCGGAAGCTGCAAAGCGGAATCGCGCGCACCCTCTCCATGAAGCTGCATCACCACTTCCACATTCAAGTTCGTAAACCGTAAGCCTGATTATGTCCACGATCAAATTCGAAATTCAGGTGAATTGGAGGTCCGAGAATCATCTGCAATGGGAAATATCTGAGCTGCGAGGCAGCAAGAAAATCTACCTGCGCAAAAGAGAGCCCTACGGCATGGCAGGCTTTCTCAATCTGTGCGGCACTTTCGTCTACGAAGACTCCCACAGGCTCTGCTCCGAATTCCCTGGCAGCGGCGCAGATCTCCCTCGCCTGGCCCCAGCTCACGCTCCTCTTCGAATTCGGCCACACGATCATGCCCACATAAACTGCTCCGGCCTGAGCTGCAAACGCAGCATCCTCCGGGGTCGTGATGCCGCACATTTTCACCAGCGGAGAATAACTCCCCGCTTCTCCAGCATCTTCCACCGAATTTCGCACAGTCAAGGACTTCCTCCTCCGAGAATCGACCACATTTCCAACCCTAACTTGCACGGTTCTCCCCACTCTTCCTCGCTCGCACCATGAGAGCCGTGCAGGCGACGATGTGCTCAGCCCTCCCAAGCCTGCAAGGCTCAAAGCACTCATTCTCGTCACTCTTGCGATCTACTCCCCGAGGCTCAATTTGCGGTGCAATCGGCGCTGTTGCAAATCTTGAATATCGAGACAATCCGCAGCAGTGCACTCGAACCACGACCTGCGTCCGAGTCTTCCGAATTCAGCAGCCCAACTACGTTATCCCGTCAGCGCAGTCACTGATTGGGTGAGTCAGATGATGGGATTATGCACCGTAAAAATGTTGGAAAATTGTTCATTCCTCCGTAAACTCTGCCCCACGCGAGGGAGCATTTCCTTCGCCTCGGGCAGTCTTCACTTGCCGGCAATCGCATGGTCGGTTCCTGGAACTACCACAGCTTTCGATGACTCGACAGCTGACGGACCGACTAGCAAGTCGAATGCATGCACCATGCAGATGCATCGGATTGGACTTTGCATTTCGCTAGCATGGTCGTCTACTGTAGTTCCATCTTGGTTGTTTTCATTGTTGCGGAGACTTGTTCGAGTACGTGGTGCCATATTACTCTGTCTACTGGTTTATAATTTGAATTCCTTTGGGTTCCGAAGTTTCAGTACTTGGCGGTTAGATGGAAATTTTAATGTGCTTGTATTTTTTTTTAATTGACTTTGGAATAAAGAATGAAATTTTTCTTATAATAATTATACTTCAGAAAGAATAAATTTTGAAAAAAAAAATATTATGATGAATCGAATTAAACTGTAAAATTGCGTAGCAAGATAATAATTAGCAACCCTACGAGTATTCATTAATACCTCACTTCAAGTTTTGATTGGTATTTTGTTCAACATGTACATTGGATTGAAGTTCGAATCTCCCATTACAAGTCAATGAAAACTCTGATATTTTAGAACCTTTGCATTGATTGGACAAGAACAATGTCAAGTCTTGTTTTGGGCAAGATAAGACAATACATTGAAACGAATTTTCACATATCCATAGAGATACTCTAGGATTTTATCATGTGAGCGATGTTACATCATACAATGTCAAATCCTTGATAAATTATAAATATGTTCATCATGGACAAGAAAAAAAATGAGATTTGGCCAGGAGCCGGTTTATAGTTTGAGAATTCCCTTGTCTGAACCTTAGGGAGAGGCGGGAAGGCCGGAAATTCGTGGGAGTTCATTCAAATCCATTACTACGTTACGTTTAATTCCCAAAGTAAGGATGAAATGAAAATCATATTTAGATGCGTGATTTTAGTTGGTGTTTGATGCATAACTTACAGATCTTGATTTTTATACTATGTAGCTCAATCTTCTACATTAGCTAAAACATAACATATTTATTTAAATATGGAGTCAATTTGGATGAATTTTGTCATCAAGATGAAATTAATATTATAAAACTTCATGATGTAGTTGTGATGTTTTATATCTATATATGAATCAGGTGAATGACATTAGACTCAAACACATTTCCAATTTTTATTTTTATTTTTAAGATGTGTATGATATAATGATTGTTCTACTCAAGATTTAAAGAAAGTTGAATTGTGTTTATGTTTTTATAAAAGTGTTGCATATGTGTACAAGTATAGTAGACTAGCTAATATGACCTCAAAATAGTAGTTTATTCTATCATGTTTTGATTACGATTTAGCTCTAGTTTGCAAAAGAACGTAAGTCAGATTTGTTTTGAAGACTTGCAGATTTACCATGAAAATTAAAGAGAAACCAAACGCATATACATGAATGAAAGACGGGACTTTTAATATACTCAGGTATTGATTTAAGACTAATTATTTATATGATCTTATTTTTGTCTATATAAGATAATAGCAGAAATTTTTTATTACACACATTTTTTAGTGATATTTTAAAAATCATGACTGTCAAACATAAATTATGCTTTTTGTTCCAAAAAAAAAGAGATGAAAAAGAAGCTGAGAATGTTCAACAAACCAAAATTTTTTTATCCATGATTTATTTCATAAATAAAATAGGTATCAAATGATTTAAAAATTTCTAAAAGGTCAATCTTGCACTCAACCTCCAAATCACAATGAAAGATGTATGATGTGATCAGGTCCATAATATATAGATCTCAGAATTGAAAACATGTTGAAATATAATTCATAGGTGGTACAAATAGTTAAAAATAATAAATTTTCCTTTTTGGACTAATATTTTACCGATAAACTCCCGTTTTGAAATTATTCAGATGAGTTTTAAGTTATATTTTTTTATCTTAAAATATTTTCATTAAAAAATTATAGAAAATCAAAATCGTGAACAACTTTTAAAAGGCGATTTACGATGATATGTAGAATCTTCTACTTTTTTTAAAATGTAGAAGTAAAATCTTTTCATTTTTTATCAATCAATCAGATAAATAAATAATTTTTTTGATTGAATGAGTATTTAAATTTTATATCAAATATTTCATACAGTATTTTTAAATTTCTTGAACCACATAGTGAACGCCATTGATCACAATCAAATTTTTAAAGCCTATATTTCAAATGTTGCAATTAAAATTTGATTTTTCAACTGTGAGGGACGATGTTATGTACTTAAAAAAATCACTTAAAAAATTTAAATTCTAAATTTTGTTATTCTAACTAGATTTCGATAGAATCAAAAAATCAAATAGATCTGATGGGAAATAGTTAAATCCGCAAGATGAATTTATACAAAGTCCAACAAGTGAAACATTCATGAATGACTTTTTGTATAATTTTGAACATAGGTGAAATTTACATATCAATGAAAAGAAAAACCGATTTTTAGTGCATTAGTGTCAATTGAGCAGAATCCAATATACTAATGTTTCGAAAATCACTCTTATCTTCTTAACTCTCTATCTACAATCACTCATCATTCCAGTTTCTTGAATATTATATAATTGAAATTATTAATCTAAATAATTTTACTACAGTACTCATTTCCAGCATAGTGTAATATCGCAAAGTTTGGAAAACCAATCTCATCATCTTAACCTACTCTTGGGAATTACTCACTATTTCATCTTCATGCATCTTATGAAAAGGTTCAATTCATCATGCCGTTTCATTCCATTGGATTGACTTTAGGTTCCACTTTGTTTTAGAGCACGAGTTTCAGGATTTTGTCTCAATGTGATGCAGTGATGTATCTTTTTGGCCTCTCACGGATTTCCTCTTTTAAGGTATGTCGGAAACGTAGTTCAATCACGGAATTGGTATGACCCACATGTGGTTCGTTAAAAAATAATTCGCTCAAACCGGTTCTGCCGGTCAAACTTGTTCCCTCCTAGTTCAGACCATTCACAGAAGGAAAATGACAGACCATCATTTCCACAGACCAGACAAACTATCGAACCAAAGGATATGAAAGTCTCCTGGGCCAACGAAAAGACGCAAAAGAGGCAACAGTCGGATCCACTGGCACTTTTGTGTACGGACATGGCCACCATGGAACGAGTGGTGGTGAGCTGGAAATCCTCCCAGGCGTTCGTGGACAAAGCAGGGACCGCCATGGTGGACTGGCCGAGATGCAGGAAAACTGATCGGACTCTCTTGGAGCTTCTCCTCGTCTCCAAATCGAGCTCAACACATTTACACGGCCCCCATCTCCACGAGATTAGGGCACAATGATGTTCCTCGAGGCAAACACTCTCTGCCCCATTGCTCATCTCGTCGTCGACGTCGTCGTCCATGCACCCTAAGAACTCTCTCTAGCTCTGAACATGCACAGGAACCAGGCCCCTCGATCACAATGAACGATCGCCCAAACAACAGAACCCGACGTCCCTTTTGCACAGCCTTTACGCGCCCGCTTTCCCCTTTCTCGGACTTTGCATTGACAAATTCATGGCGAGAGACAGCGAGATTTCCGCCCTGCTGCGTCCGAGCGATCCAGCAAATCGCAGCCTTCCTCCATCGATAGCCCTCACGGCTGACAGACTCGGCATCGCTTAGTCGCGACCATAGCTTTCTCCAGCCTCAGATCCGGCAGATAATCGGTCTCATGTTTCCCACCGCTTTCCCACGGCGACGATATGCTCGAGCAACATACGCCAGATTGGGGGGAAATCCTCCGATTCCGAGTCTCTGAGGCCGATCGCCGGTCATGGGTGGTCAATGGAGGGAGTCCTCTTGGTCGCCACAAGGGCAGCTTAGTGGCGAAGTTGGATATGTCGGGCAATGTAGTCTTTATCGAGCTTTTTGCCAGTCGTAGGGGGACAAGGCTGTCCTTATAGAGCGACTAGATTCGTGTACAGGTACAGCGCTGGAGTAGATGGAATGGACAGTTGGTGTGACAAACCATGATACAGACGCTCATGAACAAGTCGTCTCAACTCTCAAGTCCCCGTATCCCGAGGCTCTGACTTTGCGGATTCGGGAAGGAAGATATGATACGGTTGATATTGTTTGGTACCATTTTCATCTAGTTGAAAGGGCCCGCCTGCAGGTGGCAGTCGGTGCTCCCCCCGAGCCTCTGAATCATTTGCATAACCACATCTAACACCTTCACAGTTATTATCTTTTTCCAAACTATCATCAGCCAAAATCACGACTCCAGTTGCAAAGAAGCGAAGACTCCCTCCCCTCGAACGCTTCGTCCGGTTTGGTGAGTATAATGATGTTCCATTGAGGTATTCAACGGGACTGCACCAAACGGTTACACTCGTTTATGATATAACAGTAGTCAAGGGTTCCATTCTTGAATCTCGAGTCTGGACATAGTAAATGATTGTCATGATCTGTTGTGATGGTTGCAGCCCCAATCTTCTTCGAGTTGCAGATATTTCAACACCGTGTTTAGCTTCAAGTGCAAACAGTCCCAGGCGTAACGTTCGATTAGACAAACCATTCTGATTTGTGGATTTGCTACGAGTGTGTCGGATCGCGGTGAATGGATGGTGAAGTTTTGAGAAGTTATGCGAGGGGTGGAAATGCAGTGACTGGATTGTTTCTTTCGGTGCAAAGGGGTGTAGGGCATGTGGTTATAATGCGAGGCTAGTGCACTTTTCAGATATGAAAGTGGTCCAACTCTGTGCAAGCTCTGTGCTGTACTTGTTTGGAGCTCTGGAACCGTACATTTTCTAGATCCTGCATTCCCTCGTCCACCATCTTCTTCAAACCTTCCATTCTCTACAGCAGCCGCTGGAGTGGGTCACTACCATGTTCTCTTTTGTGCCCTGAAGATTTAAAGGGAGAAGACACAATGATGTGGTTGATTATAAAGAGGCAAAAGAGCTGCTTTTCGGCCAGAGAAATGATGACACTTGATGAGAACGAGGGCATACGTTAAAAATAACGCATTAGAACATACTTGGACGTAAAACCTCAAACGAGTTTTAGGTGCTAAAAGAGAAGTAGGTTCCATCGTGGGACGTACCTTTGCTCGTCTTCTTCTTCTCCCATCCTCAAACTCGCACCTATGCAACAAAGAACCTACATCATCATCATCATAAGTCTACACGAAGGATGGAAACATGCCCCCATCTTGGAGCATCTTATTGTTCGAGCTGAAGTACTAGTTAGGAATTCTCGCCTCGGCCATCTTCTTTGAGCGAGGGAAGGGAGACAATGAATCAAGAGCTCCGGAGGTGAGGTGAATGGTGACTTACCTTCCAACTCCAGAGAGAGCTGAGAGATGTATCCACATTCCCTTGACCTTCTTAGGGAGGGAAGAGAAGATCGAATCACATGCACCCTCATTCCCTGTCCACTCTGTCGCCATCCGGAGCCATTGCGACATCCGCCACCTTCGTGGGGAAGGCATGCCAGTCGCCCCGGCAGAGGACATGAGACGCGTGGACAGAACGCCGCACGCGACGACGCATGGACGACCGAAGAGCAAGACGGTGATTGATTAGCCTAAACAGAAAACACCGGATCATGTCCGAGCCTCGCAGCGAGTTTGAACTTCGAGCCGGAAGCCCGAAGGGCCTGACGGGATCCCTGGCAGCGAAGATCTCCGAACGCTCGCCGAGATCGAGCAGGTCTGACGGCCATCTGTTCCGTGAACCGCATAAAGGGGAGCAAATAAACAATGCAGTTTAGCTGTCGCCCTACTGTTAGCTTCAGGTGAGATTGGCTCACGCAGATCTTCTCAATGTCCCCTCGCCGCTGACGTCCGCGCCCCTGCGTCCGCCAAGCATGTCCATATATATCTACATACGAGCCGAGGGAGGCGGGGCTAGCCGAAGCAGAGCACGACGGAAAGGGGCTCGCTCTTTCGGAAGGGGAAAGCCCTGGAAAGCAAGAGGGCCTCCCTGCCTGCCTCCCCCCCCAGCGTCCCTCCGCCGGTCAGGTCCCGGGAACTGCAGGCGAGCCTGTCAGTGGCCAATGGGCAGCGCTGGGCTCTGCGGCCGGGACTTTATCATTTGCTGAAAGGGTCTTGGGGCTCCCGCGACAGAAGAGCCTTTTCCAGAAAGGAGAGCTCGGGAACCGATCCATCGGAAACGGAATGTTTCGGCTTTCGTTCGGTATCGCGAAGGCCTTCCTTCCTTCCGCTTTCGCGCCGCGCCGATGTTTTTTCTTTTGTTTAAATATATTTTTTCTCCCGCCGCTCTAAGGCCATGTGAGCTCTATAATCCGCTCGAGCGAGGGAGAGGATCCAGAGATTGCGAATCGCGGATTTTATATGCCGCCAAATATCTGCCCTTTCCTCGCCTACCTCGTCCTCCGCTCCTCCGGCAACGTCCGCACGCCCGAATTCGTCTGTCGTCCTCGCCCCTCTATGCATCCCGATTCCGATTCCGACGAGATTCGGTTCCTTCTCGGCTCCGTTTTATTCACGTGCAGTGGGCGATCGCCTCACACGTCGAGAGAACTTTTCTCATCTCTCGGTTTGCGCTGAGCCGTCCTCAGCGTTCTCGTACCTCGTTCCGGGGAGTTCAATGCACATCGTGAAATGAGACCATAGCCTTTCCTCAGGAGGAATTGGGCCCCAAATGGTCCCTTTTATTATATTCTCTCTCTACATCTTCAAAAGAATGTTTGTATCATGCCCAAAAGAGAAGGTCGCAGGAGGCCAAAGAGGGAGGCACAGGTGTTTCGGTGAAATTAGAAATATTTCCTTTCTTTTTTGACTCTGGTGGGGCTGGCTATGAGACATGGTCGGTTATTAGGCATTACAAACATGTGATCCAAATAAATAGGAGAGGAGCATATTATTAGCCTCTAAGAAGAAAACCCCCAAAAAATAGTAAAAAAAAGTCAGGGAAGAAGGGTACGGCAGGCGAGAAAATAATGAGAAGCCTTGGCTTGGGGCTGTAAGCTTGTTGTCGATGAAAATTGCCTCCGTCGGAATAATCAAGCAGCTTGGGGTGGTAAAAGAGGCGCCCAGGGCAGGGCTCGAATGGATGGGAAGTCAAACTGCAAGCATTTCAAGGTCTGCCTGCAGCAGAGCCTCCAAAATTCAGCCCAAATGGCATCGGAGACATCGGATAGCGAGATGAGATCGGCTGACCTGAGCCGAGCCGACCGAAGTGCCCGGAAAGGACGGCAGGAGGAGGAGGAGGAGGAGGAGAGAGTACGAACCGTCGTCGGAGGTCAGAATACAAACGTACGCGTACGCACCGTGCGATAAAGTGCAGAACAGTCTCCAGATCTTGTTGCGTGCAAAGTGGAGTGGAGAGCGAGAGAGAGGGGAGAGAGTGAGAGCGAGAGAGAGCTTAAGACGCCATCGCTAAATTGAACGTTACGGTGACGAAGAAGGAAGCTTCGGTCGAGCGGTGGTGCTCACTCTCTCACTCACTGAGGGGGCGGGCGGCGTAATAGGAGGTCCGACCGTCCTTGTGCTTGTGCTGGGCTCGGCTCGGCTCGAATGGGATGCCCCCGTTCTGGTGCTCTGTTTTCTGCTCGCAATTGAGCTCTCCTGTCACTGCCCTGCTTCGTCCGGCCTCGGGCCTCATGACGTCGTTGCTGTTTTCCAACGTCTGATCGAGGGCGGCGAAGAGGAGGAACTCAGTACTGAACGAACGAACTAACGAAGGGCTGCTCTGTTCACAATGAGACACAAGTTGCTATTGGAGATGGACGAGGAAGACGAAGAAGACTCCAGCTGAATGATTTTCGCTGTACGAAGGTGAAAGGTGAATACTTCCCGAGGGAGAGGGGGAGGGACGGGAGGGAACGGGGGAGAGAGAGTGGTGGATAGGTAGAGAAGCTGATTTGTTTGTGAGATTTGCTGGTATATCGCTCTCGGGATGATCAATTTCGATGGAAGTCCGGAAGTTGATTTGGCTCCGATCTTCACCTGCTTGTCACCAGCTGGTGTTTAGGAGGAGTCGCCCTTCGTCTTTTTGCTCCCCGGCAGGAGTGCCTTCGGGCTGAATCCCACCCGGTTGCTGCATTCTTGCATAAAGTTGATTCGACATATGAACTGGTAAATTTTTTTATACGCAGCTGGACGAAAATTTAAACCAGCTGCAATGAGGAAGATGGGAGCAAGGCTCAAGGCACTGGCACTGGGACAATTTCTGTCGGTGCTTGTCACTACGTTAGGTTACTCTTCATCACTTTTGGTCCGGCAAGGTGAGTCATTACTCTTCAGTCTCCTCGACGTTCAATTCCGTGGGAGGTTGACAATGTGTTTTCGTTCGAGCTCATAATTTCTCGGTTATTGACGCGTCGAGGAGATCGAGCCTCACACACACAGGAGTGGCTGACGGACTACTAAGCAGCACTTACCGTGGAAGTGGGATTTTGTCGCAGGTGTCAACGTTCCCACATTACAGTCTTTTATGAACTATTTCGTGCTAGCTGTGGTGTACGGATCTTATCTGTTTTTCCGGAAAAAACCTTTGAAGGTCAGTCCAGGAACAAGAGCGTTCCGATTGTACATTTTGAATTCATTCTGGAAGTATATCCATTCCATGCGTTGCTCCTCCGTACGCCGCCACCAATGTGATTCGATAGTTAAGTACATTCGTTTCTTTGTATTTCAATGATCAAAGCCGGGCACGACTATGAAGTGGCTACGAAACAATTTAATCCGACATGTGCCGTTCAGCGCAGGCCCATTGGTATCTCTATCCTTGCCTCGCTCTCGTCGAGGTTGAAGCCAATTATTTCAGTAAGTTTTTAACTCTTGGATGTGTAACAGTTTGAGCTGCCGATTGATGCCACTACCGCTCTGATTGTAAATTTGGTGGTGAGGAAACATCTGACGAGCTGTGTTTTGTTGACCCGGAATTCTCAACAGCGATCAAAGCATATCAATACACATCAATCACGAGCGTGACACTTTTGGATTGCTGGGCCATTCCGTGCGTGCTAGTACTCACTGCAGTGATTCTGCATACACGGTACTTCCGCGGCCACTATCTTGGAGTTGTCTTGTGTGTTCTAGGCCTAATGCTTGTCCTGCTCTCCGACGTACATGCTGGAGATCGAGATGGTAAGTAGTTGTTAATTCTTCTTCTGATTCTTCCTCTGATTTATTTATCATAGTTGATAGCCTTATTACACAACTCAGAATTTGATGAAGATGATGGGGCTGCTTTTGCTGAAATTCGCGGCGTGAACATCATGATCGTCATGTGTATTAACCTTGTCTTCCTTGTTAACATGGAGTGCAGGTGGGAGCAATGTCTTGTTAGGAGATTTTTTGGTGTTCATAGGTTCAACATTGTACGCAATCGCTAACGTTTATGAGGTTCGTTCTGCCCGTCAACAGCTGTAGAGATGTGGAACCTTTCAAAATAATCGAGCATGAGGTGTTCACATGTTGCAAGCTTTTCTTGAGACCAATTTCGAAGATTCATTGAAAATACTAGGCACCGGAAATTGGGTTTCCCTATTCTCTTAAGTGGATATTTCAGGTTTGGTTGTTCTTCGTCGTGGGCCCAAAAAAACTGATCATTCCGTCTTTCTTGGCTCTTGTATCTGTGTAATGCTGCAGGAATTCATGGTGAAGAAAAATGATCGAGCAGAGATTTTGGCTTTCCTGGGGTTTTTTGGCGCCGTCATCACGGCTGTGCAAGTGTATCCTCACATATTCTGAGGAAGTTTCGCTTGAAACTGGCCTTCTGGTTCAGGGGATTGTCTTTCTCATGGATTACTTGCAATGGGCTTCGTTCAACCGTGACATTGACCTTAACCAAGATGCAGATTCATACTAGAGAGGAATGAGGTTCGGGCAATCCATTGGAACTCTAGTGTGGTAAGGTTGCAGGCTCTCCGAGTCTTGCTTCATTTTTTTCTGCTAGTCGGAAGTTTCCAAATAATGGCTGCAGACAGAGGAGTTGTAAGGAGTACATGTTGAGGTCGCTTTCTCTACGTGCTTCTTCTGATCTGTTACGACTTCATCTTCGTCGCTGATCGATTTGATTTCCCTGGGCAACATGTCACAGATTATACCCTTGCTGATCTTTTCTGCTTCTCAGTTGTCATTCTCCAGCGTTTTCTTGATCTTGATCCAGGTAACATGTTCTTGCTTCGATGTTGCTCACGAATAATGCTAAAAAAGAAAACGAACTAATCACTTTGGCTAGAGTACTGTAGTGGTCCCTAGACTGCAAGTTGTACCCACGCAATGCTTTGCTACAAGGTGACCGTGATAGCGATGATTAGAGAAAATAAGGGCTTGTACTATTAGGTTCAGCACTTGGCAGTCGAACTCTCTTATGCAGACGCTGCAAGGTAGTGAAAGTGGCCTTATTAAGCTGGTGGCTTTTCTGCAGACTGATGGCTCTGCAATGTTCAACCTCTCCCTGTTGACTTCGGACATGTACGCAGTTGCAATCAGATGGTTAATTTTCCACGAAACGGTGGGTACTTTTGAGCCCATAGATTTGTCAAATCATGCCTTTTATCTTTCTTCCACACCACACCTGGAACGGAATGTTTAGAACCGGGAGCTCTTCGTTGACATTCTGCTTGCAAACCTTGTCACGTATCCAGGTTGACTATTTATATTTCGGGGCGTTTGCAACGGTGGCCGTCGGCCTCGTCGTATACGCTTACAGGCGAGTTGGTTCTGTCCTTCATTATCATGTTTTCATCACTTGCACTTGCTCTCTGCAGGACTGTCTCGAGCAGGATTGGCATCCTAAAACTAATTGGTGTCATCCGTATAAGATGGTCCATGTTGATTTGGGTGCGTCATTTCTTGTGTGACAGTGGTGAACCGCCAGACGAATTTGATGGGAACATCCCGTATGAAAGAGTTGGCATGTCGCTCGTGGATCCTGTGGCGTCAGATCCAGAACTTGCTCCCGGAACGTTTGACCCGAGTATGGAGCTAGTAACATCCAATCAGGAGAAAGTTCATGCCTTAGATGTAGAGCTATCGGTTCAGGTATGTATCTGAAGTTTTCTTTTCATTGATGTGGGGTTGTGATTGCTTTTGGCCTGTGGTCCACGTTGTTGAAAAGTCTACTATTCATTCCGAAGCTCAGACGTCTGACAAACGTTCGTTCATCGACCTGGAGAACAGATGTACGAGTTGCACGAGACTCTGCAGAAGAACCAACAGAGTCCAGGGAGGACGACTCTGTAGATTGGTGAGATGAATTCTATTCGACTTTCTGCTCGATCTAGTCAGGCCGAGCAAACAGCCGAAGTTTTTGAACATTGACTGCGCTTCAGTGGTGAATATCCATGTATCTGTCTAATAAATGTTCGCCCTTCTGCAAGTCATTTTTCTTCCGTCTTCATCATCACATGGATGATCGATTGACCAGATATGACCACTTGATTCACAAAGCACGCTCCTTCGTTACTGGACGTGGACCCTCATGGCCTTTCCAGGAATGAGTGCGAAAAGTTCAGTTTGGCCTGATCTCAACCTTGGAATTTTTAGCCGAGTGGGCGTACTGTAACCTTGACGAAAAATACTGAACTGACAATTGTCCCAAATCATCGCAGTCAAGTCATGTGGTGTACTAGTAAAGGAAATCACGTCTTTATATACTATCAATTATCACGACTAAATACACACAGCTCACATGGCTCCATTTCATTATCAAAACTCCCTTATATGCCTAAGACTTCATCTATGCATTCAGTACTGCATCAGATCTTTGATAGTGAGTACTTGGAGAGTGGAGATTGAATGTCTAGTATCCGAAATTAATTCGTATTACTCATTCATACCTGGCAACGCAAGTGCCAGGTTTGTTTTGGTTTTTTTCAACAATGACAGCATGTTTGGAAGAGGAATGATGAAAAAATCAGTAAGAAACTCTGAAGTTTTGTCTACATTTTAATTGCAAGCAATGTCTCATTCTAAGTTATCATTTTTCAAAAGCAAATTTTAGACCCTAAATTTTTAGCCATGCATTTTTTAACACTTGTTCATATTATGGTGCTAAACAACGTACGGTACATTTGTAAAAAGTGTGGAATTCAGAGATTGAAAATAAAGATATCACATTATCTGGGCCCAAATAATAGACTTCTGAACCAATCAGCTCTTCTCAGTCGCTTTGACATTGATGAAATCAGTCGAGGCGATGGTGGCCTGGATGCAATCGGAATCTCATTTGATCAATTAGATCTACAAAGTAAGTACTCCACCATCAAGAGTTTGAGACCTTTATATGTACGCAATATTTATGATTGATAGGCTGATTGTTTTCTGGATATTTTGCTGTTAGGTGTGTGAAGAAGTACTTTCAAGGTAAACTCCCTAGCTACTGTTATTTTTCTGGACTGAAACTATTTCATGGTTTAAGTCAACGTCAAATTTTGCGGCTTTAGTATTGATTTAGCATCCGAAAGGAATCAAGTGTAACTATCTAGATATGCATCGTTCGACGCAGGTATAATTTACAGCTCCTCCACTGCAGTTCGTGCATCTTTCAAAAGATAGCAATCTTAGTAGTCAATCTGCTTGTGATGTTGTTTGTTCATTTATGTTCTGTCTAGAATTGAAACTTTTCTCTCAGGAGAAGAGATACCCTTTCTGTTCATTTCGGTGGTTACATGACAATATTTTTTGCTAATAATAAGTATATCCTCTTGCAGGTTGTACAGTGGAATATACTGTGTTCTATCAGCCTTCTCATATTCACGAGCTTCCGACGGTTGTGGCATTTTTGGATAATTCCTTGCTTCACTTTCTAAGGCTGAACAGACCTGACTAAGCCTTTTTAACCCGGTTTCTGTTCATGTGGAAAATCATCCGCTATCGGTGGCAAGCTTGCGAAATGCTGCTGATTTTCTGGTTATCATGCTCATGTCGATCGGCCTACTGGTTATTCCACCTGTACTTGGTGCTCAGGTTTACATCTCATCCATGAATAAGTGTTAGTCCGTTGGAATTACGACATGTTGGAATTATTCTTCTCATTTTATTGTTCCTATGAAGTCCGTTGACAGGTGATAACCGTTTAAGATTTACTACTTTAATGTAACTTCCTGATTTATTCTCTAGGTCATATCATTTTGTGCCAACCATTTTGTGTTGAGCTACAAAGATAAGGATGCATCCGATTAACTGGTTATTCGGATGCATGCACACTGTCTACGCAGGTGGTGGTTGACAACAGTTGGGACTTCTTAGTCTGTTTCTAGTGAGCGGCATGAAAAGCTTTGCTTACTGGTTCGCGACGGTGGTGTCAGATTTAAGTCTGTACTATATATCTTCATTCCTCGTTCTTGGTATTGGGATGGCTTTTGGGCACGCTCCGTTCTATAAGGTAGGGAACTGCTTGTTTCCACGTTCGTGTCTAAATGTGTTAAGAGGCCCCGCTGTAGCCCGTAGCTTTATCTCATTTTGTATGTTCTGTCATGCTTGTTCCTTCTGCGTGTATGCGTTATACATTGTAGACAGAATGATGCTCAGACAGAATACTTTACCTAAGTACTTGTATTCTTTCATTTTTTACTCTATAGTGAGAGTAGTGTGTGTGCTATGGTGCAGCATTAAGTTACACTTTGCAACCCTTCTTAGTATATCAAATAGTTTGACTTCAAACTTGTTTTACTTATATGTGTTGCGGTCTGGACATGCTTCTTCCTGGTTGAAGTTTCTTTGTAGATGAGATTTGTAACTGAAGCAAAGTCGTTTTGTATCAATTTGCGTTGGGGGCTGATTTCTTTGCATGAACTGAACAGGATGCAAACCTGGCTATCTTCTTCCTTTTTTTGACTACCATGCCAGCTTTAGCATTACTGAGTTACGTACTCAGCTTTTTCTTCCTCACTGCCCAAGGGTAACTTTCAAACTATTATCATCTTACTTACAGTACTGCATGATCGATGCATAATGTTGTTGCGTTTCCGTTTTTGTTTCCCCGCAAAAAGATCAGTGTTAAGTGAGCATCGGTGCATATTTTGCAGAGCTGCCTCTCTGCTTTATATGTATTTCATCCTCGCCGCTTTAATGCGGTACTTCTGGATATTTGTCGTTCTAGGTACTGATGTCTTGCCTCTCATCTTCTACATCAGGGTAGACTGCTTGCGGTCGTGTAAATATTTTTCAGTTTGTTAGATGAAAGAAATATTTATTGAACTAGTCGCTTTTGGTTTTTAAGAAAAGCCAGTGGACTACTGATCAGGAGTTCTCTAGATAAATACCACCGATACCGGTGGTATTTATCTAGATATTTGCGTATTAAAAAAAAATGCTTGTAAAATTTTTGGTGTCCCCTTAGTACGACATCAATTGAATTACGCCAATTACACCTGCAATTTAGATTCCTACATGCGCTTCTGGTCAATTCCCGTCGAGATTTTGTTTCAAATTCAGTTTTGAAAAAGAAGCATTTCCCAGTTTTTGCACAAACTTGACGAGTAATCTTATCAAGATTCCGTAAAAACCGGTCAATGGGATTTGAACCCGGGTCTCTCGGTGAGAGCCGAGTATCCTCACCAACTAGACTTGAAGATAACCAACATCTTGCAACAGAGTGTAATAACTGTTAACTTATTGCATACTTCAATGTTGTTATCATTCATTCTAACGATAACCTAGACTAACTCATCCTGTGAGATCTAAAGGTCATTATGAAGGCTAAATCGCAGGAAACAATATCTCCTACAGCTGGCACTCATTTTTGAATGTGGTGGATCCTCCATATGCGTTAATATCTGGACTGCACTTCATTGTAAATTCGATTGTTGAGAGGAAGGGTATAAATGATCCAGCAATGAACAGCTTTCCAAGAGTAAACACGTTTGAGTGGAACAATTATATTTTACTGAGTATCGGTGGGGCTGCCGTTGCCATTGTACCTCTGCTCTGTGCATATGGCAGTTAGAGATTCATGAGATAGAACGGAGGCAAAACCTATGCAACCACCAGCCGCAGATACTACTGCTGAAGGCACTGAAGATAGTTTCCAAGATGTTGAGAGCATCAATGAGCTGTATCGCGAGAAGGAGCGCGTTCTATCAAATGTAGAGCGTTGGGAGGCTATGGGTTTGATGGGCTGATATAACCCAGAAGGGGATCATATCCTTTGCCAGAACATGGGAAAGGTACGTCAAATTTGAAATACTAAAACGGACGAAAAACGAAATTTATAAGCTGAAAGTGGATTGACCAGTTTCCACGTTCTATATGGTTTCGAGAAGTCACTTAGGGGCTTCAAAAATTACTACAATCGTCTCCCTGTATCTGTCTCCATCATGTTCTGAAATGCTTCTCACCGAATGGCTGAAGTAGATTTTTCATCGGATTTTTCCAGGATTAGCGCTTTCGATCTGCATACAACGAAACCAGAGGTGTGGCCGTTTCCTGATACTTCGCAAGTTCTTGCTCGATCCAGTCAGGCCGAGCAAACAGCCGAAGTTTTTGAACATTGACTGCGCTTCAGTGGTCAATATCCATGTATCTGTCTAATAAATGTTCGCCCAACTGCAAATCATTTTTCTACCGTCTTCTTCACCACATGGATGATCGATTGACCAGATATGACCACTTGATTCTCAAAGCACGCACCTTCGTTACTGGACGTGGAACCTCATGGCCTTCCCAGGAATGAGTGCGAAAAGTCCAGTTTGGCCTTATCTTAACCTTGGAAATTTTACTAACCGAGTGGGCGACTGTAAGCTTGACCAAAAAAACTGAACTGGCAATTGTCCCAGATCATCGCAGTCAAGTCACGTGGTGTACTAGTAAAAGAAATCACGTCTTTATATACTATCAATTACTACGTTTAAAGAGTACTTCATCTATGCATTCAGTACTGCACTACATCAGATCTTTGACAGTGAGTACTTGGAGAGCGGAGATTGACTGTCTAGTATCCGAAATGAATTCGTATTACTCACTCATACACCCCTCGGTGCTACGCAAGTACCAGGATTGTTTTGGATTTTCTTCAACATTAGGAGCATGTTTGGAAGAGGAATGATGAAAGAATCAGTAAGAATCTCTGAAGTTCTGTACACATTTTAATTGCAAGCAATGTCTCATTCTAAATTTTCAATTTTCAAAAATAATCATCTATACTGTCTAAGTTTTTAGCTGTGCATTTTTTGATACTCGTTAATATTATGATGCTAAACAACGTACGATACATTTGTAAGAAGTCTGAAATTCTGAGATTGAAAATGAAAAGATCACAGTTCTTAGTATATTAACTGGATAAATTTTTCTCACTCAAACATGAAGTTTAATAATGTGAGGCCTGTGATGCGACAGCTATTAGCTGTTCTCGTCGCTTTCAATTGTACAGAGTGATATCAGCAGATAGCAAGAACCATATGACCATGGAGCGGACCAGATGCCACTTCTCTAGCGTAGATAATCGTTCTGCACGAGAGGGCCACTCTTGATAACATGCCACCCACATCGTTCTATTTGCGACCCGGAGCAAGAGGCTAGAAGTAAAATGCTTTGAAGCAAACAAAGGCACCGTTACTCCCCTGCAACTGACAGCTCTTTCTAACGCTTTCGACGTTAACCCAGACCGTGCAAAATCTAGCGTTCTTTTTTTAGACGCCAGAATTAATCTGGCCAAAATTCAAGGCACAAATACGACTATAGGGAATTTTTGCTAAAACGGGGACTAGTAAGTAAGGGTTGCAATGCGTGATCTCGAGACAGCCCGTGAATACATTTGCTGGTGACCTGCGCATCTCGATCCTTCCGTGTGCTTCTAGGAGCATAAAGTTCTTTCGTATCATTTTTGTAACATGTTTGTTTTGATCATTGTGAGTCTTTTCATGGCTGGAACATAAGTGACCAGGTACATTTCAAATCTTTTTTTCCGAGTTCTCCATCATCAAATGACTGAAAACGATTATCGCTAACCCCTCAGACTAAAAGTAGTGAAATTATAGTATTAATGCCAAAAATTAGGAGAAAAATTTGCCAGAAAGACCTTAATTCTGGCAAACCTGGCATTTGCCAGATTTTACACGGTCTGCGTAAACCTGAAAGTGAGAAAGAGAGACAAAGATCAAAATAGAGTAATGACGGATTTCAGGACATCGAGTGTACAAGAGTGTATACTTTATGACGATGACGAATAACATCATGCTGCATTATCTTGCACGACTAAATCGATAAGCTCAGCCCGACTGTAAGAAGTAATGGAAGATGGATATTCTGGTAATCGAAGTAGTTTCATTCGAGTATAACAAAATTTTTTGAGCATTCATTCCCTTGAGGTCACTGACTGCAAACAATGGGTTTTCGTGGTGTTTAGTGGCAGAGGAAAAGAAAGATGTCTGAGGAAGGGATGCGGAGCTGATTCAAACGAGCAATTGGTACATCCAATTTGTTTAGCAGGTTGGCCTCTTCAGATCTTCAGGGAAACAAAAAGAAGCAAATTTGGTCATCGAAATCTAATAGATCCTTTATGTTTTTCAGATATGTAGCAAAGCGGAGGCATGCATATCGAGGATTGACATTTATAAGAGCTAACAGCGAGGGCTTCTTCCGACCCTCTCATCCATCCATAGGGTCAAGTCTCTCAGCAGAAACATGTGTTTCACACGTGTCTCTTAAACTGTGGGATTACTCCACATCTTATTTCTTACGGGCTTATATTTCGGTACTGCACAAGCTGCTGGCAGGCACAGTTCATCGAATTACATCAATTTCTCTGCTCTCTGCTGTCTACGGTCAGTTTCACTTTCAAGTTCAAGTCAATCAACCAACTTCTGGTGGAACTAGACATTGTACTTCACTGTACTTCATTCGGGCTACGTGAAATGGATTCCAGTCAAAACAAGCAGGAAATGGACAACACGGCTGAAAGGACCGAGGAAGCAAAGCAACACGCAGCCGACACCGCTGATCACACCAAGCAATCTGCAGCTGAAGCAATGGCCAAGACCAAGAACGTGGGACGAGAGAAATCCGAGCAAGCACAGGACGCTGCCTCGAGTATGGTCAGCACTATCCAAGACAAGGCCCAGCATGCTTGGGATCAGACGAAGCACGTGGCCGCAGACGCTACCTCTGCTGCACAGCACAAGCTTGGAGGAGCGTTTGAAGGCGAGACTGATCTAGACTGACTAACAGTTGAGGAGTCTACTTTTCCACAGGGTACATTCTTCCGGCACACAGCTGCAGCTTTGCGACGAGAGATAATATAGGAACAGAGAGCACGGCTGATGAAAACCGGCGTTAGGTGCCAAGGTGGTCGAGAATATGAAAGGTCTCCAAGTTGTAAGCGTCTTAGACAAGTAAGAGTGTGCAGATGTTTAATTGATGGGCGCTGAAAGCATTTCGTATCTGTTTCTTCACGTGTGCATTTATGTAGAAAGCTATTGAGTTCTCAAGCAATGTTTCGTCTTTTTATCCCCACTGGACATCAAATGGAAATTTCCATGCACGTGAAATTTGACTTATTAAAGAGTTGGTAACTTCTCTTTTGAGGATTACCGATGTGATCCTTTGTCTTTATTGTCGAAAGTGTGCTTGTGATCTGATCCTCAACGCAGTACTCAGTTGCATCAGAGCTTAGCAGTACACTCGCGGATGAGTACAGACTGTGCAGCTCACAAGGAATTCGTTGTGAATTAAGACCAACATAGAGTAGCTTCGCCATGATCGTAACGTTGTCCACTGTCAACCTAATGAATACGATGACAAGATATGCTACAAGCCTCTACAGATGAGTGCCAAAGCCTTACTGATAAGCTCTGTAATGATGATAGGAGTAGGGATGGATTTTTAAGAATTTTGAGCTGCTTGTGAAACATTATACTTCAGAACATTCGGATCTCGAACGCTGAGATCTGACGAGCTCGCGCTGGTCGTTACCTGTTGGGAAATCATGTGTAGATGAAATTTATTAACATGATAAATAGAGGATGACGCGGAAGTACTTTCGAGAATCCATTGATAATCTTCTCTTGACTTCAGACCGGAAATTGTGAAGAAAAAGTCTCACTGCAAAGGCATCCACTTTTAGCTGCATCACTGAATCAGACCTCGCAGTGTGATTCCACCTCATCAGCAGCTTCCTCATTTTAGGGCCTAGAATTCCAGCCTCTGTCACTCGAGCTGCTCAGGACTTGTGCAGAGAAATCTGTGGACGGTTGACGAATATGCTCTGCAGAGGTTGATTGCAGCATATGTACGTCAATCTGCCAAACATTCGTGTAACACATGCACTGCACTCAGCAAAAGCTTCTGAGGATCTCTCCAGAGAAAAAATTCAGAACGGCGGTGCTGATCCGACTGTGCTGTGCCTTCATGTCGTTCAGGCCAGTGGCTATTGCAGCGGCAACTCAACGCCGAAAGCGCAATGTACGATCGTGAAGACGGCTATTTCCTCACAAGAGTCTCGAAATGGTGACGCCACCTTGCTCACATGTCTTCTCATGCTGAGCTGAAGATGGATAAGAACCCAGCCGAAGCCAGTCAAAGCTCTTCCTAATTTGGATCATGAAAGAAAATGTAAAAGCACCAGCGCCGATCGCCCATACGCAAAACAGCAAACATCCGACAGCCATGCGTCAAAGAGTGACACGTCGTGTGCACTTCGAAGTAGGTGACGGAGCCGCTTACGACGCGTAGCAGCAGTCTTTGAACCACTTGCAGAGGATTGGACTCGACGACCCATGCATCGTGTCACGGAAGATAGTATTTCAGTCTATCTGTGTTGTGAATGGCCGAGAACGAGAAGCCATGGACCCACTGGCTTTCCATAATGGCGGCTGGATCGTGAAAAACAAGCTGAATCTCAGGACATTTCTGAGTCGGATGGGATGCAGTTCTAATCGCAAGGTTGGGACAAGGCTCGTCAAGACCACAACCTGCTGACAAGGAACTGGCAGGCATGGAGTTGGAGCTCGACTGCGATTGTGGTAGCACGACAAGTGTCATGTTTCAGGTAGTGCGGCGGGATATTTCATCCCAGTTGTTATAAAGCTTGCAAGATTTGGGCCTACAAATACTGATCAAACTTCTTCAAGCAATTCCACACCTCGTTCATCGCTCGGATGTCTACTACCTCCTGCAGTTGAAGAAGGCTTCAATACACACAGCGACCCTATTGCTTGATCCTAGCTGCTTGATCATCGGTGATCACACGATTGATTGATTGACATCAAGAGCTGTGCTGAGAATGGCTTCTGAGGATTCTGAGCTGGGGAATGGCCTGCATGCTGCTGAGAAACCCGACCACTTTGAGACTTCAGGCTCGGAGAAGAACGCCACGGAACGTGAGCAGGATTCTAGCGCAGGCAGTAATGGTGTAAATCAGGACATGGCTAATAAGCCAGAACCCAACACCGCGAAACGCACCACGAAGTTCTTCCAGGAGAAGGTTCGTCAGGCTGTTCGCTATGGCCACGGGGACTTCGACTTCACCCGACCTAGCTCTGCCGATTGCGCTCAGGACTTCGATGACAGCGATGTGAACCCCTGGGGCCCAGTTTGCGCCAAAGATATAATCGCAAGCATCTTGCGTCCGGTGAGTTATTCCGACCACATGCATGCACAGAAATCTCCTTGTGCGCGTTCGTTCGTTCGTTCGTACCGTCAATTGAATGAAACTCGAAGCTCCAGGATTGCAGATCCATGAGATTTCTGTTCTCGATAGCGCTCCTGAGGGTGGGAAGAGAATGACTGCGGCGTTGCGTGTCGTGTTCACCTGTTGACCTTTGACTAGGAGTGAGAGTCGTAGCAGCGGCCACCGACATGCGTGGGGATCGGATCGTTGTATTGATGAGAGTTGACTGATGCATGGATGTGCAGGCCCATTGGAATACGAAGGAGAGTTGTAAGACACAGATCAATCAAAAGAGTCCGATAAGCCTGGCCACTTGCTCAGAATAGGCACACGACACATTGCCCCTTGCTTCTTCCTCTGGCTCGTCCGTCGGCCACAGAACCTGCTACCCCTTTGTTGGCGTCGTTTCCTCGTCATGGAGCTCACAACTTTCCGTCTTTTTGTAGAGGAGGAGGAGCAGTGGCCTGTAGATTACGTTCCGTCCTCCAAAGGCAGAAGATATAAGAATTCGATATGTTAAATCCTCACACGGACAGTCTGGAGGGGGAGCCTAGAGCTCTCTAGGAAATTATGTACATGAATAACAATACTCCACGTTCAGAGATAATAATATACCATGAAACTCATCGTAACACATTCCATTCCATGCTTATGAGACGGAATTCGTCGTGGCTATCAAAGTAGCAATTCCTCCCATCCTTTCCTCTTTGTCATTGTCATTTCACTGTCTGCTTTCTTTCATCCATTAGCCATTGTGCACACATCTCCCTCGTTGTGTGACCCCGATCTCCACAGTTCATCCACTCCTGAAGTCTGCCATTCTCGTTCTCATGGGGATTACCCTCTCAAAGCATGTTCACTGTCATTTGCCGTCCGTGCCTTTCTAGCGTGTCCCCAAATGTACTGAAATTTCGACGGAATTCCTTAAAGAACATGGTGGACGAGATAGAGGCTGTCAGTACACATCGCTGAGATATTTGAGACTTGACATTCATTCAGTAAATTCTAGAAAAATGAGGATGGCAGCCAACGGTGATGAAAGTATCGATTGATTGTGCTGGAAAGGTGGGGTGCCATTATTTGGATAAGAAATAATAGAGAGGGCAAGGGGATCGAGGGGGCGTTGATGGGCTGGGGAAGGAAAGCATCCACTGCAAGTTAGCGGCCCCAGATTTCACGGGCAGTAAGTAACGTGCATACAAACCCACCCGCAATGAACAAATATCTGCGGAACGGGTCGGTAAAACCCGCAGCCTGCAGCGCGGGTGCAGAGGGGAAATCGCGGGTTGGCACGTCGGGGCCAATGCAGAGGCCCGAGCCTCGCTTCGTCGTCGGTACGAGTACTGTACTGTACATGTCATGAAGAGTCTCTGTTCAGGACGGTACGGGGAACGCTCTCGGCCTCTCTGAGGGCGACATGTGTCGGACACGTGTCGACCGGACGCGAGGTTGGCCGTGCTCACGGTCACGATCCCACGATAGAGCCCTCGAATTGCACTACAAAAGCTCTCGTCCGAGCCCCAATCAAACCAGCACTCATCGCAATTCAGCTCAATTCGCCTCTCCCACTGGAAAAATCAGACATTTTGAGAGAGTATCACAAGTATAAATTCCTTCTACCGCGCATACAGCTCGAAACAACACCTCGAGAATTTACAGCAGATTTCCTTCCGCCGTGTAGTGAAGATGGACACTCAATCCGATGCGAGGAAAGTTGCTGCTGAGAAGACAGAGCAAGCGCAGGCCGTCGGGTCTGGGATAGCAGCGACCATTCAAGACAACGCGACGTATGCTTGGGATCAGACGAAGCAGGCAGCCGCCACCTCCACGCAATTTGTGCAAGACAAGGCTGCCCTGGCTGCGCAGTATGGACAGCAAGCGTGGGACGCCACGAAGCAAACGGCCGTGAGCTCGGGCACTACTGCGCAAGAGAAAGCTGTGCAAGCCAAGGACTTCGCGGTGGAGAAGGTCGTGCAGGGCAAGGACTTCACTGTCCAAAAGACCGAGGCTGCAGGCAAATACACCTCCGATACAGGTGTAGCCGCCACGGACGCCACTACAGGATTTCTTTCGCAGGTATCTCCTCCTACTTGATCTCCTCTCCTCAACTCGCCGAGTTTAGATTTCTTTCACGGCTTTGTGTTGCAGATGTACGTGATGTGAGCCACGAAGACAATCTCAGGATTGTTTTGCAAGTTTTTCATGTGTTTGCATTCTGTGTTAAAATCTCACAGCGTTGACCGATTTCTTCACACTTGTGACGATGCAGACATTTCAAGCTGTGAAGGGAACTGCTTTGGGCGTGAAGGACGCTGTCGTCGGCACTGGAACCAAAAAGCCAACTCAATAGCGAGGTCTCGGACGGACTTATTGATTCTTCTTGTACCTTCGTGAGACTTGACATGTGTAGTTAGATTCCCAGCCCGGCAAAGTTAGCACTGTGGTTGAGGAGGAAGCTCTTCGTTGAAATTCTGTCCATTATTCGCGTGTATGAAAGTATACTGCTCACATAGCGTATACGCCCTGTAAATCTACGGAAGCTGTTGTACCTTTCTTATAAAAGACTTTCTTCTCGAACAGTTCTAAACGATTACATCTCTCTGAGTTTCTTACCCTCTTCCCCACCTGATTGTATATCGTGTCTAAGATGACCTGGGGCATATAGAAGCACCCAATGCTGATCTGAGATTGATTATTGGAACCATTCCTCTTTGCTGCACGAATGCTCGAGACATAAAATAACAGGGTGTTGAATAGTTCGAGAATTAGTCATCAACACTTCAGTTGCTGATGAATGCTTCATATATGATTGCTAATTTCATTGCCGGTGGCTTTTTGATCTCGTTCGGTTGTCGCGCTCACTAGTTCTAGCACAGCGTGCATCGAGTCTCGCGAGTTGCAGTTCGTAGCAAGATCTTGCGAAGTAGCAGGAAACAGTCACACCTCTGGTTTCGTATGGAGATCGAGAGCGCTAATCTCAATTTGAAAATATGACTTCCAGTGAACATCTACCCCTTTGAAATATTGTCCCTGGAATTCACTTGTGGTTATAATCTTCATAGAGAAGAAAACTTCTACGTAGCTGACATCTTCCATTGAAAATTTTAAATCTTCAACAAATCTATCTTCTTCGAAAATAACTCTAATTTTGCAGTGCACGCACTCGTGTACAATCCAGTTCAAATCTCCTTTGAACTGGATTTGTGAATTAGAACCTATCTCCTGGAAATCTCCAGTATTGTGAATTATTAGGTTACAATACCAAATGCTTTTACACAATTAGAAGTCTGGATTGTAAAAGTTCAAATCCAGTTCAAATCTCGGTGAGACAGAAATGATGATAAAGACGAACTTCTGCCATACAGACGTAAATTTACTCGGGAAGCTAACTCCTTGCCATATGGTAAGCTCCCTGCGGAAATAAGTATCGATGAGGAAAGCCTCTCACAGGACAGAATAATAAGCACAGTACAGTAATATACTTTTGCCTAATAATCTATGTTCCCCGCACACCCTGTGCCCCGCTAGTTGAGTAAGTAAACGATATTTGAAACCATGCCAGAGGTTATCATCTATATCTACTTATATTTCCTTATTAATGGCTCTACCTTTTGGTATGTAAGCCCAAAATTGTCCAATATATTTTGATCGTGGAAATAATATCCATAAACTTGTCGTTTATCTGAAAGCGACTTGGAAAAATATAGTGAGGCTATGTTTGGATCCAAAATTTGCACTATGGTAGATGGTATACAACTGTTTTCATCGATTATCATTCGACAACATTATGTACCGCTTCAGTAAAAAAAACCTTAAATCATACGAATATTAAACTTCAAATGTATAGCTACCTGCAGAAAAAATTGCACACAAGTAAAATGAACTGCTATGTATCAGGTTTCTCCGCTAATAAAATACGTGTTCATAAGTGAAGGTACCATTGGACTTCTAATTGTGTAAAAGCATGCAGTATTGTAACCTAATAATTCACAATAGTTCACAATAATAGCAACTTAATTGGTGAAGATACTCTTTTTCAAGCCTTCATAATTTCCTTCCCTGCAACAGGGTGTGGACATACTGCGTCGTTGGCAGCCAAAATTCATGGACATTGCACCCAGGAGATCCATATCAAAATTCCTCCCAGCAGCCTTCTGTTGGAGTATTCGGTGGCAAAATAAGATAGAATGGATGTACGTCAAGTAAGCCCACGACTTTGGGAATGTGCAGGATGAGAAGTTGATCCTTTGAGAAGATGATGAGAAATTTTCATATGTTGCTGGTTTCCATCCAGGAATTATGTACTACATGTCAAGTTTAGTGTCCGGTCTCCTTTTCACCAATTTTATCATATGGTCAGTGATTGAGTGGACAGAAAAAGGAAGAATGAAGAATGTCTTAACGGTTAAAAAAAATTATATATCATTTTTTCTTTCAAATAAAAATGATATTACTTAGGTAAGAATTATTAAAATGCATCTAAGTATAAATGAGAGAGTTATACAACTATTATTGTTTTTTTATAAATATCACTTTAATCATTTCAATAAATTTGTACACAAAAATCACAATTGAACCAGGATTTAAAGAGATTTTTTATCATTTATAAAGTAGATCCACGGTGGTAGTTATAAACTCACACTAAGAATCAACAGACCTTGACATTCTCTTGGAGCATCCGAGCGAAGTGAATAGCTTCAAGCCAAGGCAGCACTGAATGACATCAGAAATATGCATCGGGGCGTCGTCACGTCCATCATTATCATGAAAAGTTTTTAGGTACAAAAAATCAATTGGCCTTCGACATCGACACATCCTCTCATTACATAGATTGACTCGGCAACTAAAGTTTATTATATCGGAACTACAAGTTCAGGTTTCGAAAGTGGCACACAACCATTTCCGCGATGAGAAAATCTTTTTTTTTCTACCTACATCTTTGAACATTTGAGTTCGAGATCAGGAACTGTCAATGACTTTCCGACGATTGAGCCAAATGCTTTAGCTATTGCAATTAGAATGGAGAAATCCGTATCGGGAAATCACCCTACTTTTTCGTCTCGGTTGTGATAGAGACACTATGTACGTAAGCTCAAGGCTGTACCGCAACTACATCCATGGTTTTCTAGGTTTAAATGGTACATTTACAAAGAAAAGCTGTTTCTCATCACTTGAGTTGCATTTCTGGATGGTTGGGCTCACACCGGCCTTTTTGACTGCTGAAAAACAATAATCTCTGTCTGGGCCAAGTCCGTGGAAAGCATACGGTTTGATTTGCACAATGTAGCCATTTTTGTTTTTGGCAGCACAACCTGGAGCCCTTTTAACAAAATGATACTCGAAGAATATGAAGCCTGAACTCCATACGCAAGAATCTGTACCGATATCATTTCCAACCTCTTCATCATAGTCCACATACATACACGTGGGAAAGTAGTCGTCCGGATAATCCACGTTGGTGAAGTTCTGTGATATCACGTAGCGAGGAGGCTTATCTGCCAATACCACGAGCCCAAATGAGTAAGAAAAGAAAGAAAGCCAGCTGAAAGAATCATGAATTTAATTATCTATGCCATTATCTCATAGATCTGATGTGATACAGACCATTACCACTCTGACCGATTTATGATATAATTCTGAAAGCAGGCTTGCTAACGAGATAACAGCGTTAAAACTTAGAGCTGATAAAAATGATTGTGCAAACACTGCATCCAACGACATAGGTGAGGTAAATGTTGGTCTAAATTTTGAATCGTGGATATGAGAGGAGCAATTATCTTGCATGAACTAGTAGAAACGCTTCAGATGCTGGACATGTTTCTGAAGAAGATAGGCTAAGCTCTTACCTGTCCCCTTCACGAGAGTTTGGTTCCAAGTGTAAAGCCAGCTGTTTGAGTCAACAGTCTCTACCGTCATCTGAAATATGGTTGATGCATATCGATGTTAGATTTCAAAGACTGAGAAACCTACTGTCAAACAGGGGGAAGTAAGCATGTGTCACAAGCACAAAATCTCCATCAGAAGACAAGAGGTACTAACAGACTTACAATATAGACCTCAAGAGCAGAACATACTCCTGGACCAGCATAGAGTATTCAGTTGAAACCGCAAGCTCAAGCTCAAGCCTGCATATCATTGTATTTCTGCCAAGGATCTACATTTATGCATTCCAAGGTTGATTTGCAGAAACATGCAGAGGGAAGAAGCAATAATGGTATTTTACATGAAGTTGTCCGTCACCGGTGAGAACGAGAGGTCGATTTGGTCCTAAGAGAAGAAGTTTGCCAGAATGGCAGTCGCAGGTAGCGTTCTGGTATGTGACTATGTAGCTCCTGGAATGGATCACAATTGGCTCTGCATTTGCGCTCCGCATGCCTGTCACAATTTGTTTTTCAGTTAAGAACGAAGATGAACATGTACACAATAAACTAGCAACCAACATGAAATGCAGAGTCAGCTGTGCACCAAAAACACTTCGGCTTTCAACTTTAGGATGTGCGGCAGAGATAACTTGCCTGAATGTAGAAAAGAAATTCCCAGCACATACGCCATTGCCAGAAGTGGAGACCATTTGATGCTTGACAGATCCATGGCTAAGGTACTGAACTCAGACTTGCATGTGCTGGCTAAGAGGACTTCCAGTTCAGAATGATCGATGCAGTATACTGCTGGAGTCAGAAAAGCAAGTACATTCTTCCCAAAGGACTACCGTACGGTTCTGTCAGAGATGGATGTGTGATAGAAGGGCTCTTGCAGCTCTCTTTTATACCTCGGTTTTGGCGATTGAGGGGTCGAAGGTGTTTTTGTGTGACTGAGCAAACTTGGTCATCGTTCATTCTCGTGGGCAATCACGCACAATACGCTAGAGCACTTGGGATTCACTATAATATAAAATGTCTAACTCACAATGTGACATCTGCAGCTGGTGCCGAAAGACATGTGAGTCTCACATGTCTTTCGGCACCAGCTGCAGATGTCAGTAGGCACTGTGCTGATAAACTAAGGGTTCATGACATTGTGTGTTTCTTGCCTTTGATGGAATGCATGCGTGATCAGCTGGTGATTTTATCCGTTTGACCTTCAAAGCTATGCTTGCATGGCTCTGAAAGTCAGGGGATAATATACAGTACTAACTATTATTGGTCATATCCAAGCACCTGGAAATCGGAGTGCAGTCCATGGCTACCATGGACTGCACTGTTTTGAATAAGAAAATCATATGACGAGAGAATTAGGCCCAGAATTCAGTTCATGGTGTTGTTGCTGCGTGCTCGAGTTAAGAAAGACTTAGCTCTACAAGATTGAAGACTCAGGGACGTGAGATCATCATATTTATAGTCAACATCTACATATCCAATAAATGGTTTGACATTAAACGATTTTGCATCATACTTAAAACCAAAATCGTCGAATACACGTTATTTTCAGAGTTTGCTGAAAATAACGTGTATGTGGGGTCAAGTTCTTTGATATCGAATTTTTTGAAACTTAAAAAAAGAAAAGAAAAAAGGAACACATTGTACTTGTGTTCATCCAATTTCGTGCTGCCCTCGTTTTAGTGGACAAAATAAATGTGATTTTTTCATGACTGTATAATAAACTCACATATTAGCTTGTGAATTTTGGGTATGTATATTTTATCTTAAGTTTTGGATTTTTTTAACTATTGTCTTTACAAACAATAATTTGTTCACTTATTCTGAGCAGATTGTTTGATATATTATCAAGATAAATAGCCTTTTTAACCAAATCCAGTTCATTTCATTCAGACTTTTTGTATTTGTCATTGCATTGAAACTTATTTTATTATGCAAATGCTCAAATTATTCTTAGCTTCTAAAATTGATTTTTGGAAATTAAAATTTAATAAAAATAAAGATAAATTTAATTAAGTAAATTTGTCAATCGTTCGATTTTTCTAATAGATTTTTTTCTATAAAAAAAAGGGTTTTTACTTATCAAATTTACTCAAACTAGAAATTAGAATAACTATGACACATTTTTTCTAAAAGGCATAAAATCAGATGCAAAAATATACATAATTGTATTATTGTGCTAGATTTAGGTTTAGGTCTCAAATTGGATTATATTATTCATGAATCAATAACAAAATTTTCATGTGTTTACTTTATGGTTTTGAATTGATTTTGTAAATTTACATATTTTTATTGAATTCATTAGGATTAATAAATATTGAATCTGATTAGATTTGATTTAATGAGATTGTTGATTGATTGTTATATGCTAAAAAATATTTCATCAAAAATACTGTCATATATCATACATAAGCACCATTGTATCATCTTGATGGAATTTATCTTTGAAAATATGTAGAATTACGTATTTTTTTCATCAAAATTATTTAAAAATTTAGTTTGCTATTAAACTAATCTCAACTTCAAATAAATTAATGATTTCATGTTGTGACTTGAGATAATGATGACTTGTGTCAGAATAATAAATATACTCATAAGAAAATATGTTGGGATCAAGATTATTGATGGAGGATCGTAAAAATGCTAAAAATCCGTGGTTGTATCAATCTTAATAGAATTACAGAACAAATTATTCCAAGAAAAAATCACATTTATGTGTATGATATAATGTGATACATCTATTGATAACTCTTTGAAATATGATGGGCACGTAATTTCATTCTATTTGAACTCAAAATCCTTGTTGACGTAGTGTAATTGCATTTAAAATCTTCATCTTATTTATGCGGTTAGTATGTTGTATGAAACATAATTTAAATAGTATAAATTCTGCATAGATATATCTGAGCACTAGGAACAACCATTTGTTAGGGTCCGAGGGGTATTTTTCTGCTTTTTAACTCTACTTACGCCGTAGCGTAAGCAGGACAAGCATTCTAACGACAATATAGAGAGCTTTATTTCAGAATCTATGCAATAATGTCTCAATGGTGGCATTTAATATGTTTATTTCCGGAACGGGACGAAGGAGTGCTTTTCGATTTTATTAATTGCACTCTTGTTCTCCTCATCAACGCAACGAAAAAATATATCGAAAGGAGTAAACGACGACCAATGTTGAACCCTCTACTGTACCGTGAGGTCTACACATCATCACGTGACTCGGACTCTGGATCCGACCGTTGTACAGTTGTAGCACAAGATGTTCGGATTTAAATCAAAGGCAACTTGGCGCCCACCGTTCGTTTGGTTTCGGAAGCGGAGGCGCAAGAAGGCAGTCCAAGAAGAGTGCCATGGGGCTCCCAAGCAACGCTGGATCGTGGAATTCGATGGAATAGACTGCCTTCCGGCAAACGATCCCTCCATTGTGAGGACAGTGTCGATGGCGACGGCGGTATTGGATTCGGACGACGATCACGCAGACGAGGAGCTGCTTCTGGACTGGAGAGGGCCGGCAGCCGTGCAGCCGCAGGGAACCTTGGGGTTCAAGCAGGTGAAGCTGAGAGCTGCCGATGCTGTCAAGGCGATTGTGCCCAAGCCAATGCAGGTGCAGGAGCGCAATGAGAAGAGAAAGGCTGATGTTTACAGAAGCTGCGAGAATGTTGTCTTTGTTTCGTTGTCTGATGACGAGGAACCAGTTGAAGCCAGGAAAAAGAGCTCACCGCCATTCTCTACCTCGTCGGCGAAGCATGCGGGTCCGGTGCGCTACACGCTTCCCACTGCATTTCTCTGTTCGTTTTTTCTTCGAAGTCCCCTTTGCTGCTTTAGCTCTTCCTTAGAGAGATTCAACTTTAGGATCGCTGGGGACACTCCAAAACTTGGGCCTTCGATTTTTGTAAGGGTTATACGCGAACGTCTGCTATGCTTCGATTGTTCTCCAGCTTATTTTCTTCATTGCTCCGTCCTTTTGCGATCCAACCGAATTGTTCTCTTTATTTTTTTCGTTTCTTGGCAGTTCGAGAAACTGCCAAGAACTGACTTTTACCTGGATTGTAGAAATCACTTATCAATGTCGGATTCTTTAGTGTTCGGTCAGCTGGCTTCTTCGTCCGATGTTCATCCTGTATTTTTTACATCATTGGCTATTTTCCTGTTTGCGTGATTCTTCCATTTCTGAATTGAGTCCATGCCGTCACAGAATGTCATCGTGAACTTTACCGTGGATCGTCAATAATTTCATTCGGCAATGCTTCAAACATGCTTTGATCAGGCTCTTGCTAGTACACGAATGATTCAGAGCTCATTCCCTGGGGTTTGTATCTGATGGCTTTCTCATTCGTTCTGCACAGATATTGTGTGTCTGGATTCCGACTCCGATTCAGAAAAACCCCTTTCTACTGACATGACAGCCAAATCCTCTGCAACAATTGGAAAGGTTGAAGAGACAGTTTTGAGCAGGACATGGAATAAGGCTTCGTGCCCTGAAAATGCCACAAATATCGGTCCTAAGAAGCAGTACGAGTTCACTCCTCCCTGTACATCTAGAGCTGATACAGAATCCGGAGTAAAGCCTCCACTCGCCACTTTAGAGAGGAGTACATGTACAATTTCTGAAGTTAGCAAGCTCGGCCACCAGTGCGAACCCACACCTGAAAAGAGCGTTGCTACCTATGAGAAGCCAGTTGGTTCAACATCCGGCGAGTTGGTTGTCACTCCAAGGGTCACCGCAGGCTCTACGAGTCGAAATGACAGAACAGAGTTCGAATTCTTATCAAGCGAAGAAAGGGTTAGTAACTTTAGAAGAATTTTGGAGGGCACTGTCGATCACGGGAGCTCCAGTGCTAAGCCTGCTCGGAGGCGGGGTGACAAATCTGCAAGAGCCGCTCAGCTGTCCGTGTACGACTTCGAAGACGAGGCAGAGCCAGCGGGCAGGAATGGACGTGAAAGGTCCCGTCCTATTCCCGAGGGCATTCTTAAGGAGCGCTCTGAAAATATGCTCGTTCCAGCTTCGGTGACAGCAGTGAAGAGCTCCCTGTCAAGATCAGTGGAGAGTCATGACAAGCTGAGCCGGCCATCTCACATCGTAATCGAGGACCTGTCATCGTCCGAAGATGACGAGGAGTCGAGGGAGCGGTTTGTCAGTACCTCGAATGGCCAGGGCGGTACAAGAGTTCATGGGAGAAGGGCGACCAGTGTCAAAAAATGGAGTCCAGCTGCGGCGATCGATGTCGACGATTTGTCTGCTGATGAGGCTTCTGATTCAGAAAGGCCACATGCCGGGCGAGAACCAGAAATGGAAGATCGGGAGGAGCCTCTTCACAGCATGTCTGTTTCGGTAGCATGCCATACTTCTCACAATGTGGCACCCGAAGTCCTCAACATTGGGGTTTGTACGAGCGATCTTGACGTTCGTTTCGTGAAAAGTCCTTCAGTGCCGATGCCACCGAAGAGGAAGTGCGTAAGGTCTGTAGAATATTTGGAAGGACGGTTTGCAGGTATAAACACTCCTGACTTCGAAACTGAAGCAAGCACTGCAGAACTGACGGTGGGCACGGGAAGGATAAGTCCCAATACTTGCAAAGAATCATCAGCATTCGAAACCACAAAGGGAGCTATTGAGCTGGAAAAGTTGGAGAGATCGAAGGGTACCAGAGGAAGACGACGTCTCAGCAGTGACAAGGATTTGTCAGCATTCGAAGCCTCAAAAGTAGCTTTGGAGCTGGAGAAGTCTGAGAAAAAGAAAGAACGAGAGAGAGAACACGAGGCAAGGAATGCACTGAAGGAGGAAGAAAAGAGGCGTCGCAAGGATGAAGCGCTTAAAAGGAGAGAGGTACTAAAGCTGCGCTGAATTCTGAATAGCGTCTTCGCCCAGTATAGCAAACCTCATCCTAACAGTACTCACACTTGGTCATTAAAAAAAAATGCTGAATTACTTGTCTTGATTACAGGAACTAAAACAGCAGAAGGAAGCTGCAAAAGCGGAAGCGGCAGAGAGGAAAAGAATCGAGCAGGAGTGTAGCAAATGGAAGAAAGGAAAGTTTGCGTTAGAGCACACAACCATATACATCGACAAAAGGATCATCGAGTCGAAAACGTTAGGCCGTAAGTTGCACTCAACTGACATGCAGCTAGTCCTTACCACGTAAAAGTTTGTTCGTAAGAGAACGTTTCGTGTTGTTTTTGCTACCCAATGAAGCCTCCAGGTGCCTGCTGCGAAATGGTGTCGATTCCTGTGCAGGGTTCTCGTAGCTACTTTCGTTTCTAACCGCAGTTATGAGCCCTCGCACATACGTGCTATATATTGATCGACCTCTTTTTTGCAGCTCCCTTACTTCAGCAGCTTGCAAGCAAAGAATATACCTACCAAGTGGTTACCAACCCGATCCAGAAAACTATATTATGGACGATGAAAATGCCACCGGAGGACTCCCAAGCTATCTTGGATGCACTTGGAAGCCAGAATGAGTCTATATCAAACTCACAGGCAACGATCAGCACTCTTACGCATGGAATGAGGGCCACTCTTGTTTGCAGATATGCTAATGTCTACTACATTCTTGCCTAGAAAGCTAGATTTGCCGTCTTTCAGAATTCACCTATTGGGTGTGTTCTGGTTGATTACTAAGACTGGACAAATTTTACACTAGTCAATTATCTGTTGGGCCTAAGTATATCTCCCCTGTTCACAGTTTTATTCGTTATCCTGGAAGCTATGAAAGATGATGACAATTTCGAGACTGACGTGGATATAATTTACGTACATGTTTTACTGTCAACAGCTACCCTTGGAGGAAGTCGAGATCAAATACGTGGTAGTATTTTTGGATGCTGCTGAGTTCACAGAGATGGTAGAAGGAGATGCTGTAAATGATCACATATCCAGAGTCAAGAAACAGCACCCTGGATACTCCTTATGTTACCTAGTCAACAACCTGACGCGCTACATCTATAAATTGTAATGTCTGAAGCCTGCCCAGTTTTAGTTTTGAAAGATAGTCCTACATGTATGGTCTATGTATAGGGAACGTTTTCGCACGCCCAGTTTTCCTGCATTCTACCGGTCGTTGTGCATTCTTGCCTACCATAAGCATTACGGTCACTTACTTCTCTCTTATTTGCGGCATGTGCAGAGAGCAGACCCACTACAGAGCTGGTAATAAAAATTGGAGGCGACCGAAAGTTGAGCAGGTACTTCGAACACAAAGACATGTTGGGAACGATTCCTGGATGATACATGTGAAGTGTATGCTCATTTGAATCCTTATACTACATTTGGGAAATTTTCATGTATAGATGTATGATTGTCTTCCTCTCCATTTTACAGGTGCTAGCAGAGTTTATTACCCATCACGTGGGCGTACTGTCTCGTTTATGTCTCGACGAAAACGAAATGGCAGAACATATCCTTGGACTTACACGGGGTCTTGCCGAATGTCCATTCAAGTATGTTCTGTTTCTTCTGACCGTAACTTTCAGTTACACGACAAACTCTTGTAGTTCTAGCTGATGCCCTTGAGATGGGAGTAATCGTGGCACTTTGGGGCCGCTTACTGTAGATGCAAACCGGCATTTTCTATCCTCTCAGCCGTTGAACGTTTTTTGAACAGGTCTAAATTAACAACTCTTACTATCAATGCGAATGGACAGCATCTGAGCAAGAACGATCCCAACAGGGATGTCATCAAGAGGGACCCTTGGTACGTGGGCGATATTTCAAATTTAGGGAGTACATTCAAGAAAAGTATGTGGTTGCTTTCTCTTACATGTTGCTCTGCATTTCATTCCATCGTAACCTTTTGAGATGTGGTTTTGCGGCTGCAGGAAGCGAGCCTTAGCAGCTATTCCAAACATCACCGGAGCCGCAGTGATTGCCATAGCTAGAGTTTATCCAACCATGCGTGCTCTCCTGAACGCCTATTTGGATCCTACTAAAACTGTGGGTGATACGGACATTTGCTGTGTTTTACTTCTTCCCTGGAATTGTAACACAGTTTTAATAAGCAGATTGTAAACTGCTGAGTTTATTGCTCTTTTCCTGTGCGACACAGCGAGGTTATCAATTTAGTCAGCATTTTGCTGGCATTCTTTTCTGAGAGAGGGGTAATCATATCTTACCGTATTGTTTCATCTTGTCAGGTGCTGGAGAAGGAGTTCCTTTTGCAAGATATCGTAAAAGATGCAGTTCTTGGATCTGCCAATGCCGAGGGAAGACGGGTTGGCCCAGTTTGCTCGAAGCGTATCTACAGACTGTTGATGGCGCAAAATGGTAACCTCAGGACGGAAGCTGCAGAGGACGGAGAAGATTATTTCAGTCAGCAACGAGAATAGTACAGTAAAATATTCTAACAGTCATTAGAACAGCACCCAAAGCAACGGGAGTCTTGCTTTGAGATAATGTACAGTAGAAAATGTAGTTGCCGATCGTGAGGTCTCAAATCAAAATGTAGGAATCATTGTGGTAAATCACATACGGGGATTATCTCGATCCCACGGCTTTCATCATGCCGACTTTTGCCTATTGTCTGCAAAGCCTTCCACATTCCAGGTCTTTTTCTGTGACTTTCTCGTGTGTTGTGGCCAATGAACGTACTGATGTCGCCACCAGGCGAGACGTGGTGAAATGGGGCCATGAAGTCTTGACTGGAGGTGACTGACTGACGAGTGGATTTGTTTTGTTTGTTGCCATCATATAACTGAGGATCACAAGCAACTATTCTCTCCCATGTACGAGCATGCATTAAGAGTGCAAAGTAAGTTTCGCATGTGGGACACGCAGCAGAGACACGAGAGCGAGTGGTATCCCCAAGTACAGGAAGAGTGTTTTTCCTGCCCGCATTTATGCACACCATCCAGTAAGTTCTCCTAACGAATGCAAGATTCTGAGAAGGCGTCTTCCATAACTGCTTTTAAATCTTCGTTTGTGTCATCACAACGAAGTCGGTAATGGAAAATCAATCAAGCCCTGCTTACGGAAATAAAGGCTCTGAATGTAAGGCATGCAGGGTTTCAACAAGCACAACTTTATATTAGCCCTGTCTGGTATGCATATTCGGCCTCACCCGTGATTTGACTTGTATAACCGTCAGCACAATTGGTTTACCAGCTTATATTTATTTATTCCATTTCTACTCCTCACTTTCACCTGCAGTTGGGAGCGCACCTTAGGCACAACATGCATCCAAAGAATCCGTCAATAGAAATGTGCCCATAAAAGTGCTCGAATATTTTGTTTACTTAAGGTAGAGCTGGCCCGTGTCAAGCGTACAGACGTCACCTGCAGCTATACTTGCACCTTCTGTAAATGCATCAATGAAAGAAATGAACTTGAAGACAAATTTCTCATCGATTTCCTCACAGGGAGTCGAAGTCAAATCGAATATCATTCAAGGCTTTTGTCAAGAGAAGGGTGTTTTGGGCTTGACCTGGTTGAGAGGAAATTTTTCAATAAGACTTCGCATTAGTGACAGGTCGAGCCTTCACTTGGTCAATTCATGTCTTGCAGTGAAAGCAAGCATATATCCTGAAAGCGTCCAAGTTAAATGAGTATTAATCCTAAGTCATGAGTTTCAATACACAACACATTCACACTTACTAATTGACTGGTTGCAGTTGAAGCGAGTATCAAAAACCCAATGCGTCTTTCCCAGTCTCAAGAAGTATAGAAAGCTCCTCTGCTTAAATATGTTTAACTTCAAACCATTTTGCAGTTTTTAAAACTTGTGGACAAAACTTTGCTAGCATTCATGCAACTCTATTTCCACTAGATCTGCAGTTATAGCGGACGATGAGTCCCAAGTCACTCGAGCTCTTATCCATTCGCCACCCGCCGTAGAAGGTATATAATAAAAGGAAGTGCAGCAAATTTGTTCACAAACTTGCTGTGTTTCTGTCTATTTCTTTGAAGTAGTTTTCTCGAGATGGGCCTTTTTGTCGGCTGGGAGTTGCTGCTCAGGAGTCGTTGAGATTGAGACTTTTTGCTGTGTTTTCTATAATCGCCCTTGCAGTTTGATTATATATCCATCAGAGCCCAACATTGGGTGCACATGCCCATGCCCATGCCCAAACCCACCCATGCCCATGGGTTTTGGGTGACATTATTTTTCCATGGGTGGGCACAAGTAATGCTATGGGCAGTGTTTGTCAAGATCCAACCAAGATTTGGTGTAACCGGTTAATACGCATAACACAATTGGCGTAATTTGAATAGCATGGGTGGGCGTAAGTCGCTTCTGATGGTTATGGTCTGGATGCAGATTGAAGTAAAATGGTTCTGCGTCGGACCTGTAAACTCGTGGTAAACTCAACTTATCCTATTGAAATGTGGCAAAATGGCAAAATGCTGTATCGTAGACGTTTTTATTTGGTTAATTTTTACTAATCCAATATTTACATTTTGCGAAAAAGATAGTAATGGGGGAAGTCCGCAGCTCCTGCGCCCATCATGCGAACCCCAGATATTACTTCACTAACATCACCTTGACACCAGGGATGATCACAATGGTCTGGTCTGGATGCAGATTTGAAGTAAAATGTTAGCCTCTGATATCCATTCTTACCCTTTCATAGTACCTATCACAGTACCCCATGTTTTCTATGATTTCCCTTGGAGATACGAAATTATTTGTAGACAGACCTATTCGATGTCCCATTTCATCGACAATGTCTACCCAAAAAAAAAAACTTCCTTGGCATCTCCAATGAAATCAACTTCTGGTTTGTGGCCACTACACCATGCATCCGATGTGATCTTGTAAAGGCAGAGGACTTCTTCATGCTTGCTTCAGTCCGCGTGATATGAGCTCAGACCATGGAAAGCCAAAGAAGAAGAAGACGTCGCCGTCCCGGTCGGACGTGGACTGTTCCAGTACGTGACGTATAACAACCGCCTATGACAAGTAACTGTCGCTGGGGCTTGACCGGCGTGAGATTCTGGAATCAGTCCTGCTTCTCCAGTCCAGTACTTGAGAAGTCTTTGCTGGAAGTCAACATGGACGGATAAGGTGATAACTGAGCGCACCGGAGTCACCGGATCTCCATCACGGAGAGACTTCGGTTAAGTATGAGTGAAGTCCGTACCTTCGTGTCCTGCTTGGAAGAGAACCGAACTATGTGCCCTTTGGTCTGATCAAATGTTGCTACTATGACTGTCCTCAGCCGGTAGAGACGTAGCTTCGAATGACTGGAATAAGTGATAAAAGAGGAATCTGAAGGGAAGCTGTGAGGATAAGGTCCAGAGAGGGAATGAAAGGCCTAATCCTGGACTCAGGGTAGAATCAATCATTTGAGGGAATAGATTTGTGGTAAAGCAGGGCGCATCCCTGTCGAGGACTAGAATTGAGTCTGGCAGTTTGATGTACAACCGAAATCTCTCCCGGTGTCATGCCATGCCATGCCATTCATGGATTACGAAGTAGATCTTATCTGTCAGCGGATACACGCCGTGGAAACTGGAGAGTTAGTACAAACAGGGTGAACAAGTGTTAAATATGGTTTGTTCAAGATAGAAAGTCAATCGTATTATTACCAGCTGGGGTAGGTAACTGTTGACATGCACTTTATATATAGAGGAGACCATTGTTTGATTCCTGACACCTTCGATCGATCATTTTGCTGTTCATATTTGTAGAAATATTGGACCCGTAATGCTGAATATTTTCCTTTCGCATCGTCCGTTCTTCTTCTGAAATAATAGTGGGAAGGGGAAGAAATATGTGCCTACACGTGCTCCAACAATTTCATGCTCTCCTCCCAGTTTTTTTAATGTAATTCTTTACATAACGAGTCTCAACTGATTTTTCTAAATAATCTAGATGGACATCTTCTATAAGGACAGAAACCAAATCGGAAAATTTATTTGTTCAGATATATTGGTCTAATATGTGTATGATCATGCCTGAAGTGCATACTAAGTTCATCTGTTTTCACTTCGAAGTGTGAAGGATAGACAAAATGTTTTTCTGCGGGACAGTTAATAAGGGCTGTGTAATAATACTTTTAATCGGCCGATCTGAAGCATTGTCTGACTTGTTAAGTAGACTCATAGTAAGTAATCTTTATTTACAACACTACATCAACACTTGGAATTCACATCTAGTATAAAGTGATACAGAAAAAAATAATTTCAAAACTCATCAAATATTATACTACTGACGTATAAAAACCTTTTAAGTTCCAAAGTTTTACTAGAAATAAAATATCACATAGTTATTCTAGTATTCAACATGATAATTCTACTAGATTAGTAGACCATGTGAAAAACATGTTGAATTCTAGACCAGTTGAACATACCTTGGAACTCAAAGAACAAAAGAAAAAGAACTCTGAATACCCTGGATGTGCTCCAGTTTCCACTTAGCCGACAGAATATGTAATATCCCATCTAACAATACCATGTACAATACACGTATGAATACCACATCCAAACACCTTGAAGGTATAAAGAATGTGTGCATGAGGAGAGGGTTTGTTTTACACCGAAATCACATGCAACGCAGGCTGGCCTCAAATGAGCTGTTATACCCTGTGTTTACTTACACCCCGAAAATGTCGACCACGAACACATCCAAACCATAGATAGTCTAAAAAAGGAGCGAGCACGTAATGACTCCCTATTATGGCGAAACAGAGTGCTAGTGCTTGTTACTGAATACTTTCTTTACTGATTACTATAATGTTCCTACTTCCAAAATCAATTAGGACCGTAAACATCAAACAGCGTGCGTCTCTCTGAGCAGTGCTCTTAATTTTTGAGTTTGTCCTGAAAAACAATATTCCTCTGAGCCTCCCTTCCTCGGTTAGCCACGGATCCAAATCGCGACGGAAATGACGAAAGTCGCAAGTTCTTCAGATCATCGATGACCGAAGCAGGTTGCGCAGAGTGAACGAACGTCTCCGTGAGCCGCGAGACGAGTACAGAAATACGGAGAACAACTGACAGTCGAGAAGATCGTATTGGACGAGAAGAAGAAAGAGATTAAAAATAGAAGGAGAAGGCAGGGCCGAAGGAAAAGCGAAAGGACAGGCGAGGAGCAGCAGCAGCAAAGCGAACCGAGGTAGTGACACCAAAGCCGTACCGAGCACTTTACTAAAATTGCCGAACAGGCCACAGACAGCGGCGCAAGCCTCGAGACGAGCGACGTATTTACTGCGAAGGAACTCGTCGGACTCGGACTCGACTCTCACGTGAGCTGCTGCTCTCTCGCTCGCGGTCAGTGAGAGAGCCCTGGCCCTGTTGGGGAAGCATCTATACAGCAGCAGCAGAAGAAGAGCAGCTGGCAGGAGGATCAATCGAAGGCTGCTGCTGCTGCTGCTCTGCTCCTCCTCGTGGTGGTGGTCCTAGTCGTCGTCTCCTCCCTCCTCCTTCCTTGTGCCGGGAAAGTCTTTCTTTTTTCTTTTTTTCTCTCCTCTCTTCGTGCGCCGGACTCCTCCTCCTGCTCTGCTCTGCTCTCCTCTCTCGACAGTGAAGACTCGCATCTGCGCCGGGCTCGCGAGTCTAGCCCGCTGGTCATTTAATGCGATGACTACTCTGTCATGCGGAGTTCTCTCTGGCCCGATCTGCTGCCCCGCTCCATCCTCCGCCCGAGGCGTCCGTGGGGCCGCCGGCAGCAGCGGCGCTAGCAAGAGATCTGGTGGCAGGCCGGGCAACGGCGAGCGCGAGCCTTCTTCTTTCCTCTCTGCGTCTTCTGCTTCTGCGTCCGCATCCGATTCTTCGACCTCCTCTTCGTCTTCGGGGTCTGACATCACGGCCTCGTGTTCATCATCGGGTGTGTTCCGTGGGCGATTCGGGGCTCGTGCCTCGCCGTCTGCTCTGTCCGGAGCAGCAGGGAGAGTCGGTCGAGGGTGGACGGGGGCTACCTTCGGGATTTCGAGGGCGATTTGCCCGCTTCGCTGTATGGCGCCCACTCCCGGTACCGGGGCCGCCTTCACTAATGGAAGGCCTGCGGCTGGAAGCTCACAGGTCGATCTGACCAGTGTCTTATCGGTGGACACCCGCTATAAGACCGAGACTCACGCTGCTGCGTCTGCCGGTGAACAGGTCGTGGAGGAAACGCAGGTTCTCTTTGAAGCCAATGAGGAATTCCGCAAGAACGCTCTTGTTTCCTCGACTGAGAAGGTGGGCATGTTTAGCTTTCGGGACTGATTGTCGGATTTGACGAAATTGCTCGAAATATTGCTCGTGATTCCTAGCAATTTTATGTAGCCGCGGCTTTTGTCGACGTAGTTCAGACGATCGGAGGTTTGTATCGTTTTGGAAAATTTGAGTTTATTGCTCTTGCGCTGGATTCGTTTTTTATTTATTTTCCTTGAACATGTACCCCGGTGCCGAGGGTTGTATCCTGAGGAATCTCGCAGGCTTGGCTGGGAATATGTTGACTTGTACTGCTCTGAGTTTGGGGGTTTCATCATGGATGCTGTCACTGACGTCCCGGATGCGTAGATACTTCAAATCCTCACAAAAGTGGAGAGGGAATTGTCTAGCTGACTTATTTGACGGATTAAAGATGATCGATTCTGTTAATCTGCAAGCGCTAATACAGCCTCGTGCAGAGAGGTTTTTGGTTCTGTTTAAATTCTGATAGCTTTTACTGTTGATTCCGTTTCAGTATGAGGAAATGTACAAGCAGTCGGTGGAAGATCCCGATACTTTTTGGTCAGAGATAGCGTCCCAGTTCCATTGGGAGAAGAAATGGGATGTCACGGATGGCAAGGTTCACACCGAAAATTTTGACGTTCGCAAGGGCCCGATCAAGGTGGAGGTAAGCTCATCAGGACGACTACCCGATGTAGTTCACTAATTGGATGGTAACAGCTTCCGTCTTCTACCAGGCTCATTTCAGACAATGCCTTACCCATTGAATAAAATTTAGAAATCTGAACCATGTCGATCACATCTGAATGAGAGTAAAAGTAAAAGATTTATTTTATGAAGATCATCTTCACTAAAGCAGTTACGAAATATTGTAGCCGCATTAATGGAGGGTGAATTGTTGATCCTGGGGGGAGGGTCTTGGTGTCCTTTCACAAAGCTGAAACAGTATAGCATGCGTTTTGATGTATCGCATGTTCTCGATCGTCTTTGCGTTCAGTGGTTCAAAGGTGGCAAGACGAACATTTGCTACAATGCCCTTGACAGGCATGTGGAGGCCGGAAGGGCCAACGACGTCGCAATGTTCTGGGAGGGAAACGAGCCAGGATATGACAGTTCTGTCACCTTTGGAAACCTCTTGGACCTCGTGTCGCAGGTACTCCACGAACCATAGAGTGCCCTCCGTGGCTCCACTGAATCTACATGTTTGTGGAATGAATTTAGTTTTATTTTGGGTTTTGTTTTTTGTTTGGTGAGTATCCTGATCTTTCTTGTGGCAAAACTCAAGCTCGATTTCTTTGCTTCCAGGTCTCGAACTACCTACGTTCAGTTGGGGTCAAGAAAGGAGACGCCGTCGTGATCTACATGCCCATGTTGGTGGAGTTGCCAGTTGCGATGCTCGCTTGTGCTCGAATAGGGGCAATCCACTCGGTATGACATCACTTCAGTTGCTAATGGTTTGTTGGACTGAGCGAGAGCTTGTTCTATGACCGATGAGTCCTCTTCAGCTTCTCTGCAAGAGTGTAGCGGACATGCTCTTTTTCGAGTCGATTACAGAGGTCGATTTACGACGGTAGCTAACTTCTTCAAGATGCGTAACCAACTTCGTGTTTACTCTAGATTGGGTATAACTACAAATGTCCAAGAAATATGAGTTATCGTTTTGTTGTACACATGGATGACGTTATATGGTGGAACTGTGTTTTAGGTGGTCTTTGCTGGATTCTCTGCGGACTCCCTTGCTCAACGTATCTTGGACTGCAAGCCCAAAGTTGTGTTGACAGCAAATGGGGTAATGCGAGGGACTAAGTTTATAAATCTTAAAACAATCGTCGACGATGCCCTGAAACAAGCAAAGCAGGAAGGTTATACTGTAGGTAAGCTCCTGCTGCTCTTTCCTCGAAACAGTGACAACTCAGTCGTCCCCTTATGTCGTCAGTGACTGTATATCAGGTCCTAATGAGTTAGAGTTGAGATCGTCTCTGAGAATCGATATCGTATGTAGCTGCAGTCTTAGTGTTCCTGTGAGGCAACTTGTAGTTTAGAAGTAGAGGTCGCGTAGCCATGTACAAATCAGAATTTGACTCGAATATAAATGAGAGCATCTATAAACTTCCTCTCACTTATATCGTACATGAGAAATGAACGAATTATCATCGAAATTTTCTGGGATTGCCTAATGTTTTGTGTTGGGTAATTACAGAGACATCTGTTGTGTTTGCGAATGAGGTGGCTACGAAGAAGGAGGAAACAGCATGGGTGGAAGGCAGAGATATCTGGTGGCAGGTTTGTCTCTTGAATTTGGCTTTGATTTGACATCGATAGTTGTAGCTACGTCGATGTCCTTGTTTGAACAGTATTGGTTTGTAAGGTTTTGTGAATGTTTCACCCGTCTATTTTGTAAGAAGGTTATGTATTTAAAATTAATGTTAACTTGAAGGTTATGTTTTCTGGTACTTCCTGCTAATATACTAGTAGCAAGTTCTGCTCTGAGTACGTTTACGAGGCAATCTGATGATCCTCCGGTTTCGTGCAGGATGTCATTCCAAGCCAATCAACTAAAAGCGAGGTTGAGTGGGTAGATGCCGAGGATCCTCTGTTTCTGCTTTATACCAGTGGTAGCACTGGCAAGCCGAAGGTGAGCTGAACTACACTGCCTCATCTCTTTGGAGAACCCAGAAGGTGTACTATCAGATGGATATATTTGTTGTGGCTCTCATTTGTATAATTAGAATAGCGTACAGCAATTTTCTGTGGACAAAAGTTTTTTAGTTCCTCGCTGCGGGATACGTAATGAATACTTTTCTTCAGGCCTCGATTACGAGGTCCGCTTTTTGTGTTCTAGCATGAAAGGTTGTGTGTAGAGACCTCATAGGAGATTCCGATGATCAGTTTTCACTTGGTCGAGTTTTCGATAGGCACAGTTCATTGGCAACTTTGATGCCTGTTTTAGCAGAATGCAAGAATATTAGCGAAGATTCTTAAGGATGTAATGGTTTGCAGGGTGTACTTCACTCAACAGGTGGTTACATGGTGTACACTGCTACCACATTTAAGCATGCCTTTGATTATCGCCCCGGTGAAGTCTACTGGTACGTATTTTGCTTGACTGGTCTAGAGTTGAGGACCTCAGTCACGTCCTCGGGTCTCAATTGCCGTAAATAAGCTTTTTCCTTCGCACGTAGCGCATAGTATGAACAAACCTAAAACAGTAGATGGGGTCAAGATACAAAAGTAGTTCAATCCTCAGTAGTCTTTCACCAGTGATAAGTCTTTTTTCTGCTTCTAAATCGAGCTAATGAATTCTTGCGGTTATATAGGTGCACTGCTGATTGTGGGTGGATTACCGGACACAGCTACTTGACATACGGGCCTCTCTTGAATGGAGCTACCGTTGTCAATTTTGAAGGAGTAAGTATCTGCCTGTTATATTGTTGACTAGAATACTTACTTCCTCTTCCTTTTTCCTAATTGAACAACTATTTGAAATCGCTACACTGACAAACATACCACCTTGTGTGAGATCCAAGTCTTTGATGGGCTCACGTGTATTGTCAGTCTCACGTCCTGCAATATGTGCTCCTGTTAGTTGCATGGAGCGTAGGAACGAAAGCTCTACTCTTGTAGGATAGTCATTACAGTTCTTCTCATGCTGGTCTGCAGTCATAACCACGTCTAGAAAACTAGTATTGTAGCTGAATATTAGGACTTAAGGCAAGATCCAAGGGGATAATTTGTGGACTTTTGAACAACAGGTACCGACTTACCCTGATGCCGGAAGGTGCTGGGAGATTGTAGATAAGTACAACGTCAACATCTTTTACACTGCTCCGACAGCTATCCGAGCTTTGATGCGAGAGGGCGATAAGGTAAGCTGGTGTTACAGAGTAGAATGTTTTTGTGAAGTACTTGGATGGCAAAGTTGAAATATTCTTGTATTACACCTCTTCTTGTGTATATCATGCTTTTTATACTTCCGATAGTAGAGATGAAAGGGGGAGTCATGAATTGATCCAGAAATCTGCAATGCATACTGACCCTCGAGGCTGTACCTTGAAACAGCCTGTGAAGAAGCATTCGCGGAAATCTCTTCGAGTTCTTGGAAGTGTCGGAGAACCTATCAACCCTGCTGCTTGGAAGTATGTACCTCCCCCTTCGGCGGTCGATGGGCAAAGTACATGAGTATGCGTCTTGTAATGAAGTTGTTGTCTTCGTGTTAAACTAAATTGTTACTCAAAGACAAGTTCGTGTTTTTTAACAGCCTACTGAATGTTGTGATTCTGGTCTTTCACGAAAACAATTTTTTAGTTTCACGCCAGCAGTCTCTCACAGAGAAAGGTTTTCAATTATGAAACTGACGTGGGGAACTCGGGTGCGCAGATGGTACTATGAAGTAGTTGGAGATTCGCGATGCCCCATAAGCGATACTTGGTGGCAAACGGAGACGGGTGGCTTTATGGTATCATCCAGACTCCTAATGTGCATAAAATTCTGATAACATTGGCTCCTGTATTGGATCTGGGTATTGTTTCAAATGATACCTGACATGGTTGAAACTCAATGCGTCACGTTGAAAGGTCACGATTAAGCATCTCACCTGCCTTCTTTCTTGGTAAATTCCAGATTACTCCCATGCCTGGTGGTTGGCCGTTGAAGCCGGGATCTGCAACATTCCCTTTCTTTGGTGTTCAGGTATGTAACCAATAAAGTTCACTTCACGTGTTTGATGGCGCATTGGGCCCTGTTAAGGCAAAGAAGTCCTCGGACCCATAGGCATTTTAGAACAATCGTAGCCTTGAGTAAGTGAAGGGTGAGTGAATCATGTTTAACATATAATACTCTCGCAAGAATTGGAATACTAAGAATTTTGATATGTGTTCCAGCCTGCCATTGTGGATGAGAATGGAAAAGAACTACATGGGGAGTGCAGTGGTTATCTGTGTGTCAAGGCTTCGTGGCCTAGCACTTTCAGGACCCTTTTCGGGGATCACCCTAGATACGAGACTACCTATTTTGCCCCTTTCAAGGGATTTTACTTCAGCGGTGACGGATGTCACAGGTAAAGCCGAAGTGCCTGCTCCAAGTAATTTTCCAGATGGTTCTAGATTTGAGCGAACTTCAGGAGTCGTAACATTGAACACCTCTACTTTTAGATTCCATCATGAATACTTTTTGGATTGTGGTTTCTTCCTCTCATGGTCTGTTTTGATACCTCAGGGATAAAGACGGTTACTACTGGTTGACTGGAAGAGTAGACGATGTCATCAATGTCAGGTATAACCGAGCATTGAAACACCTTCTTCTACGATGAATCTTTGCAGTCTTGCTTCTCGTTTCAAATATCTCTCTGTGCCCCAACGCAAGATTGTTTCGTTTCTGAAAGGTGACTTTTTCTCGAACTCGTTGTAATGGTGTGGCTGTTTTTGGTTATTGCAGTGGCCATAGAATTGGAAGTGCCGAGGTCGAGTCAGCTCTGGTCCATCATCCTCTGTGTGCTGAGGCAGCCGTAGTAGGATATGATCACGAGGTAAAGTTTGAACGGGATTGAAGGACTTGTACGAGAACTTGACTATTCGAAGATTTGGTTGCCGAAGTGTAGCGGAGAAAAGACGTTTTGATGGTGATGTTGTATTTGCTCGTCAGTAGATAGAGCAGATGTTTATCTACGTGATTTTCGTATCTCCTGAAGTCTGAAACTGTCATTACAGGTCAAAGGACAAGGTATATATGCATTTGTAACCCTGGTGGAGGGTGTTGAGTACAGCGACAAACTTCGGAAAGATTTGATTGCCAAAGTTCGATCTCAGGTTAGTAAACTTTGCGCTTTCCACTTGTTAGCAGATGCTGATTTTAAGTTGCTCAAATGTCAATCCTTCATTCAGTACATTCTGAAAGGCAGAATGTGGGATCAAGATTTATTTGCAGTACCAGAAATCATCTATTTTCGGTGAATGGTACTCATGAGTTCACATATCTGTAATAAATAATAATGATTTTCTGACTAGTATTCGTCGTGTGGTAACAGATTGGTCCATTTGCTGCACCCGATATCATTCACTGGGCCCCCGGCCTACCCAAAACAAGGAGTGGGAAGATTATGCGCCGGATATTACGAAAGATCGCTGCAAATCAGATCGATGAATTGGGCGATGTGAGCACTTTAGCCGATCCTGGAGTTGTAGAGCAACTCATTGAATTACGGGACAAGTAGAGGCACAGGTCTCATGTATAGATTTACATCAGTCTCGACCAAGCCTCGTGATAAGAGCAGGCAGGTCCGGAAAACTTCTAGAATATCCAATTCCCTCATTTGGATCTGATTAGCAGCGAGATAGTTTTTGTCTATCATGTAATGTAGAGTAAAGCTTTGAGGGGTCTGAGTCAGAATCGTTTACACGCTTTTGAACCCTCTCGTAGAGATTCCCAAATTTCTTGTAAGTTCCTGTACCCGTTTCATGGCGCTTCAAAAGTTCGAAAAGAGACATGTTCTAACAGAGCATAATTGGTTCCTTACAGCCATTCCACTCCTCACGAGCTTCTATTATGTCTGTCCTCCGATTTCGGACCGGTTTGGATCATGTGAACACCTTAGTTTTCCATCCAGTCTTCCGAGTACTATCCGATGCTGTTGTGTGAAAATAAAATACAAGAAGCTCTTCTAATAGTAATTGTAATTTGGGACTTCAGTCCTGGTATTGAACGAGTTCAAATTCTATTTTCGATGATTGCAAAGAGCTCGCTCGTTAGTCTGAAAACCCAGTCAGCTCAGAAAGTTAAAGTTCGTTTGGACCATAGAAGGAAGTAAATTTAACCAAAGGAAAAAGGCTATGGGCGTTTGTGATATATTGATCTGGACGTTTATGGAAAAAGGCTATGGGCGTTTGTGATATATTGATCTGGACGTTTATGGAGATAATTGGCATGAGAATGTTTCGCCACTGCTTGAATACCTCTCTGTGCGCACCATATATCCCAGAAAACATACTGTTCTACCAGAATCAGACCACGGTCGGAACTTCCAATGCTCTCGCTATTCTCATCAGAAGTGAACCGAACTCTGAAGCCATGCATTGGTGAAAATGGTTGGAAGTAAAAGGTTGGAAGGATTTCGCCACGTAAGAAAGCTTCAAGATGCCAAATTACTCGTATCTGCTCGAAGTCCACGCCACGCGGAGTGGAGATGACTTGCTCTGATGGTGAATAAAGGCTCAAAGCAGTTGGACATTGGTGGATCTCGCAGCGATCTATTGGCAGCCTACCAGCAGCATTCATGTGTTCGTTGGATGCAGCTCTGGGCCCAGTCCATGGTGTCCGGTGTTGACTCCAGAATTCCCACAAATCGGTGAGCTTCAGTCCAATGGCCGTGGGCGACATCACTGTCAACACGGCCCGTGACGTCCGTGTGTTGGATTCTGCGCCACGATCTTGATTTTTGTTTCGTCTCGTCTCTTCCTTCGCAGTTTGATTCTCGTCTCACGAAGAGGCCGACGATTCTTCGGGACGACAACGGCGAGAAGAGAAGAGATGATGGTTTGATTTCGAATCCAAGGGAAGGGAAGGGAAGGGGAAGAAAGCAGCAGCAATCATCGGCGATGGAAAGTGCAGGCGATCGACTGACCAGGAGCATGTCCAGGCCACAGAGATGAAGAGAGTCGAGCTCAAGCTGGGAAACGACAGACAGCTATGGCCGCTGCTGCTGCTGCTTGCCGAAGCTGCACGGCGTTAGGTAGAAAGCGATTCGTACGCGAGGAGGAGTCCGTAGACGGAATGGGAATGTGCCTCGGGGTCGTCTTTGTCTGCCATGTGCGTGAGCTCTGCGGACTCTCGTCTCGTCGACGTGATGCCGACGGATGCGGATATGGGGCGTGAATGAATGTCCGGAGGCAAAGTGAAAGGCACGCGGCGAGGGGCGAGGGAAGGACGGGGAAGGACGCCGTGGAATACGTTCTGTACAGGACGAGGACGAGGACGAGGGAGGAAAGCGAAGCAGCAGCAGCAACAAAGGAGGTCGAATTGTACGAGGAATGTACGAGAGCTACGTCCGTACGAAGCGGAGCAAAGGGACTGCAGCCGATTTCTGACATGCGTGGAAGCTTTGGTCAGCTTTCTTGACATTTCCTCGAGGACGCCAACCGCAAATCCATCCAAATTTGGCGAAGCTTGATCTCTCCTCCAGATTCTCTCGAGGTTTGGATTTGGCCGCTCGAGAGAACGAGAGGGACGCGGGTCTCGTTGCGCCCAAAGTTGGCCGAACCGGATGAAAAGTGTTCGCACTGCCCAAACAAGCCTCCGCTAAGAGACGGAGGGATTCATGAGGCTATCGAGCTGGCAGAAGCAGTCGAGATCGGATCATCGGAGGAAGCGGTTGCTTTGGGAGGTGCAGGCGGAGGAGGAGGAGGGCCATTCGGTGATTCTTATCAGGAATGCCTTCTCTGTTTGGAAATGCACTGGATTTGCAGAGCTGGGAGCACAAGGCGAGGGCCAGGAGAAAAAATGCAGCAGCGATGCTGCGTAGGAGACAACAGCTTCAGCGTCCTGGGCTGCAGTCCAAAAGGCCCTTCAAATTTTCGTTCCGCAATTTCGTCCTCGTGGTGTTGCTGCTCGGAGGATTGACAATTGCTCCTTCGGTCTACTTTTTTCTCACTGAGGTATTTCCCCTTCTTCCCCGCCGTGCCCTGCCCTGCCAGACCCGCCAATCCACAGGCTTTCTTCATCCGAGCATTTCGATGATTTTAGTTTCCAATTGTTCCTCAGAAGCCACTCATTGTTGGCCGGCTGGTCGCTAGAAACTCAGTCTTCTCTGTCTGCCTCTGTTCTACAAAACTGCCGAAGTTCCCAGACAGAGAACCTTACAGTGCGGCACAATGTGTCTGTGTCGATTGATGTCTGATGCATTCCTGCAAGCTTTGGACTTGTGATGGAAGGACTTCACCCGCAGCAAATTCAGACAACCGAGCTTGGAAGATGTGGACCTTCTTCCACCGATCCTATCACCTGCCCTCCCAACTGACCAAAGAAGAGGGGTGAAGCAACCAACTTTTTGCCCTTCATCTCGAATTTCACTTCTAAATTGAGTCTTCTTATTGGTCACTGAAGCTTCTGATTCGTCCTCGTATCGGATGGAAAAGAAGAATCAGAGGGAAACGGCTTCTTACTGCAAAAGTGCTTCGAGCGGATAGTGAAATGCGAGCTTGCCTGATCAACCGCACTCACTTCAAAGCAACACACTAGCAGCTAAACACTGTGCCTCCTTCATTTGATAACAGATTCTGTAATCGGTGGGAACAGCACTCATGTCACCGCTTAGAAAATGCTTTCTTGGTAGTTTTAGTGACAGGACGAGGGCGGTGTGTACATTGTTCCTCAACTTCAGCAAAGTGTTTTGCTTATCACTAAATTGGAAGGTCAATTGCAGACCAAAAATCACGACTGCGATTGGCTGCGAAGACCTCCAATGGTCTGCGCTCATGGAGGGGATTCGTCCGGTGCACCTCCAAATACTGTAAGTTAGTTGGAGAGCAGTCGTAACCAGGTCCTAGTTAGAAAGTTTGAATTTGTAGGATCACTCTGGTGCATTCCTGCATTTATGCTTTTGTGGGAAATCTTATTTGGTGACGTTCAACCCAGCTTGCAGCTTACCAGCTTGCGCTAGATGCGGAAGTAGATTGCGTTGAGGTCGATGCATCTCGCACACGAGATGGAATTTTACTTGCTATCCATGACAGGTACACTCGACCATCTTAGTTTGTTGCCATGTACATTATCACCTTCTTTGACAGTCATAGCTTCAAGTATGAAATTCGAACAGGAATCATATCTCGACATCATACGTTTATGCCTGACAGGGAGCTTGCGATTATGAGTGATCACCCTGGTGCTCGAGTTGGGAACTTCACAGCAAATCAGGTACGAGATGCGTTGAATAGACCGCTTTTATTGGACAAGCGTTCGAAGGAGTATGCGAACGCTGACATTGAGTGCCTACTTGCAGATCAAACAATTTGATGCCAGCTGGGGCTCTCACCACAATGTTCAGAAGCAACAAGTCCCAAGCTTAGATGATGCGCTGCAGGTTTGTCTACCTCTTTGAAAGGAGGAAGTAGATCTAGAAGGCATTTCTAGAAGAGCTTCAGAGCATTAATGATGGTAGTGTTTAGGGGTCAAGTATCTAACTCAATTAAGAGATGTGTTATGTATGAAAGAACCTAGTTGTCAGCTGTAAGAACTTCGTACACTCAAAATCATCGAGATTACAGAAAGTTCGGTTATTTGAAGTTTCGTTTCGCTCTTATATACTCTGTGTAGTTGATTCAAGCTATCCAGGTGTAGGAATCAGAAGCAGTCTTGCTATTTCGTGAACTTGATTCTCAAACTGGGTGTGTCCTCCTCCGTGTTGTGATGCAGTTCATGCGGAAACATGTCAAACAAATTATTGTTGATGCCAAAGTAGGACCTCCATTATACGAACAAAGACTTACCAAAGATATTCTTACTGTGGTAAGTCTCTATGCCACCGCAGACAAAGGTTCAGTTTATACTAGGATATTCTATATAACCGCTTATTGTTCGGTACGAACCGCTCTCCGCTCATTATTTCACTCCGAATTATTATAGTTATTATCCAAGTAAATTCAAGAGTTCCTTCAGAATTATCCCCGATCTGAAGGTGTCAGAGTGGTAAGCCTGTGTGTAAGGTAGGGTGGAGATATGATTTAGGGTAAATGGTAAACAAGTGTTGGAGATTTGATGTATTCTACGATTCCATTCTGCATCTTTGACGAGTATGAGCATTTAAAGTACACCTATGTGCAAACCAAGAGTTACGTTCGAAGTGGACACTAGTGTGATGAGTTGATATAGAAACTCATGTTGAGCTGTGTTTTTCTAGATAAAGAGAAGCGAGTGCAGCAACTGCGTGGTGTGGGCGAAGAATGATGGTTTTGTAGCTGATATAACTCGTCACACGACAAAGACCAAGGTACAAATATGTTTGTTGAAAATTTGCACTTGCAACTAATCAATGTCATTCTCAGTTTTTGTAGCTTCACCGTGAGTGTGTTTGCTCATGCACATGTTGGCTACTCATCTAAATCATGCTGGAGCAGGAGATAAGCCTTTTGTCAGAATGTACCTTCACACATGGTGGAGATGCCTTATCAACGGTATTTGTAAAGTATGTGCAGACAGGTTACATTGTCATGAATGACACAACGACAGGTAAAGTTTCTGAGCTCGTGCGGTTGAAGGGCGCGGAGGTGGTGGGGATTTACCATGGTCTCGTCAACTCCAAAGTTGTACGTTACCTGCACAGGTAATATCTCTATTGGTTATAGACGTTGCGATCACTATCAGCTTCCAGTATCGTTCCAGACTCCGTTTCTTTTTGTTCTTGCTCTCAACAAATCCTCTTAGAACAAACAGGTGGTAGAATGAATCCATAATATTTTTCATTCCAAGCATGGAGGTAGCAGTATAGATCGAAGATATCAATACTTTTCTGTTCTCATTGTTGATCATTGGATATATAATCCAATGATCACAACCATATTGCTTTGTACTCTTTCGTTTGTTTGACCTGTTGTTGCTGCTGTGTAAGTAGATCGTGAGAAGTTAAATTTACTCATAGTTTAGCGCTTAGATTTGAAAACCCTCTCTGGTCGAGAGGCAGCCTTTGTCAGAAGAACTCCCTTGTGAATTTCTCATATCAAGGACTTCTCCTTCCTACACAACGATGCTTAATAGCTTGCATGAGTGAAATCTTTGGTGAGATGACCACGATCTGGATATGTTAAGGCAGTGATGCTGTTAACTCTCTGGCATGGCACTGACGCAGACGGATTATAGACAAGTAGCTATATTGGAACTATATATAGCTGTGTGCTGTATGCTGCTGTGTACCCTAACCCTAAACCCACTGTGTGCTTAACTGTAGACTATGATCCTTACACTGTATATGTTTTTATAACCTCGAGAACATATAGGGCCGTGGTGTGGGCCCCTCTACAGTTATGTTGCTAAGGCATTGAACCACCGAGTGCACCATGAGATTGGATTTTCCTGAAACGTCAGGAAAATCTTATACCAGTTCTTCCTGCTGATGAGCAAGGAAGTGCGTTTGAGCTTAGAAAATGCATTATCAAGCAATGTATATGCAAGAATAGTTGTATCATTGACTCCCGAGTGCTCCAAAATTAAATAGTTTGTCGGCTGCAGAAATGGAAGGAAGGCCTATGCTTGGACTGTAGATACAGCGGAGGCGATGAGCGATATGCTGAAGGCCAATGTGGATGCAATTATAACCTGCAACCCCAGGTTGTTGCAGCAAGTAATGGAGAACGAGCGACAGGCCTGCAAAGAGGAGAGTTTTGGTATCAACTGAACATACTAGATATTGTATCATAATAAAGTGGATCAACAGGAAGTAATAGTGTACTAGGAAAGGGTTTTTATACATGTTATGTTCTTTATTATTCAAAAGCAATTTATTACAGGCGCATTCAACTCATGTTCGGAACCATGAATATCATATATGGGAAATGTTTCCGTTCGTGAGAATAATTACATAGTGGTACACACTCTTTTGGGTAAAGAATATTGTTGGAGCGTATATCAATCCTCCGTACAAAATATTCGTACAGCCGATTGGAGATCGAAGATTGTCACCTGATGTAGAAGTGTAAGCTCACTCAGATAAAGTTGAATTCCCAACGTGAAGTAGGATGATAGTGAACTCGGACTCCCCTCGAAGTCGGTACGGGGAGACTGTAAATATGTTTTATGAACACTTAAAGAGATTGATGAAACCCAATCTGAAGCTCAGTCCGTGAAGATGGAACCATGAACGATACCTGGCACCGAAGCGCTGCAGTGTTTTCAAATCGTGCCACTAAGGTCGAGTAGTCGGTTGACATAATAAGAAATATATTAATCGGCGTAATTTTTCGTTACATTCATAGGTCAAGGCGGGATATTTCCTCAAGGCGGTCAAGAAGAGTAGAATTTTGCTCATCCGTGGTGTGCAGCGCAGATTCTCTTGGCGGCAAAACTTCACGATGTCGCACGTCAATTCCAGTTCTTCAGCTCTTCCCAGCCTTATATGGCTGTCTTCATGCATCCTATGCATCGGGGATGTAGCTCACCTGGTAGAGCGCTCGCTTCGCATGCGAGAGGTACGGAGTTCGAGTCCCCGCATCTCCATGAGCTTTTGACCGAACGCACACTGTCGCTCCATAATGACGTCGTGTCATCCATCAAGAATTCTTCATCACTAAGCCCTCGTGTAGTTATATAAGGCCAGGGTGAAATTCCTGGAAGTTTCAACACCATCTACCTTCGGCGGTACCCCCGAAATTCGGTACAGGTGGCAACGATCAGTGATTGGACTGTCCAAAGTCTTTCAGCTCACTTCGAGAGGCTCACAGCAGAGACTTTGTATCTCGATCTGAACAAATGCAAACGAGCTGCCGAGCAAAATTGCTCCACTTAAACGATCCCTTACGTTTCATAATTGACTGAAACTCGGCTTCCTACTCGCCGATCACAGTCTGCAGCCCAACAGTGAGGATAAAACTGGACAACCTTCAGAACTCCACAGCTCCATAAAAGACACGACCTACCTTTGCAAATGACATTTCGAAGACCTTCCCAATTCAGCAGGGACTCAGACGATCCAGCGGGCGGGCAAACTTCGGTGCAAAAAGTTCAGAGAGTTTTATTTACATCCGTGATGAGATTGATATGGGCAGTCTTATATACATCCACTGTACAGACGTAAAGCAAACACTTTTTACAGCAGTGGTGCTAAAAGAGGGCGGCAGCAGCAGAACTAAAACGCATTCCAGTTCGAGTCCGGCAGCGAGTGTCAGCTGGAGCTCACACGGGGAGTCCGGGAGAGAGGAGTCAAGATGAACATCTGGCTCGTGTGGCCCTGCACTTTAACCTCAATCTCGTCGACCGAATTGCCGTCCCAGGTCTCGTGCTTCCACAGATCCCGGACGGTGACGGGGGTGCCACTCGGGAGGCCGATGTCGGACCACGAGGCCTTGATGTTGAAGGCCTTCTTGCTCCGATTCCAAAGCAGAAGCACAGTGCGATCGCCGGAGAGAGGGCCCGACCAGACCTGCACATTGTTGCCCAGCCACCAGACGGGCGATCTGAGAACTCGCCGGCCCTGCACGCCTAGAGAGTCCTGATTCACGTCGATCACCTCCTTATTCGAGAGAATTGCCAGCACCTCGGCCGACATGTTGCGCACGTCGCAGCCGATGAGCAGAGGGGCCTTCATGAGAGCCCAGACGCTGAAATGCGATCGATACTCGTCCAGCGACATGCCGCCATTGCCGACCTCGAGCATGTCCGGGTCGTTCCACCCTCCGGGGCCAGCGAAGGACGCCCAGCGATCGTTCTCGTCGGCGATCTTCGTCATGCTGCGCCACGTATCGCGGATGTCCTCCGTGGTGCGCCAGCTGTTGCCCACGGGGGCAGCCCAGGTCGCCGGGTCGTCCTTGCCCCACTCGCACATGGAGAAGAAGATGGCGCGCCCGCTCGCGTTCAGCGCGTTGCGCATCACCGGGTACCGGGACTCGGGGCGGCTCTTGTCGTTGTAGCAGTTGTCGTACTTGAGGTAATCGACCTCCCACGAGGCGAAGGTGCGCGCGTCCTGAATCTCGTAACCGAGCGATCCCGGTTGCTTTTGACAGGTCAAGAAGCCCGCGTCCGAGTAGATGCCGAGCTTCAACCCCAGCCCGTGGACGTGGTCGGCCAGCGCTTTAATCCCCGACGGGAAGGTCGCCGCCCTCGGCACCAGGTTGCCGTGCGCGTCGCGCTCCAGCTCGGCCCAGCAGTCGTCGATGTTGACGTAGTTGTAGCCGAGGTCGGCCAGCCCCGTGAACACCAGCGCGCTCGCCGTCTCGAAGATCACCGTCTCGTCGATGAAGCAGTTGAAGAAATTCCAGCTGTTCCAGCCCATCGGCGGCGTCCGCGCCAGCCCGTTGTCCAGCCCCAGCCTCCCACGCCCTGCCCCATCCTCTCCTGCGCCGCCCCCAAGCGCCTGCGCCTCGATACAACAGCCCCACAACAAGGCGCACACCAGCGCCGCGACGATGCCAACCCTGCGCCCCATCGCTGCCCCTCTAGCGCTGACGATCTCGACCTCGTCCTCGTTCGCGATCCTCCTCCTCTGCCTCTGCCTCGGGCGCTTAATTCCCCGTAGCCTCGAGCAGATTAGGTCCTCGGCGCGACCCCGTTGGCGCCCCGCGACGGGACCTCGTCTTCTTGCGCCATCGTCGTCCGGAGCTCTCTTGATTCTCGCCAGGAGACGCCGCGCATTTGAGCAGTGGAGTCTGAACGGGCCGCGCGCTCGAATTCGAAACCCTGGGCGCCAGCCAACGGACAAGAGTGAGGCAGCGGCATGAGGCAGCGGCTCGAGTCACGTGAACTGCACGAGGACTATGTGCTCGCGCTTCTTACGTGTCGCCTGCCCCAGCTGAATCGGATAAGCACGCGTCCGCTGCCGTCCTCGTCCACGTCCGCCGGGAGGAGGGTCTGCTTGAGGTCCTCATGAAGTCTTGAGGTCTTGCACGAAGGACACTTCCATCTACCTGGACGAGGGTCTGCTTCGAGACCCGGACGAGCGCAGGGACTGAGAACCCGAACCCGGATGAAGTGAGTGGAGAGGCAGTCAACACGTTCACCCGCGATGGCCACGGGTGACCAATCCACTTCTGGAGATTGCGGCTCGTTTCGGCGAAAATGGAGACGCGAATCGAAATAGTTCATCGTCGTCTTTGGGGTTAATTTTATTTTTAATTTTTTTGCCATGGGAATTTCGTGTTTTGCATTCGCATATCAAAATTTTTTTATTAATGTCGAGTGAAATGGTGAAAGCTCAAGCTCTACTCTCCCGGACCTTGCAATATCCGGCTGTTTTATTTATTTAATTAAAATTGCTTATTGGAATTATGGGCCTCGCGTTTTTCAGCGAAGTCTTCATATTAAGTCTTCATCCCATTACCGGGAAGGAAAACCGCCAGCAAGCCGTTGCGAGGTGATGTTGCTAAAGCCCATCCATCGGCCTTCATTCGTTAACGTAGATGACGGAAACCGGCGGACAGGCTGAACCGGTCCATCTGCATGGACTGAAAACATGCGCCCGATGTCTTAGTACATTGTTCGCTGCCGGGATGATTCCCGAAGCATTCGAGATCCATCGGTCCCGAGGGCGAAGTCCTACGGGCGCCCAGCAGTCTCGAAAGGAGACACGAAATGGAGTCCCGAGTCCCTCGCGTGCAGTTAGACATTCGATAAAGTGATGCTTTCGGCCTCGGCCTCGGCCTCGCTGCCAGCGCTCGGATTCTCGCTGTACTAAAGATGCTCCGATCATGATGACGCCGAAGAACAACGACGGGAAATTCGCCAGTGCCCTAATTCTACGGATCGTTTGTTTGCTTCACTGAAGTCTAAAGCCTCGATCGTCCCCTTGACACAATCGGATTCCATCCTGCGCAGTCGCGCGGCGACACTGGTGTGCAGCATGCGCGCAGTGTGCCCTAATATGTAGAAGCGCACTCCTGCCGACTTGCAAAGCACGTCACCGAAATAATAATTGAATGATTGAATGTATTTGTCGAAAAGGTCGAAGAAGAAGACAAGTCGCTGCACTTTATCGAGCTCGAGGTCAATTCTTTATTGATGTTCTTCGAGGCGGTCTTGCCGCCCGGCCGGATCAAGCTCACCGACTGCATATTGTCCAATCTGAACTTATCTGATCTGGCTACAAGCTTTCCATTTGCCCTTCAACGCTAGCTCGCTCGCTCGCTCGCTAACTAAGTCTCTCAGCTACTAGTGGATGCGGCTGTTCCCAGTGCGCAGTTAGTTGGTCCACTCGAGCCAACTGCCATCCCCGAGTGCTCTCCTCTTTTCCCTTCCAGCTTTTCAAGCTCACACCTAACTCCAGTTCCGAAGGCATCGTACCGTGGCAATATCAAGAATCAGATCAAGAATGCCACAAGGCTCTCTAGTCTTCAGAGACTTGATTTGACTGTATTTCAATTTTGACTGTTTTCAGTACAGCAGTGGACAGGACTGGACTGGACTGTCGCAATATGGGAAGGGAAGGGAAGAGTCCTTGACGTATGCTGTGACGGTCCAATGTATGACGACAGTGACGGGGAAGCAAAGTACAGACTGATGTATGAATGCACTTTGGGATGAGCTTTGGAATACAGTAATTCCAGAGGACGTAGGGAGGGAGGGAAGGAAGGAAGGAAGTACATCTCAGATGAGGGCGAAGACTGAACTGAGACTGATGATTCCGTTGGGCAATGGCGAGGCCTCGCTCTGCTCTGCTCCAGAGCCTAGAGCGAGCCATAAGAGCTCGAGAGTAGGTGCGATCCTGGAAAAAGTAGTTAAAGCCGAGCTCCATAGCTCCGGAGTCTGAGTCCAGGCCGACAGACGTCATGATCAGAGAAGAGAGGCGAGCTAGAGACCTCGGGTGCTGACATGTGTACGACAGGGACAGGATCCCGAGCTAGGCACGGGCATGTTTTATCCATCGATCCGCACGAGGGCAGGCACGGCAAAAGTTCGTGTAGCCTGTCGGAGGAACAAGCGAGTGGTCAAGCTTCGGATTCTTCCCAACTCCCGGATTCTGCGTGGTAAGCCCAGCCCGGCCCAGCCCAGGCCAGACCGCCCAAACAAGCCACACATTCTTGGCCACGGGTGACCAAATTGGTCTTCTCCAATATACTAAGGATGAGCACAGATGAAGCCAGGAGGGAGCTCATGACAGTCTCATGGGTCCATCGGGGATGAACATTTCTTAATTTAATGTTTTTTAATCTCTGTACTGCTGCCTGTGGTTGCTGAGCTCTGGTAGCTTCTGCTTTCCGCCTTCTGCCGAGGCAGCTGAGCTGACTCCAGCGCCAGAACCCGAGAGTTGGGAATAAGAAGGGCAGAGAGGACTTAAAGCCCAAGTACGTCCGAGCTCGGGACTCCCGATGCACTCGAGTGCATGGGACCGGTCTTCTTCTCGACAGTAGCAGCAGAAGCAGCTGCTGCTTACAGGACAATGAAACAAGGACTGGGTTCATTGGAAGGGCCCAGAGAGGGAGGGAGGCAGATAGGCAGGCCAAAAGGAAGTTGAAACCCTTCTTCTTCTTCTTCTTCTTCTCCTGTCGCGGGTTTCGCTCGATGCTCGTTGGCCTCCATCCCTCCCTCCCTCCTTCCGTAAGCAGAAGGCAGCAGGAGGCCGCAAGGCCCTACTCTACTCTAGGCCACAGCCAAGGCTTTAAGTATACACCAAAGGACAAACGGGAATTGATTATGAGGGCAGGCAGGACAAGAGCACTATGCAGATTGGGCACTTATGCCTGAAAGATCGTGAGAGGATGGGATGATGCCCTTTTGGAGGCTTGCCATGCCCTGATTGAGCTACTGGACAAAGCACTGGATCATCCACTCTCGACAGTTTGCCGTAGCTGACCTTCTGCAGTCAAGAAGAAAGTTAGAGGATGTGCAGGACTGGGGGCTGGGGCCGGGGCCGGAGATTCGGCATATTTCTCCAGCCGTGAATATCGGAGGAGGAGGGAGGGGGGCTGTTGGGGTTCGAGTGCTCTCAATCAGGAAAGCAAAGCCCAGCAAACCGAGGGAGAAATTGGGTACCAAGGAAACAAAGAAAGTAAGTACTGGAGAGGAAATTGGTGAGCCGGGCGGCAGCTAGATGCGGGTTGATGATGTTGTTGATGCTGATGAAAGACTGGATTGTTTGCTTGATTGCAAAGGTGCGGATCGATGAGAGGAGATGAGGTTTAGATGGTGATGTACAGGGCTATTTGTCTATAAGCAGCAGGGACAAGGGCGAGGGGAGGCGGGGATGGAGAGAAATTTGGACTAGAGCGAGGGAGGGTGCCGTTGACCTGCTCGTATTGTTCAGGCGAGATGCTTTCATCTTAATGTTCTGGGCATTGACTGTAGTGAGACGTGTGCTCGGGCCGGGGAGCAGGGACTTCGGGATGATATGCGATTTTCCCCTCTTCTCCTTCAGCGTGACTTTCTCTGTCTGTCTCTCTCTTCTTTCCCGGGTGGTGGGGGATGGGTGGCTGGCTGAGTCATATGCTCTTCTCGGAAGGAGCAGGAGAATTGGAATGTAAGCGAACGCATGTTGATAAATTCGTTTCTGTTTTGGCCCTGCTCGTCTTCTTTTTCTTGCAGCAGGAGTCCCGGGAAGAGCTTGATTGACGGAACTGGCTCTAGGTTCCAGTATCAAGAGGAGGAGGAGGAGGAGATCAACGGAGGAAAGAGGCGTATTCATCCGGTCTGTGGAAGAAGTAGTGAACAGCCGCGGCAGCCGCAAGAGCAATGAATACTGCCGGTCCCGGAACAACAGCGCGGCCTCCCACAATGAGGCCCAATGCAGTGGAAGCCAATCCGCTGCCCACATTAATCTCCGTCTTGGGTCTCATTTTCGCCGTGAGTATACACTCGTCTTCAGTTTCGAGCTTGATTCCTACGATCGTCCAGTTCAACACCTTTTCAGCGGATGGAAGGGTTTTGCCTCTTGTATCCGTAATCCTTCGATTTTTTGTGACTGACGAGCCCCTTGGTTCGGACTATTCAGGCAAGTTGAGGAAAATTGCTCAATTTCCGGCATCAGCTACTGATATCGGAACACGATGTGTTTTAATTTGTACTTGTCAAGGTCCTCATTCCTATCAGTATTGCCGGAACCAATTTTGGGATCGTGCACCAAATTCCTGAAGGGCACGTTGGGGTTTATTGGCGTGGTGGAGCACTGTTGAAGACGATTTCCGGACCAGGTACTATTTCGTATTCCATATCTCGTTCGTAACGCCATTCTTGTGAAAGTACTCTAGGAAGGACACAGTTTCACCTCACGAGCTGATAGATCACGAATATGGCCTCTTTGTAATTCTGCAGGTTTCCACTTGATGATGCCTTTCTTGACCCGTTATGAACCGATTCAGGTTACAATTCAGACAGACCAGGTACAGTTACTTTTTTTTCCCACACTATGATGGTTTGTAATGCAGATAGTATGTTATGATTTTTTGTATGGTCCTCATCATTCCCAGGAACTTGTTCATGACGCCCCTGTCAACTAACTAGTTCAAAATTGATTTTTCATTACCATCTTTTGTTTACAAACCACTTCAGCAAAGACGGACGGGGTTTGGGGTAATTAAACGTTCATGAACCCAATCAACCTGATCATGTCAAACGACACAAAGGGTTTTCAGTCTGATTTATACAAGACATCGCTATACTGTGTGTGGATGTTGCCTTGGAATTGACTACACAGGCTACTCAATGCATACTCGTGAGGCTTTGGTGATGTTCAGCTGACTAATGCACCTCTATTAAAGACATTGCTGTTATTAACCTAGAACCTATCACAACAAATAATGTTCTCATGAAAACAGAGAAGGGCTATTAATCAACATGTGCATGATACTCACAACACATATACTTGGCGAAAGGAGAAGATGAAAGAATAAAGTCACTTATCAACGGCACACAAGGCTGTAAAGAACAGTGCAAATACCTCAATATGAATCACATCAGCCCAAACCGCCGACACTAAAAAAGAAAGTAACCGTGGGGTACCTGAGTCCAGCTTCATTCTTTGTGAAAAATCCGCCGTCGAAGAAGAAGGCAAAATGTAGTTGGTTCTGTTCCGTCTTTTGTTTGTTCATCATCATTGAAGCACCTCATATGGACGTCCAACAATAAAAAAATAGATCTAGATTTTTATTTCTCTTCCATCTGAGAAATTTACAATATATCCTTCTATCGTGATGTTTGCTGCCAGGTAAAAGACATACCGTGCGGTACCAAGGGAGGAGTAATGATATATTTCGAGAAAATTGAGGTATTTAGAGATGGAAGCACATGCAGAGTACTGGGTTAAGATTTAAGTCTTTCATACTTGGTACAAAGATGCATGAGCTTAAGTTTGATCGTACCGTCAAAGTTTCACATGATTTAAAATTGAGAACGGTACGCTCTCAAAGGACATACACATTTCTCTCTTTGGACCCTAAAGATACATGCGATTCAAGATGCAGCCGTTGGGGTTGAGAGGCTTGTGTTTATCACGTGGTCCTTACTAACAGGTGGAGAAAAGTGCAGTAACATTGTTGCCCTCTCCCTGCAGGTGGTTAATCGGCTGAACAGAGAGTATGTGTATGATACCATCCTCAATTATGGTGTTAGTTATGACAAAACATGGATTTACGATAAAATCCACCACGAGATCAACCAATTTTGCAGCTCTCATTCGCTTCAGGAAGTTTACATTGATCAGTTCGATCAGGTACTTGGTTATCCTTTCATCTAGAGAGAAAGCTGTCAGTTCTTGGTCTATCTTTTCATGAGTACACAAATCATAGTAGCATAGCATTCGTAGTGTATTCTTAGGTTGGTTCACTGGAGCTTAGCCACTGGAGCACTGTATTTTATATCCTATTCCATGGTTGGAAGATTCTCTCGAATGAACAAGGATTTATGTCTTTAAGTGCACCTCAGGAGCAAAGGTTATGTAGAGGGAAAGTTCTAGTATAACGTTAAGATCAAGAGATTTGCTTCTCTTAACTTCGCCTTTGCTGATGAACAGATAGATGAGACTATGAAAGAAGCCATCCAGCGTGACTGTACCCGGTATGCTCCAGGCATTGAGATCATTGGCGTAAGAGTGACAAAGCCAAAGATACCTTCTTCTATTGCACGTAACTATGAAATAATGGAGGAAGAACGCACTAAGGTCAGTACATCACCTCAGCTGTGTTTTTTGTTTTTACTTCCACTTTCCTTCACTGGCAACCTAGTCTGCCATCACCATCCGTATCCATCTTAGCCTACGTATTCGTAGAGGTAGGCTCTGGTTTTAAAGAAGATGTTATAAAACAACGCCTGTGGCTGGAAGATGATTGAGCTGCACCGCAAAAAGGACGTGAGGTGTGTCTTTCGGAACTCCACGACTGAAATCCTGAAGGATGTTTGGTGAAGGTGATGATTGCGGTAGAGAAGCAGAAGGTGGCTGAGAAGGAGGCTGAAACATTGAAGAAAAGAGCAGTCACAGACGCGGAGAAAGATGCCCAAGTTAGTGCAATTTTGATGCAGCAACGTGTCATGGAAAAGGAGAGCATCATGCGGCAGCAAAAAATAGAAGATGAAATGTACCTTGCACGGGAAAAGAGTCTCGCTGATGCGAACTATTACAGGTTTGGCACCTAGCGTACTTGTCACAGCGTCAGTCACCTTGAATGGATCATGTGGGGTATATTTTGTGTCTCTTGTAGCTTGTGCGTCCCTTCTTGCAGTCACATCGATTTTGCAGTTAGCCAGATAAGTGGAATCTTTTAATGGATAATGACCTCTCGTTTATGTTTGTCACTTGCTTCATATTCTACGTAAAGGTCACAAGGTGAAAGTGTTACAGGAGAGCATAGAGTATATTTAGATTTGGTTTATAATATACTGTTAGTTTTTCTCTACTTTCTGAGTAATTTCCAATGGCAGGGTTTTGAGAGAGGCTGAGGCCAACAAGCTGAAACTCACACCGGAGTATCTGGAGCTGCGGTTTATCGAGTCGATTGCCAACAATACAAAACTCTTCTTCGGGGAAAAGGTGAACTCGCTTCCACCTTTTTTTCCATTGCTACTCCAAGAACATAAGAGATCTTTTATAAGTTCACTTGATCATAACCCCATGATGATATGTCAGATAGAAATGTCTAGCACTTGTGTCACCTCTCAGCAGCATAACAAGACTGTGCAACCTATCATTGTATATAGTCTAGACTACAGATCAGATCAGTGTAGCAATTCTGATGATTGAGAATGTGTTCCTTGCAGCTCCCTGGAATGGTGTGGGATCAAAGATTGTTGGGAAGCTTTCTTTCGGGTGTGGCCCCGAAAGGTGTAGAGGCATAGGACTGAAAGACGTGTAAAGAGTAGAGTCAGGATCGACATCAAGTAATTTGGCCAATTCGAAGTGTTTGTTATCAGCAGCAGGGCCAGGTTATTCTGGCGGAGTAGCCTTTGTACAGTTTTCCAGTTACACAGCTCACAAAGACAATTTTGGTTTCCTCGTCATGGGGGAGACTCCTTGAGTGGGAGGGAGCTAACTGTGCGTGCCGACATGGGCAGCGGGAGGCTCATTTGTGCATATACCATCTTGAGAATATCATCACATGTTCTCCCATGCATGAATTTTACTTGAAGACCTGAACACGTTCATCCCAATCGTACTTCCTCCAGAGTCCTGTCTCGTATGTGAAAGTCTCTCCTTTTGATGTTCCTCGACGATACACCCGAAACTGTCGTAAACTTTGCTACTCCTTTTCGTCGTGTCAGTGTGAAACCATGACATTCTTGCACGGTGATGTTTTTCGACCAACACTCAAAAATGGTTAACGTCAAAAGAACGCATGGCAAGTTTCAGACTCATTCCAAATGACGAGGGGTAGAACTTCCGGGAAGGAGAAGTAAAGTAGTGAGGAATAAATTAATGGGAAAGGCGAAAGCTCGTGTTTCTCAAGTGTTCATACATCATTGAGACTCGCATCCTCAATCTGAACTGACGAAGTCCTTCTCGAGCTGAGATTCACTCAGAGAAACGGTTGACCTCTTCCGGCCATTAAGTAGCCTATGTAGATGTTCTCATGGAAACTTTTACGACAAACAGTAGCTCCAACTGCGTGTCTGCAGGAGGAAACCTTGTCGACTACTAGCAAGAAATCCTTGCCATTAGAAGTCAATCATCACGCCTGAATGGGCATCTCGATCCCTCTTAACCGTGGCTACTACCTCCAGACGGTGGCTACTACCTCCAGACGGCGAGGGCTGCCATTTGGCACCAAACATTCCATGCCAGCTCTTCCCCAAAACTACGACGTGTCAATCTGGAGGGAATTATAACTAGAAGCAACCACTGGTGCCATACTAGCCCCGTGCCCAACCGGATTGAAGAAGAGCCCCGCAGCCTGCGGGGCTCTTTGAAGGACCCCAATCCAACATGTCCATACCTGCGGGCCGCAGGTATGGACATGTTGGATTGGGGTCCTTCAAAACCAGCATGGAGTCCTTTACTTGTCAGGAGGAGGAGTGCCGAGTCCAATGAAGGCAGTGGGATTTTTGTCCATCGGAGAAGAGGAGCCACACACGTGGGGGGACGGGCTATCAGATTGTGGGGCTCTAGAGATCCGCAGTGATTCTCACGATTGAGAACTGGACCTTCGGGACAAGCTGTAGGTTCTGGTTTGAGTCCTAGACTTTGTGAGTGGTAGAAGGCATAGTGAGCCAAAACCACCTTTCTCTCGAGAATCTCTCCATATCAAAATCTCCTGCACCGCTGCAGATGCAGCGGAGATCCCCCGCGGGGAGCCACCTGGATCGTCCTCTCCGCCCCACAGGTTACAGGTTACCTTCTGCCCTTGCTCATGTTCCTTCCCTCCCTTGGCTGACCTCCCTCCCTAAGTTTTTGGCCCTCGACATTCCAATTCTTCGTGCATGCCCATGGAATAGAAAGGAGTGGAAAGGAGAAGGCGAATAAGTTTGATGACGTCGGTACTCGATGAGGGATGAAGTGGTGGGTCGAGTAATTCTGCATGAGGAAACTCGTTCCCAGCTTCTCGTCTTGTCATGCCCCGTGGTCACCACCTCCCTCCATCAGCTTTCCTTCTTCCAAACATTCTTAACTTGTCCAATGGTCAGACACTCTTCTGGTGGAATCTTCCTCACACTCCCAAGCTTTCACGAGCCACTTCTCTCCCTAGCTGCAGAACTAAAATGCTACACAAAAGTACAAGATTGACAAGACCAAAACAAAAGGGGAAACATTCATCCCCAGAGGCTGCTCAACCTTTTTCTTCAGATCTCATTTCTGTCGAGCGATGAAACCCATACGCGCCGTTTTTAGAGCACTCACGAGCCACAGTTGATCCTCACCTGTTCTATCGATGTACACCATCCCACATAAACGTGTGCACTATCAGTAAGACAGAAAGAATTCCAAATGTAAACTGACCATCCAATTGCCAAGAATTTTGCCTTGAATTTTGCCTTATCCAGGACGTGAATATAAATACTACTGTATTGGAAAAGAGCTAGAACACTTCATCCTATTTTCAGCTTTCTCTGATCAGCATCGCTTCAAAATCCTCTCGAGCGAGCCGGTTGTGTAATAAAATGTACACCTATGTATGAAAAAGACAAGTATACGAGAATCATACCCGATCAGGATGCAGATTTTTATTTGACTCTCTGATTAGTGCCTGCAAAGATAGCCAAGCCTGGCCTGTCTTTGCAGACAGGCCAGGCTTGGCTATCTTCTACCAGGGGTCACTCAAAGCAACGATCAATGTCAACGAGAACTCCAGAGAGGAGAGTTTTTTCAGATGTGCCATTCTCAGTTAACTACGCTTATCGATAGTCGGGCCCTGCCCTGTCCTGCCCTGCAAGTCGAAAATCACAGTAAATAATAGTATTCGGATTTGCTTGATATGGTGCTGGAGGTGTCCCTGGGCTCGCCAGACTCGCCCTCAAACCCATGCAAGACTAGATTCCAGACCGAGCGAGCAGAGAGAGAACAAGAGGAGAAGAATCCAAAGGAAGAGAATAAGAAGGTCTTCGGGCATTCGTTGTGCCTGTATCTCCAATCAGATAAGGTGCATGAATGATGATAATGATAATAATATATATCTGGCCTTCAGGTGTGTCATGTGTTCTACCAGCAGCACCTACAGCAATCAGAAGTTGGCACAGAGCCATGCGGGCCAAATCCAGGAAGAATCTTGCAAGTTGCATACCACAAGTCTATGCAATTTAATTTAATTGAATAAAGAAAGTACAAACAACGCAAAGTAGAGATCTGCTCTTCAGTTTCTTCATATTCTGTTCTGTTGTGGAGACAAACTTCTAAAGTATGAATAGGCTTTCACGTCGCAGGAAACATGTACGCCACGTCCAATGGCAACATATTTTTTCAATTTTATTATGCATATGGATTCGAAGGAGTATGACAAATGTGAGCCAGGGGCTCAGTACATAGACCGAGACCGAACGAATTTCTCGACTTCCACATCTTCTTCAGCACAAGCCAGAACGTACGAGTAGTATCGTCTTCTGTACGTAATAATTATTATTCAAGCTTCAGAAGATGTTTCTCCTCCATCAACTCAGGATCTTCCACCTATACTGTTCTGTTACTGATGGTTCTCGTGATTGACTGTAAAGATGATCTGGTCTGCAGTTGGGACTGAATTGTCAGCATTGGTAAAAGTAAGAAAGCAATGAGATGAGCCTAGTTGATGATACTCCAAGTCTGATGAAGTCTCTACAAAAGTATTTCATCTGCTTGATAGCCTTATTAGAGTGTACAATGTCTACCTGGGAGAAATGCATATTGTTTTATAGCCTCCCTCTATATCAGAACCCAAACACCTCACATGTCCATCTCAAGTCAACTCTAATCTACCACATGGATGAAGGTATAATTAGAACCTTTATTCATATATATGAGAATAAATACTAAAATTTTGTGTTATTGCCCTACCCAATATTGTGTTGGAATATGAGAACAAATGGGAATGGGCAGCGGCTAACGAGACTAGTGTAGGCCTTGTAGTTTCCACTTGTGATGGGTCCTATTTTTTTATTTCAATTCACAATCTACACTCACTTGATTCCGCATTCATATAACTCCGCATCCCGCCTAAGTCCGCAATTTTTTTAACAAAAGTTCAAGGATCAAAATTCTTGAGGTTTATTATAAAAGGAAATCAAACATGGTCAATTGGCGACTGTTTTCAACTCGTTTGCGGTCGATGGCGGATCTACCGTGCTATAAAACAAGACAAAGGGTAAAGAGAGTCTCCTTAGTCTGATTAATCTGCTGCGTTGATGGATAAAGGGAACATCTTATGTCGTTCATTTAAACCTCAAGCTTGATAACACTCATCATTATGTGAGAAATCACATCACGCTGATCCATATCAAGTTCTTTGTGCCCAGGTTCATGTTCATCCTTCTATGTAGGTCTATTGAGTCCAAAACAACATTATTCATAGTGTTTTCAATTTCCTCAAGCAAATTTTACTCATACATTTGCGAATCCTCGTTGTCATCATTCAAACACTTTTCAATTTTGCTCCTAACATCAGTTTCACTGGACCTACCAAGAAGATTACATTTGCTTTATAGTTCACTAATTAAAGCAATTGTGGCATCATTGAAGTCAGTATTATCGGCGCTGCCAAATCCAAGAAGAATATATGCTTTTTTAAAGCAATTTTTCCATACTATTAGTAGATTTGTTGTTCCAAGCAACATTTGCAAATATTGAAGCATCAAGCAAATGTGGAGGTATTACGTAAGCAATCACATAAGCGTCAGGTTTGAGTTTCAAAGTTGCTAATGCAAAGAACAACAACAATGTGCGCTAAGTTAACAATGCGCGCTAAGAACAACAATTTAATGCGCTAAGCGCGCATTAAGTTGCTAATGCAAAGAACAAACATCTTGCTTGATGAGATATTCTAGACTCTTGTATCTTCCACTACAATAACCACTTCTTTAGGTTGTGAAAATGCAGGAGATTCTCTCACTTGAACAATCTAATGGTACTTCTTCTCCTAATTTTGTAAGGCTACAACTGAAAGCTTGATATATTTATTTCTACAAGGGCATGAATGCAGACACGTTTTTTTCATTCGTTCAATCGCATCATTTGAACCTCGCATCAATTGAGATTGACGGGGAGGAAAATTGATGCAGGTTTTGCGAGGATGGGATTCTTAGCGAGGGACATAGCGACGTAAGAGTGCAAAAACGGATTTCATAACCAATAGAATCTTATGCGATAAGTCGATAGCGAGAGACGGAGTCAATGAACTTGAACAGAAGAAGAAGATTGGAAAAGAGCAACTGAAGACGACAATGACAGAACGGAAGGAATGATTGTCTGCAATCCGAGTGAAAGTTACTCTATTCACGTCGCAATTTCTTGGGATTGACAACACGCGAACAGTTTCGTGAGACGTTTGCGTTGATAGTTTTGAGGAGAAATTCAAGGTTCAATTTGTGAATGTTAGAGAAATATTTCAATGAAATTTAAATTAGGGTTACTATAAGGTCAATCGGAGGTGGTCGATAGGAACAACCGATCTATGCGTTTTTTGTAAGCTCCCGTCGTGCTGTTTCTTGGAAATTGATGAGCGGAAAGGAGGAGACAGTGACGATGGCATCTCAGAAGGAAATACTCAAGCTGATTCAAACCATCTTGAACAACCCTAACAAACTTTGTCAAGAATTTAAGGTACAAATAGTACAACTCACTTTCGCTCATACTGAGATACGACAGTTGAAAGCCTCGTAAGAAGCAATGATTTTAGAAGTTCAAGAGAACTCTAGTGTGAACCTTCATATTTGCGAAACACTCACTGATGTTCAGACTAAAACCACATCACTAGCTACTATTTCTAGCACCACAGGATTACACGAAGTAGTAGACACCCTAGATTTGAAACTCAAATCATATGTCGAGGCTACTAAGGTTGCGCATATCTTCTTCTGCCAAGAACAAGAGGTAGAAAGTGCACACCAATATTCCAGTAGGAATAATGTCAGGATATTTGGTTTAACAAAAACAGAAAATGAAGATGTGAAGAGTGTCGCCACTAAATTCTTAGTCGACACACTACATGTTCACTGTCCAGATCTAGCCCATGCTTTTTGGATTGGGAAAACCAGCACAAAACCACAAGACATCATAGTCAAGTTTGTCAACTAGTTTCAACGTGATACTGCCATGGCCAACAAATCTATCGTCAAAGGTCAGAGAATATGATTGGATACTTACTTTACTCCATTGCAGGTATAAGCTAGAATGAAGAAACTTGAAAAGGTCAAGGAGTCTCAATTGTTAGATTTTGTTTCTTATTTACGCGATGGAAGAGTGTTTGTCATATAGAAGAGAAGAGAGTCATCTACATAGCAATTCAAGGAGCTGAGGATGTTGGTGTGGAATATTTGAAGATTGTCACCTTCAAAATACATGAATGTTGATTCAATTTGGGAGAAGAGAGACATCATCAACATCGTGGAGATTTGGGAATATGAAAGCAACACCAAAGCTGAGCTGCAAGAATTCACTTAAGAGGGATCAACATGGAAACAGAGAAGACAATACGCGGGAAGGGAACATGGAGGTATTGCCACTTTCATCAGATCCAAAATTTTATTTGTCATTCATTTAGAAGATCAATATATTGGCGATCAATACCAATGATTACGTCTTATGGTTGGAGTATCTCATTGCTATCTAGCAATCTGTTACATTGCGCCATTAGCCATGCCAATTTATTCCACACATTTCTGCAATCGTAGCCAACCATTTCATAGACTCATTAAAGATGTAGTCAAATATCAGAGCAAAGGAGATGTCTTCCTAGCGGGGACTTCAATGCTCGCATACGTTATACTCAGTTCACTCAATTTTGTAGCTCTCTAACCTTTTCACCTTTGGAAAAAATTGACAATAGTCAATGGTCTAGAGTCTATTCCGATACTTCTACCAACTCTTTGACAGAACATTTTCTAATCTTTGGGACCACTTGTAAACTGCAAGTCCTTAATGACATCTGCCGCTTTCCTAACTCTCACTACAATACATGTTTCTCCTCCTACGGTGCTAGCACGGTATGTTTTTATTTATCCTCCTCATTTAATACTTCTCTTATCTCCACTTTCAAAGTTCTTAACCCTTAATCCGAGTCTGATCATGCATCTCTCCTATTTATTCTGTCAATATCAAAAAGTATTACTTCCCCAATCAACAAACATGTTCTACCTTTTCCCACTTTCCGCCTACTACCTTCTAAGAAAGACATTCATGCTACACATTTACAAGATTTTAAGAAATACACTGATTGGAGCCAAGATCCATATACTGCTAGTTCGCAATTCATAGAACTACTCAAAAACTCTTCGTCTAAGTTCTTTCTACGACATAGCAATAGAAAGACTAGAGTACTACCTTGTAAAGGGTGGTTCGACTCTGATTG